GGGGGGCCATTAGGCACCTTGATGGCTCTGCCGCATGCGCCGTTTCACATGCGACCACTTGCTCGCTTCTTTAAAGATTGCCCTTAATGTTTTGGTATTGCAGTTGCCAAAGCAGCCAAGCCGATACGACGACAGTGTGCATGTTGGCGGAGTAGGCAGCATTAGATCGTTGCAAGTATGGCGGCTTGAGCATGTTGCGATTGGGTGGCTTACAAAACACGCTCGATCTCGCTCGCGGTAGCCGCCAGGTTGAGGTTGCGCAGGTTGTCTCCTTTGTAGCTCACTCAATCCGTACTGTTTCATCACGGGCAATTATCACGCTGGAAGAGAAGGCTTCTCCCACACCGGTGTAGAGCATCTGCCCTTGGGGTCGCATGTCTCACAGGGTGCTGCTCACCTGGACAGTGCCGGCGGAACAACCCCACAACCCGCCCGCAGCTGTCTCCAGTAGCCCACCACCGGCGCCAACACAAGCGAGTCCTCAAGTACACCAACCAAGTGGGATTCATCACAACTTGAAGTTCATCGATGTGATGATGCCTAGGGAGAAAACGGTTCGTGTGTGCTTGCGATGTATAAGAAGATCATACAGGGATAATTATTTCCAAATTTTTGAAGACCAATTTCGCATCGGCTCATTTGTTGGTCCCGAGCAAATTCGCCAGCTCTTCGGCAATTGCGACAGTCTTTTCCTCGGTCAACCTCCGCCCAATAATCTGGACCGCTACAGGCGCGCCGTTGTACGCTTCCGCATCATCTACTCCAGTCAGTTCCCTATGCAACTTATTGAACCGGACACGGAAACGAGTAGAAACTTACACTCTGCTTGAACAGTCTTGTCCATCTCGGTGAGCGGTTCAAAAGACGCGTTCTGTACGTCCACGTTCTTGTCTGCGAAAGTGACGGGCACTACAACGCTCGTAAAGTCGAGCACGTTGATGGCGGTCGCGTAGCCGTAGTACTTGAAGCGGTCGTGGCGGACAGCTGCCGTGGGTGTGATTGGCGCGATGATGGCATCGACCTCGCGGCCGAGCTTCTCCTCGAGCTCGCGCAGCTTCGCAAGGTACTCGTTCTGGTAATTCCACTTCTCAAGGTTGGCGTCCCACGTGCGATTGATGTCGAGCTTGGGCAAAGTCGGGTTGATGAGGTCCTTGAAGTTGGGGATGGCGGGCTCGCCGGACTCTTTGAGGGTGGTGAAGACGTCCTGACGGTGCAGTAGCGTAAGTATACGTACAGGAAGGCAGCTGAAGAAACGAAGCGAGTGAACTTACGGCACCGCCATCTGCGGCGTAGATTCTGTTGGCGAGGTCGACTGCGTAGGGGTGCTTGTACGGCTCCCACGACACCACGGTGTGGCCAGCTTCCTTGGCCTTGGTGACAACCGTGTCTACAGCACGCAGGACAGGAGGGTGCGGCAGTACCTAGGTGAGAATTTCTGTTAGTAAAGACCCAATTTGGCGGTAGTTGGAGCAAAGTACGTTGCCGTCACAGGAGTAAAAGCCCAGAGTCAGACCCCCAGAGGCCATTTTGCGCCTGATATTCTCTTCCTCGGCCGGTCGCCACGGCATGGGAATGACCTTGGCGTCGTACTGCCATGGCATCTGTGCCAAAACGGACGTGACGAATAGCCGAAGGTCATCAATCGTGTGGCACATGGGCCCGCAAACGCTGTGAATCGTCTCTTGCCCCTCCATGCTGTTGGCCATGTTGGCATACGGCAAGCGACCGTGGCTTGGACGCAGGCCGAAGAGGTTGTTGAAAGCCGACGGCACGCGAATTGAGCCACCTGTTACCGTCTTAGCAGAAAGGCTCAAATTGGTCACACCTGAAGGGCTGAGGTACCAATATCCGTGCCCACTCCAATGACGCCGCCGCGGAATCCTACGATGGCGCCCTCGCCGCCGGAGCTGCCTCCGCAAGACCAGTTCTTGTTGCGCGGATTGACAGTTCTCCCAATGATGTTGTTGAGGGTCTCGCAGACCATTAGACTTTGCGGAACGCTGGTCTTGACGTAGAAGACGGCGCCGGCCTTGCGCAGAAGCGCGACCAGCACCGAATCCTCGGTGTCAAACTTGCCAATCCAGGCGACGTAGCCCATGGTACACTCGAGGCCCTATCTTGGGTCAGCAGTGTTCATGACTGGCTTGCACTTGCTGAGACGGACCTTGATACGAAGCTGATCCTTGAGCGAGATGGGCAGACCGTGCAGCGGCCCAATTGGCTTCTTGTGCTTGGCGTAGTAGTCGTCGAGGCCTTTGGCCTGCGCAAGCGCCATGTCGGGAAAGAATTCGAGGTTGCAGTTGAGCTGACATGTGTTAACACCGCTCATGGCAACTTGTTAAAGATCGCAATCCTCACTAATTGCTGTGCTAGGGCGGCCCTCTTGCAGAATGCGGTGGTGACCGCGACCGAGGTGAGCTCTCCATCGGCCAGCTTGCGCACCAGATCGGTCGCATTGGACTCTGTGATGGCCAGTTCACCGTTGCTCAGGATTCCGCTCTCCTTGGGGTAGGACATGAAGGAGTCGCCAGTTGGCGGCGTCTTGATGCGCCATTCCGGCGGGATGGTCTTTTCGAGGCGGCTCTTCTTGTCGGCCACCCGCTCTTCCCACGACTTGGTCGCCATTTTGCCCGATTCAATCAGACTGATTGGTCCCTTACGCGAGTGAAAACAAAAGGTGCCGGCAACCTGTTGGTAGTTGCAAGAATGTTGCAGCATGAATGCAGGGACGAGGCAGGCTGCACCCGCGCGAAGCGCTTCTTATCAGCTCCCCGCGCCCTCCCATGATGTCGTTGTAATCGTCACCCCGCTCCATGCGGATAAGCCCAAAAGTAGGCCGACGACGCTGCAGCTGCCCGTCTCAAATCCGGAGAAACGGAACAGCCAGTATGATTGGCATCTCCATTCGGCCGATTCTTGGTAGCGAGTCCACGCTTGCGGCCGGGCGCTTGCGCCGCTCGGACATCCCGCGGCAACTTGGAGCGGTTCTGAGCCTGGGACACGGTAGTTGGAGACAAGCCCGACGCTGTGCGGGCATCAATCAGGGCCCGGGACGTGTCCCACACCGGGACCGGAGCCCCGGGTTGACGATGCGCGGGGTGGGGTATCGCCTCTGGGTTATTGAGCTGGGCGGCCTTGATCCAGATGGAATCGTCGAGGAGGGCGTAAGGAGCCAATCACGGGAACATGGAGTGATTGTCGAAGATCTTGGCGCCCAGAGACGGTCGCAAGGACGGCTGTCATTCTGTCAACGAAGCCGTTTAGAGGCGAACGGTCGGGGGCAGCAGTGCCACTGCCGAGACTCTTACCAACACGGGCAGCTTGTCACCGGCGGCGGGCGAACATGGCAACAAGGATTGGCCTTCCACCAATCTAGGGCTGCCAGAACACCCTTCGCCTGGAGCCTGGGTATCATATGACTTTTCACTTGGTCATGAGAGAGTGAGTGAGTGAGCTCAACGCCAAATCTCCCGCTTGGTTGCCACTGGAATGTCTCACTTCGGCAGCCACAGCGACTGTGAAGCTTAAGTCACAGCGGCCGTTCCCCCGCCTCACAGGGTCGACGCTGGGGGAAACTGTGAGCCTGTGCTGCTGCTGCATCCACCATGTCGCCGAGACTCTTGCACGGCCAGGTCCCCGATGCCTCAAACTGGCACCTGTGCCCGCCGCTCGCGCTGTGTCAGGCCATGAGATGAACCTGTCCTCAGTGTGACGGCTGTGACATCGATGAGGCTCCAGTGGCTTGCTCACATGTCGGCCCAGCTGCTCGCCCCCGTCCTGCTCTGTTCAGCTGCGCCGACATGCGCCCGTGACCCCGTCGCTCATTGAGGGCAACCCTCCATGAGGAGCCAACAATGGAATGGCAGTCACGACAATACATTCTTCGCTTTTCCCGCCAACACCATCACAACAACGTCGTCTGCGCCGGCGCAGCTCTGATCTTCTTCTCTTCTACATACACCTTAACCGTTGCGCAAAATGTTCTTGTCAGCGTATTCCACATTCTATCAACTTTTCCTCGGCGTGTCGGCGCTGGTGGTGCTAGGGAACATGGTCCTGCTCGGGGTCCGATTCCTGAGACGTGGCAGTGCGCCACAAGCGAAAGATCTCTCCGACAGAGATATCGCACGGTGGGTTCAGACCCTTGACACCCCCGCTGGGGCTTTAGTGCAGGTGCTGATGATGGTTCAAAAGCTCTAAAATGTCGCGCGCCAGACGCTGCGACAACATTCTGGCGAAAGGAAGGGAACTGTGGTGATGGGAGCATACGGCTTGGTCCTGTTTGTGAAGATCGCAGTGGCGACGCCGGCGTCGTGAGGAGGGAAGCCCAATCTGAGATTGATACCAGCTAAATGATAACGACCACAACACGCAGTATGCACTGTACAGTTGCCCATCTTGCCATTACACTCGCGCTGCCAACACGAAGCCTACCACGGCTGGACCCCATCACTGGTGATGACCTTTCCCACGTCCGCATCCCGCTCGCCCTCGACGACCGCCCTCACCAGCTTGCCCCCAATCTCGGGGTGCTGCGCCCCCATCTGCTTCAGAAGCTCTGGCCGCCCACCCAGGTTCGTCGCCAGGAAGCCGGGACTGACGCAAAAGGTCTTGACCCCGTCGTCACGCAGAATCCAGTGCCACGTAAGGAACACCATGTTGAGCGCCGCCTTGCACGCTTTGTAGCTCTGCGTCGCCACCAGATCCGTCTTGGGCCAGCCGCCCGCTGGGTTCGGCGCCCACGGCGGAAAAAATGTCTCGGCGTTGCCCTGAAGGGTAGACATGCCCGAAGTCAAGAACACGATACGGGGAGCGCTCGCTGCGAGGAGTAGCGGCGTGAAAACCGCCGTGGTGACCTGAGCACCCGACACGTTGACGTCGTAGGCCTTCTTGAAGACGTCGCGAAATTTGGCAATGTCGGCGTCGAACGTGCTGTCAAAGGCCGCCCCTGGCGCTGGGGGTTAGTGATTCCGGGGCAGATAATACAGGGGGTCCGTTCACGAACCAGCGTTATTGACAAGAACATCTAGCCTGCCAAACTTGGCCTTGACAATCCTTGCGGCCTGATTGATGGACTCGTCGCTGGTGACATCGATTTGAATCGTCTCAAATGTGCTGGTAGTCTGAGCTATATCCTTCGCCAGCGCTGCAGCAGCCTGTTCGCCCTTGGTCGCATCGCGACTGCCAACGAAGACGTGGTATGGCTCAGAGGATTTTAGTAGGGCTTTGGCGGTTTCGAAGCCGATGCCTGTGTTGGCACCAGTGATGAGAACGATTTTCTTGGACATTTTGATGGGATTATGTGAAGGTCTATAAGGACCCAAGACTCCCGGAGATGTTGCGCTTGATTGGTTGCCAGATGACATGAGAAGAGCGTTCATACCCAGTGAAAGACGTGCCTTTAAGTAAGTCCATGATCGCAACCTGGCATTTGCGAATTCGATCGAGATGCCTTCTAGTTGCATCGCATTGCACAGGTTTACCGCCGCGGGCAAACCATCGTACCGAGCACCGCAACTAAGAAGGTCGTGGCCATGGTCAGTTGTGAGAGGATTCGCATTCCAGTGTCAAAAATAGCAAAGTCCCGACGCCGTTCGGAAACCCAGAACGGCAGCGGAGGGCGACCGTCAATAGTGCCCACCCGACACGGCACGACGGATTTCATGTTCGGACTCGCTGCTTGCCCGGCTCGAATTACGCGTAATCCAAGTCCGCAGCCCGGCTAGGCTGCCGGACCTTGCGGAACTGTAGCGGAGTCGCTGGGCCGCCGCCTGGCGGGGTCCCCTCTCGGCTTTCGGACGCGGCCCGGCGCTGTGCCGCCTTGCCGAATCTACACGAGTGCGTTGGCCACCATCTAGTCCCGGCACAGGTGAGTACACGATCTGAATCCCGACATTTGGACTTTCCTCTCTCAGTCATTTCCCAAGCACCCGCCGCTTTACCCTACGTAGCGCCTGAGCAGCCTAAGCAGCGCCTAAGTAGTGCTTGCGTGGCACCTAAGTCGCACCTAAGCCACCCTCAACATGGCCTAGCTATGCGTCTTCTTCAGTCGCTTCTGTCCGATTCGACTGTTCAATTAGCCAACTGATGATCTCTATCGAACCAGTTCACTTCCAACTCTGCGACACGGAACTTGTCTTGGACGGCACACAAGGGATTGTCGTAGGCCCCGCGCGATATGCTCCACGCTTTCGTGGCTGGCGGATGAGGGAACAGATGAGGGAACCGTTGGGTCAAACGTCACCCCAACGCGCCAATGCCGGACGAGGAGCCATGCCTTCGACGTGATCATGCCCGCAGTCGCATGAAACACGCACCGAAAACATGCAGTTCTCGTTGCGGACGTCTACTCCATACGTGAAGTGGGTGGCATTGCATAGATCTGTGCTGTAGCCATCGTCGAAATGTCGATTGCGTCGCATGAAAAAGAGCTACGAGGGGGGCCAAGACAGCCGGCATGGCACGAGGAAAGGATGCCAGACTGTGCACTCGCAGCAGGAGGGCCCGGCCGGATTGCTATTCAGCTTTTCTGAGCAAGCACTGGACTGAAAGTCGAGGAGCAACCAAGACGTGCTCATGCATGTCTCAAAGGTTGCCATCCGTCATCGCTCTTCATTCGCCATTGTGAGGCCCCGTCACGCCCGTCGTCTCCCATGTCGCACGGTGAAATCAACATCACCCGTCCTCATTAGCCCCCCGGCCGGTCCCTTGCCGGCGAGCCGTCCCGATTCCAAGACAGGGTCGGTTTCGCGCTGGCACTGCTGCCTGCCATGCCCGCGCGATCGTTAAAAAGACGTTGAAGCCCGCTTCAAGAAGATTAAAAATAAAGAAAGAAGCCAGCAACACCTGGACGCATCCGAGTACAAAGTATAACCTGTTCTCCGTAAGTCCCGCAATGGCCAAAGACCATGTAAAACGCACGCACATGGAGTACTCGAGGCATTCGCGGCCAACGCTGATGGAGAGTCAAAGGTCGCACAGACGCGCCACCTAGTATTGCAGGTGGCCGTGTCCGAGTTTGGGCCTATATCTATCCTTCACAGGCATCAAGATGCCACGGTCAATGCTAGATGAAACGGACGACTCGGTGCACTACAATGGCACCAGGTGCACTGAAACATCGCCCCTGCTACCCAACCAGGCTTCAACAGTGCCTTCATCCTGGAGACAGGAAGTCCCGTCCTCGATCGAACCCCATGAGCGGCCTGTGCTACGGTGTTTTAAAACCACATGGCGTCAGGAGGCCACGACGATAGCAGCCTGGTCAGTGCCATTGTTGATGACGCAGGTATTCCAACGCGGCATCAACTTCGTGAGTATCTTCATCGTGGGCAGGCTTGGGACGAGGGAGCTCGGCGCTGTTAGCTGTGGGTAGCTCATCCATGTCCTATCCTGCGCTCGCAGCCCGGAGAGGGGCCCCAAGACGGTGCTGTGAGTGTGCTAATACCGGAATATCAGTGGCCAGCATCACGACCAACATGATAGGCAACACCATTATCCAGGGCCTTGCGAACAGCCTCGACACGCTGGCAGGCCAGGCTTTTGGGTCCGGCAACAAGCACTTGGTTGGCATCCACACGCAGCGTATGGTGTACTTCATACTGCTCTGCACTGCCCCGCTCATGGCGCTGTGGTGGAAGGCCGGCGATGTGCTCGCACCCATCCTCCCGGATCGTGAGCTGGCAGAGTTGACAGGGCTTTACCTGAGGATCATGATCCTTCGCGTCCCGGCCTTTGTTCTCTTCGAATGCGGGAAGCGCTACGCCCAAGCCCAGGGCATCTTCAACGCCGCGACCTACGTCCTCTTGCTTGTCGCCCCGTTCAATGCCTGCCTCATGTGGGCCTTGGTCTGGCATCTCGGCTGGGGCTTCATCGGAGGACCGATTGCCATCGTTTTTACGGAGAACCTGATGGCTCTGTTGCTTTTCCTCTATCTGTGGCTGATAGACGGGTATCAGTGCTGGGGCGGCTTCTCAAAAAAGGCTCTTTCGAACTGGAGTAAGTCACGTCGATCCCGTTTGAGACGCCATCACGCACAGCGAGGACTCTGACAGTCACCAAAGAGCCAATGATGCGGTTGGCAATCCCAGGCATGGTCATGCACGTGGCTGAATTCGCCGCCGACGAAATCCTCACCATCGCGTGCGCCCAGTTTGGCGCGGCGCAGCTAGCCGCTCAAAGTGCTTTGGTGACCCTGACGCAAATAACCTGGACCGTGCCCCTCGCAATATCGATCGCCGCTTCCATCCGCGTTGCCAATTTGATCGGTGCCAAGGCAACCGATGCGGCAACGATGGCGGCAGTGGTGGTCAGTTATCGCCCGTATTCCCCACGCAGTGGAAAGTTGGCTGATGCCTCACGATACAGGTGGTTGTGCTTGGGCTGATTGTCACGACGTTGTGCACCGTCCTCACGGCTGCGCTGCGATACCACATCCCGTATTGGTTCACCGATGACATGGAAGTCGTCAGCATCATCACTAAAGCTCTTCCCATCGTCATGGTCATGCAGTTCTTCGACGCCACGTCGGCCATCTCACACGGCCTGATGCGAGGGATCGGGTACCAGGAATTCGGCGGCTACCTCAACCTGGTTGCATACAACCTGATCGCGATTCCAATCTCCTTCAGCACGGCTTTCCTTCTCCACTGGCAAATATACGGGCTCTGGACCGGCATCGCGGTTGGTTTGGGCATGTAAGTCACGGTTCGAAAGCGCTGCCGAGCTATGGAGCATGTCGACTAACGGTGCCTGTAGTGTAAGCGTGGTCGAATTCTGGTGGCTCTATCGCTGGGATTGGGAGGAGGCGGTTGCAGATGCTGAAGGCAGGAATGAGGGCATTGAATCCGCAGGCTGTACATCAGCAGACATGTGAGCACCATATTGCTTGACTTTACTAGACCATCTAGATGGAACGAAAGACCAAAATGAAGTCATGGTCATGCAAATTGATGCAACAGCGATCAAATGCGTTCAATGGCCCACAAGGACCACATGCAGCAGGTGGTGAAGCAAACTCCGGCTCGTTTATTCTCCTACCGCCGACGCAGCTACTACTTAATAGTAGACTCTAGGTATGCTAATTCTCGAGTGTGTTTTCGACAGTCCCAGTGCGCTGTTCTCTAGGCAGGAGAGCCTTGAAGAAACTACAGAGTCGGGCGAATGCCAGCTCGGTGATCTGGTAGTGCAGGACAACACGCCCAGGTATCAGGTCCATCATTTTGAGATCAAATTGCCCGGCCACAGGGTAGAAGTCGTCATGCGTCAGGCCCGAGGCATCTAGGTCAAGCCAGATTTGGTTCGTCTCCGTTGGTGCTTGCAGTTTCCCGCCGAGATCAACCCACAAGGCTGAGGCCCGCTTCGCCTTGTCCTGTGCTGCCCTCAGCTTGCCACCGAGGAAGACGTCGTCGATGGCTACCCTCGCCGGCGCCGAGATGAGACCGGCGGCACGGATATCGCCGCCGAGATAATGGCGACTCCACTTGGCTCGCTTGATGAAGGCCAAACTACCCGTCACAACACTGCCAATGGGCGCCCCGAGGCCCTTTGATAAGCACAGCTGCATGCTGTCGAAGCATTCCCCAACGTCCCGCAGGGTAAAGGCGCCGGTGGCAACTGCTTCCCACAGGCGGGCTCCGTCTAGATGCATGTGTATGGGGGGATCCTGCGATCGCGCCCACTGGGAGATGGCGCGCATATCGGAGAGAGGCATTACGGTACCCCACAGCGTGTTCTCCAAGCTGATGATCCTGGTTGGGCAGTCGTAGACTGTGTCCGTCAAGGTGGCATGCCTCTTTACATCATCGAGAGTGAGGTGATGACCGTTGGACGGAACAACCGTTCTGATCAAAGCACCGCACATGGCCGCCGCGCCACCGCTCTCAAAGGTGACGATATGGCCTCTGTGGTCGGCAAGGATTGAGTGAGGCGGCGCGGTTAGAGCTGTTCGGAGGGCCACCTGGTTTCCCATGGTCCCCGACATGACCAGCAGGGAGGCGTCGTGGCCCACCAGCTCGGCAACGTATTCTTGGAAGCGATTGGTGGTTGAATCTTCTTCCATTACATTATCCCCGAGGGTGGTGTTTATGATTGCATCCAGCATGGGCAGCGTCGGCTTCGTGAAAATGTCCGACCGGAAGTCGTTTGAGGCCTCATCGCTGTGCGACCACGCCAAATTGGGCTCAGGCTGTCTTTGCTTCTCGAGTTCGAGAACCTGGTGGCCACGTCGGCTGGTTTTGGCGTCAACATCAACAGACGCCGGCGGACGTTCGAAACGCCAAGGCTTCTCCAGGATAACAGTGTGGGAATCCATCAGCTGTGTATGTACTCAAGGCCTGGACGATGCCCACTCCGTGTAATGCGAGATGTTGTCGGGCCAAAAAGTCCGTCGCTCAACGAGATATATAGGCGACGACGGTTGCGATCCGCTTCCGGAGGAAGGAGAGATGCGTTGAGTTCTGATCAATGCATTGGCAGTCTGCGAAACTGATTGTGCCAGAGACAATTGTTGTGGTAGCTGCTTGGCCGAAGCTGATTTGGAGTGGGCCATGCAGACCTTCGAATCCCTGTTCCAAATAGCCCCAAGCACACCTAGCAGGGCAGATCTTTTGCCAACCCGCGCCCCTAATCCTGCTTGACATCCGGCCTTGTCAAGAGCCATCGCGCTGAGAGGCGCATCAGACCGCTGGCACTCCAATGCCAAACCTCAGATACGTCAGCGTCTACATGCACCATCCAAGGGACTAACGTAGTGTCTCGGAGCAGGACGATGTTATGACAACAAGTCACACCGCTTCCGCGGATATGCCGGAACACAATGCTCGCAAAACGGCGGCAGCCGAAACACGGCAGCAGCGAAAATGTAACACAGTACATGGCAAAAGAAAAGGTAACAAAGACACCGTCTCAGCAGTGACCCAGCTGAACATGGCATGAACAACGCACGCCGTCTGGGGCTGGAGCGTCCCCCTCCCCCCCCGAGCTATACCCAATGGCAACCCCGCTCTCCGCCTCCCTCTGCACAGAGACAATGTACCTTGCGGTCTTTCAAAATGGGGCTTGATTCTTTTAGTTGGCATTGACGAATGAAAAGTTTATTCAGTATGTTCCTAGGGCTCGACTATGCAGCTAGGTTGACCAGTGACAGACTATGCAGCTAGGTTGACCAGTGACATGCCTCCCATCTTACGACCAAAAGATCAACCGCGGCTTGCCGCCAGACTTTGAACTCGGCAACAGACCCATGAAGCTGCTCAGGCACAACCGCGGCCTATACTTGAGTCCCAGCGACGGCATCTCCTCTGGCGTCACGGCTTCCACCTCGTGCATGTTTCGTGAGTTGAACATGCAGAGTGCCCCGAGGGTCGGTTCGCAATAGACCTTACGCGCTCCAGATACCAGGTCATGGTGATATCCGTAACTGTCTGGGTCGCGTTGCTTGAGTGCATCCTGTGTCCACTGAACGTCGTATACGATCTGTAGACTCCTGTCAGACCATCAAGAACCAGATAAAGCTGTAAAGAGAAATAGCTTAAACGACTTACTGTCCGCCCGTCTCTCACAGGAGCTAGATAGAGGTTAAACACGATTTGGTACTCGACTGAGTTGATGATCCAGTCCTCGGTATGGCTGTCGTACGGTGCAAAGTCGCAGTGCAGGTGCGTCGAGTCGTTGAGAGCGCGGAAGATACCCGAGAAATAACTACGCCCCGGCGCCTCGGAAGCGATCTGGACGTCCCAGTCTGGGAAGAAGCCGGCAATGCGATTAAACACTCGATACCATGCATCGAGTCCCTCTTCAGCAGATAGCTTGCAGTGAAAGTCCTCCCACTTCTTGGCATCCTCGAAGTACTTGTCCTGCTCTACAAATCTGTCAACAAGATTCCACAGCACATTCATGCTCAAGATCCCTACCATCACTGCGTGTTCTAAGGTCCTTTTGCGATTGAGCCTGATACTCAAATTGCGCGATGCCTACCTTCCGCAAGGTTGGCCCGGTGTTGTGGATGTAGGGGGTAACGAGTGGGCTCAGTTTCTGCTCATATCTGGAGCACTCCGCCGGAGTGAGAAATCCTGGCTCTTTTATGAGCGGCGTCCTGCCGTAGAGCAGGTCAAGCACGCTATCGCGACTCAGGGGCACACTGTCTGTGGTTGTCCATCGCGATCGCCACTGGCCGAGCACAGTGGCAGCAGCAGGCTGCTTCACAAGCTGTGGTCTCCTGTGGGTAGGGCTAAATGTGGTGGGTGCCACGTTCGAAACGGACCTTGCCCAGGGTGTCCTCCCCTCGGGGCGAGGAACGTGGCGAATGTGACGAAGCATCTTTACACCAATTGTATGTACAGTAGTTGTGTGGTCGAGGACGAGAGGATGGAATAGTCAGCCACCAGACTCATCTAGGTCTGCCGGCGGTGGTTGGATTTATCCAACTGGTAAACCGGCTAAACCCACAACAAGACGGGACCTTGCGCTGCACCAGATCCGCCCCGGCATAGCAAGGCGCAGAACACCGCGGTTCAGCTATGCGGAACCTTTGAACCTGCGCCTGCATGACAAGCGACAGTCACTCACATGAGGCTACGACAGTGTTGGCCATAGTGGTAAAGCTTGGATCGGCCATCCTGACCTGTGGCTACCTGAGGTCTCGGAAGCAGCAGCTGCCATGCAAGACGGGATGCATTGTCCGAGCCGTCAGGAGTTGTGACAACAACACTGCCAGCTTTGAGCTCGAAAGTCTCAGTAAGATCACACCGCCAAGGGGCGTGCTCTGAGTCGTGATCAACAGCAAAATTGCCACCCTGCACGTTATTGTGAGCGATATTGACACTGAAATACTAGCGATACATTGGTATTCTCAAGGAGCCATCTTGCTAGTTGTGTCTTGTGCTCCCATCGGTGAATGCTGTCTCAAGTCATGGCACTCCGCGGCAGGGGTCAAGTCTGTGACTTCCGCCATGATGTGGGAAGTGGGAGCATGAGTGACGGTGTGATGGAGCCGATCTTGAGCCGACATGTTGCTCGACTGCCCCAACAGCCTCGCCCTTTTTCTCCAAGAAGCGCTTTTGTGTCATTAATGTGACAAGCCTCTTATAATGGGCGGGACATGCCGCCAGATTTCTAAAGTTGCCGACACCTAATGCAAGCGCCAGTACCAACGACACGCATACGCCGCAACCTTTACAGGACTCTTTTTGCCGCCTTTTCGCGTTCTGAATAGCCATGATCATGGGACTTGGGATTCAAGCTTCCATCGCACTTCATATCCCTCATATCATCGGCGTCGTGGTCTTCGCCTTCGCAGCGAGGAGCTTACTCGGCCGCCTATGTCGCTGGTAACGGAGTTTTGCTTTCGCACGTTCACAGGGCTCGAAAGGCGCTAACTTGTGGGCAGGGGTAGTAGACGCCGTTGGGCTCTCAAACAGCAACTCGTCACACCGAAAGACGCGGCTCGTGACGGGCCGCTCTGGAACATCGAACCGCGCCATGACTTTGACTGGGCCATCACTCCTCCAATGAAGCTTCGACCATATAAGCCACGATATTATATGACCATGGGTAAGATCATTCCCACTCAGCCACCCATTGTCTTGATGTGCCGATCTGCGCTCTGACAGATGGGTGGGCACAGGGGTGAGCAACGCCAGCACGTCCGATCTCGTCACCATTGACAGCGAGTTCCTCAAACGCCTGCAACTACGCCGCGACATCTTGCGAGAACACCCCACTTCATCCATGCGAGCGACTCCGAGGGCGGAGCCAGCAATACGGGAACTCTACGAGTATCTGGCGGGATTCTATCTCCCCAAGCGCTACCCCACGCTGTTCAGGACTCGTGTAGATGGGGGAGAAGCTGTTCTTGAGAACCTCGCCTCGGCGGAGACGTACCCTCAGCGGGCTCCTAGCGCGACGGATGCCACGATGCAGCGCCTTGGCACGCTCGTCGACGAGGACTTTATTTTCCTCATGCCACCACCGGACGGGACCAGAGGCGAGTACACGATACAGGGATGGGTCGTCTGCTTCACAAGCGGATTTGATCTGCCCCCGCTGCTGGAGAAGCCCCTCAGCTTCGTTCATGCCCCTGTGCCGGGGTATGAGGAGAAACTGGGGCTGAGCATGACGAGGTGGTTCGACCGGCTCGCCGTCGGCCGGCTAACCCGCCGCTACAATGTGCGTTTCGGCCGGGCCATGGCATTACTTGACGTGTTGGTTTATGTCATTTGCTTACCGCGTCGGCAACATAGTGGGCCATCACCGTGCATGGTGGCTTGAGGCTCAGCCACGGCGAGAACGCCCTCTACGCATTTCACGAAACGTCACGGCAGCAGCAAACTGACGTAGATATAAGCAAGGTTCGTGACCCACACCACGAACAGGGGAATTACATCTGACCACTTGGCGCGCTTGTCCTTCTAGGCGCACCTCCGAACGGAACTTCAGCACCTGTATAGGCTGCCATCATCCCGCGCCATCGTGCTAATGTACAAGACGTACCTGTACCCTCTGGAAGATATCAAAGCCGAGGGGCAGGGAGGGGCCCTCGCGGACGCGATCGGTGGCCTGTCCAAGGGAAACGTCCCTGCCATGGCCAAATACAAGGGCAGCGAGATCTGGGGCGAGGCAGTGTGCAAGTTTCTCAGATCCTAGCACGTGTCTTTCACGCCTGCCTTTCTTCCGCAGTCAGCCCCTGTTTTCACATGCAGTGCGCGCTTACTAGTTGAAGGATCGCCGTTGGAGAGCCTCAAGAGTCTCCGCCTGGGGGGCCCGTATTATCGAGACCTGAGCGGTTTCTTTTGGAGCACGGACATGCAGCGTGTCTCAAACCTGTCACAACGAAAGACATGCAGGTAGTATCCGGCCAGGAATTTCCACGGCGAGACCTCCAAGTCATGTGTTCGTGGTTTGTGTGTCAATTGCCGAGATCTGTGTCTAACGGAGGTGCCGCCAGCTGCAGCATCTAATACTGACCTTGCGGGGCACGCTGGATGCACTCGGGGTATCCCAGTGGCCGAACTGCACAAAACCACGGTGCCCTGTACTGTGGTGATATATGTAAGGGATCCTGAAGAAGACTTGGCCTGAAGATGGACTTTGTTCTCGTGCGCCGTGGATAGCAAGGTCTGTCCAGTACATAAATGAAGTCAAAACCACCTTTCGTCTTTTCCGGCCGCAAAGCTCTCCAGCACCCTTCCCACCATGACGGTGCATCTTTTTAGCCCATTAGCGTGCTGCTCTGCTCTCCGCGTCAGCGGTCTGCCGTATGGATCCCCCAAATTGGCTCCCTGGCTACGAGGCTTCATCAAAGACGTCGATGGCCGAGCCAAGACGCCACTGGACCCGATCGTCCAGGACCTCCAGGACCTTATTGAGGGTAAAGCCGAAATTCGCATGTTGGCTTCAGCAATGCTCGATGAAATACCGAACAAGGACCCCTACAAGGGCAATCCTTCAGAGCACAAACTTATCCGGGACTATCGCCACCTGCTCCGGCTCGTCAGTGTAGTCATGAATGAGGTTGCGCCAGCCTGGAACATGACCAAGGATCGTATGGCAATTATTGGAGAGCCGTTCAACATCCTGTTGGACTGGCCGATGAGTACGCCGAGCGGATATGCGTTCTTCCTACGGGAGGATGTCAACGAAAGGCTCAAAACCATTCTGGACACCTGGCGAGAACGAGTTCTAAAAACCACCAAGTCGCAATACGTTCTCACAACTGAGGATGGAGGTTGGCTCTGCAACACGGCGTTGAAAGTCATCGAGGAAGACGCCAACATCGGTGTTGTGCCCTGGGCCTCGTTTCGAGCCATCTTCAGCTGCGATCCTGCAGGGGACCCAGTCCATTGGGGCTATAGGACTTGGGACGAATTTTTCACGCGCAAATTCAGGGATATTGACCGGTTCCGCCCCGTCTCTTATCCTAGCAACCCTGCATGGGTGGTACACGCGTGCGAGTCCATACCTCTTGCGTTGAAAATGAACGTCAAAAAATACGATAAATTCTGGATGAAGGGCCAGAACTACTCAGTAGCCGAGATGCTAGATCATCACGAACTTGCGGACCAGTTCGTCGGCGGCACAGTATACCAGGCTGTCCTGAGCTCAACGTCATATCATCGCTGGAGTTGTCCGGTGGAAGGAGATGTGGTTTTTGCAAGGATAATCCAGGGAAAGTACTTTGCGAAGACGCAAGCTGCAGGGCTGGATGACGCGGACCAAGAGAGCACACATCAGCACGAAGTCTACTGCAGCCATGTCGCTACCCGAGCCATCTTGTTCATCCAAGCGCCCGACCCGATCGGTCTAATGTGTCTCATCTCTCTCGGCGCAGCTGATGTATCGACATGTGAGATTGCAGGAAAGTTTAGCACAGGTTGGCCGAAGCCCGTGGCGAAAGGTGAAGAAGTTGGCATGTTCCACTACGGAGGTTCAAGCTACTGCCTCCTTTTCCGGAAAGGGGTGCAACTTGCCTGGGTTCCGGGGGCAATTCCTGGTAATGGAAAGAAGAACCAGCCAATTCGCGGGGAGCTGGCCCTTGCATATTGAATTCAGACGCTTTCACAGTCACAGCTCCTAGTGTCAACTTGTTCACATTCAATAGATGCGCCCGTTGTGGCAAACATACTAGAGACATTTCGTGGTTTTGCTTGATCTCGGCACGGTCACAGGGCCTTTAGACACACTATAAATGGCGACATCTGCCAATTCCCACAGAAGAGGAGAGCGAACCCATTCGCACGAAGAAACTCGTAAGCACAGAAAGGATACTTGAACATGCATCGCTCCAGGCTCTTTCCTGGGACATGACAATATTGGGCAGCAACCGTCCAATGGTATTGGGCTTGGCCACATTCATCAATCCGGGAATTAGACCGCATCAGACCCCGTTGAGACTCACATCCAAGCTGGAGGAATTGATTAGCTTCGTATGCATAACGTATAGACAGTTCTTGCGGTGTATGCGGCAAGGAACTGTGGGAAACGTGCGCCGTTTGGATGTGAGCCTGATGGTGCTGTCCACCAGTGACCGGCAACAGGACCTACCACGTCACCTTGGTTGATTCGCAATGACATGAGGTGTCTCATTTGCGTTTTGTTTCCTTTTTGGCGACATTGCAGGCTGTCAGCAAGCCACTCCACTGAAACACGGCCTGAGAAAGAACGAGCAACGTTATGCGCTGATCTTCGGCCAGCTACGGAGTTGTCTCAAGTAGATCTGCAGCAGTGCATGAGTCCGATGTAGGTAATTGCCGCAGAGGATGCAGTGCCCGCTGTTTTGCCCTGGCGTGTTCGGATACTCTGGGGGGGGAAAGCTTTCGAGATGTATCGCATGAGATGCTGATGACCTTGCCGAAATCTTTTGCTGGTCTCCACGCCACTTCCAGGAGTTACTCCGTAACCACAACAGCGTGACCGTGTCAATGGACCGTGGAGCGTTTGCTGGATTGGCGGCAGGGCGGCAGCTTCGCCCCCCCAACCCCCTAGATGGCCACTCACAAGGAACAAACTGCGACACGTTGTCAGAAGACGACTCAAGAAACGCTGAAGCTCATTCTTCAGTCCCCCGAATGCCTATTGCCGCCAGGAACGCCCGAGATTTGCCCGCATTTCCTCCACACCATCAGCGTATTGCGAACCATACACCGCGGTAAGTATCGCCACCATTAGCGGAAAAGACGATGGAGAGCTGACATTGTGCTATCGAGCATGTACTTGCCTCCTGAGCATCAGTGTGAGCGCCTTCGGCGGAACCCAGAGATAATATCAGATCGGTCGGCCAGCATGATGCCCAACGATGAGGCAGCTACGATCGGCCCGCGCAGCGATACAGAGTCAACGCCCCTTTTGAATCCCCCCGTGCTATGCGCCTGTGCGGCAGATGCAATCGCCACGGGGCAGTCCGCCGGGGTACTGCTCGGGCAGAAATCAGGGCCAAGCGATTCCTGTAGCAAGTGGCGTGACGAGGCCATGACCCTCATAAGCTACGCTGCACCTCTGGTCGTAACATTCTTCCTGCAGTATTCGATTGACGTATCGAGCGTCGTAGCGGCAGGCAGGCTTGGCAAGATAGAATTGGGAGCCGTATCATGTCAGTCTGTGTCAATGCCTGCACCTAGGTGTTATGACGCCACTGACCCTTGCCACAGTGGCCAACATGTTGGCAGCAATTACCTGTTTCGCAGCATTTCAAGGCCTAACCACAAGCCTGGATACTCTATGTTCTCAGGCGTACGGGTCTGGAGAAAAGCAGCTAGTGGGGCTGTACTGCCAGCGCATGATGCTTCTCTTGTTTGGCTTGTCGATTCCAATAGCGACATTGTGGCTGGTCTCCGAGAGTATCATCATCCACCTCGTTCCCGACCCTGATTCAGCCCGTCTATGCGGCTCATACCTTGGAATCCTAACACTAGCTATTCCGGGATACGCCGCATTCGAAGTTGGCAAGCGTTTTGTCCAGGCCCAAGGACTGTTTAGAGCAAGTACTTATGTTCTTCTCGTCGGTGCACCGATCAATGCTGTGTTGATGTGGCTCCTTATCTGGAAGTTCAACCTTGGCTTTATCGGCGCCCCCATCTCAGTTGCCATCACAAGGACACTGTTGCCTTTGCTCCTGCTCCTTTACGTCGGACTTGTCGATGGCTCTCAATGCTGGGGAGGATTTAGCACGAGGGCGTTTGACAATATGGGAGTCGTGTTCCGTCTCGCCGTACCGGGAATGATCATGGTAGAAGCAGAATGGCTAGCTTTCGAGATCATGACTCTCATTTCGGCTCGGTTTGGAACAGAGTATCTCGCAGCGCAGAGCATCCTGATTACCCTCACCACTCTGTCATACCAGATCCCTTTTCCCCTGTCGATTGCCGCTTCTACCAGGGTGGCCAGCTTGATTGGCGCTGGACAAGTCCACAATGCAAAGGTGGCAGCGCGAGTGGTGAGTGGAGTGGGCGCGTGCTTTTCCGAAGGTTTGCGTACGCAACCTGAGATAACGAGCGCTAATCCTTGCAGGCAGTGGTGGCTTCCTTGCTGTGCACCCTTGTAAACTTCGTCGTCTACATCACGTTTCGAGCCCGGCTACCACACATCTTTACCAACAACGAAGAGGTGGCCGCGCTTGTCACCTCGACTTTGCTGCTTGCGGGAGCGTCGACCTTCTTTGACGGCGTGGGTGTGGCGGCCCATGGGCTACTACGCGGCATTGGCAAGCAATCTGTCGGCGGAGTGGCCAACCTCGTCGCATATTACGTCGTCTCGCTGCCCCTATCGCTATGCTTCAGTATTGGGCTCCAGTGGAAGATTGACGGCTTGTGGGTGGGCTGTACCGTTGGGCTTGTGGTGTAAGTGCCAGCTACGTTGGGATACGATGTTTGACGACTGCGAGCCAGCTGACAAAGGACAAGTGTATCCATGATTGAGTATACTTACTTACTCACGACAGATTGGCACAAAGCTGTCATCGAAGCAGTGGCCAGAAGTGCCATGGGATGATGTTTTGTTATGCAGACAGCGTGGCAGTATTCAAGCGCTGGAGGACACAAGTATAGAGTAAAGCCAGGCTCTCCTGGCCGCAGGTGGCTTCCAGGGGTACCCATCTCTTCGTGGTCCGCGCCAGCAACGTTGGCACCACTGTCAACAAGCAAGTGCATCGCCTCTACGTGTCCATCTGTGAGGCCGCATTCAAATGCGTCGTCCACCTATAGCTTTCTGCCTCAGAAGGGTCTGCATCATTGGCTAGCAAAAGTTAAACACCTCATCGTGGTAATTGCTGCAGACAGTCACGAAACATTGCGGACCAGCCTTCTCTCCTCTCTGCATGCAGGGGGAAGACTTTTACCCGAGAGTAAGACTGCAGTGCTGGGAACGTGTCGCTAATACCGGGAAACACATCGCTTTATGTCACGAATGGCATAAAGCGTGTCGGAGCCGCGATTTACAAGGGTAGGGGGCTAGATTAGGACGTGGCCATCTGTATCACGCCCATCATTACAACATTCGGAAGCTTAAGTTGGCTGCCCGCTGCTACCACGGGAGTTTCCACGGAGCGTAAATCGAAGGCACTTTTCAATAGTGCTCACCCAGCACGGCACGACGGACTTCATGTTCGGACTCGCTGCGTGTCCGGCTCGATGTACGCGTAATCAAGTCCGCAGCCCGTCCAGTCTGCCGGGCCTTGCGGAACTGCAGCGGAGACACTGGGCTGCCGCCTGGCGGGGTCGACTACCGGCATTCGGACGCGGGCCGGTGCTGTGCCGCTCCGCCGATCCTGCACGAGTCCGTAGGCAGTCGTCTAGTCCCGGTAAACGACAACCGGCCGGCATTGACGGGCTCTTTTGCCGTTTGATGCAAGGGCCATGAAAAAGGACTTGCCACCTGACAGCGAGAAGCATATCCCGCTCAGGTCCGCCGACAAATCCGCCGTCACAAGACCTTGCGTCGGCCCCGTTGCGGCCCGCTTGAATGGTCGGTGGTCTGGTCTAGCAGCTGGGCTGATTCGGCTCAGCATTGCGTGTTATTCGGTTGACGAGATCATGCAGTACCGGACGGCGCAAGACGTCTACAATCGAGAGTGAAAAGCCAACCCTTCTGGCTTCGCTAACGACCATCATCGCAGAAATGGAGGTGCCTCCTAGACCGAAGAAATTGTCATGCAGTCCAATCGTATCACGTTCTCTGCGAAGGGCGCATCCCCAGATGACCTGCATCTGCCGCTCGGATTCTGAGGCTGGCTGCTGAAGGGGTTCCCGTTTCGTGGTGGGCTGTTGAGGTCGCTTCGCGAGTGCCTGGCGATTAATTTTGCCATTTTGGTTGACAGGCATCTTGTCCAGGATTGTGAGTGATTCCGGAACCATGTACGAGGGCAACTTGGAACGCAAAACCTCGTACAGCTTCTCCTCCATGTCCTGGCCATCTTCCATGCTATTGCGGCATGTCAAAAAGCCGACTAGCCGTGCTTCCTGCCCGTTTCCTCCCTGCAAGAGGGCAACTGCCTCAGCCACACAGTCCTGGCTGCGAAGGAGAGACTCGATCTCTCCCAGCTCTACTCGATGTCCTCGAATCTTCACCTGGTCGTCAGATCGACCGAGGTACTCAAGTTCGCCATCTTTCGGGCGCCAGCGAGCGAGGTCTCCTGTCCTATAGGCTCGACACTCCTCACCGCCTATCAGTACGGTGACGAACCGGTCAACGTTGTCACGGGGGTCGATATATCCCCTCGCCAGGCCGTCGCCCGTCACCGCCAGCTCTCCGACCACGCCGAGCGGAACAAGTTGCTGCTGTGTGTCCATCACGTAGGCACCCGAGTTGCTGACAGTGCGCCCGAATGGCACGTCCACTGACAGGCGCGCGTCCTGGTTCGGCAGGGTATATATCGTGCTCACGCCCGTATTCTCGGTTGGCCCATATCCAGTCTGCACTGTGCCTTTGATGAGCTGTTGCGCTGCAAGCATGTCCTTCGACTCGGTCCGGTCTCCCCCCACCTGGAGCAACGAGAGTTGGCTTAGCGCGGCAGGGCAGCCAGTAAGATATTGCTTGAGCAATGCCGGCGTAATCATGAGAGCTCCAACTCCCTCACGCAGGAATATGTCGGACATCGCCGAACAGTCTAGAACATCTGCATCGTCGACACAAATTAATGTGCCACCGTTTACGAGGGTCGAGTAAATCTCCGTCGTTGACATGTCGAAGGCGATGCTCGAGATATGTGCCATGACTGGGGCCGCCGGAAGGTGTTCTATATAATTGCTCTGTTTCACCAGTCGCAGTATGTTACGATGTTCGGCCATAACTCCTTTCGGACGTCCAGTAGAACCCGAGGTAAACATAACGTAGGCGAGACTCCTGGCCGAAGTCTTACAGCGCAAAGGGGGGCTCTGGCTTGCGCAGTCGTGCTTGTCCTGGCCCACGAGGACATCCTGTATGTGAACAAACACCAGGTCGTCCGAGGCAATAACCGGCGGTGGGGTGTCGGACGTGAGTAGAACGAGCTTGTGGCCCTGTATCACTGACAGTATATCCTCCAATCGTCCGATGGGTGTCTTGGCATCGAGTGGCAAGTAGGCAAGGTTGGCCTTGAGAATGCCCAGGAAGGCAATCGTTGTAAAGCTGGACCGGGTTCCAAGTACGCCAATCAGAGTCTCAGGCGGGAACGACTTTGCTGCCAGCCACCCTGCAACCAGATCTGATGCCCGATCTAGTTCAGCATATGTAAGCTGAGTAGAGGCGTCCTTGACGGACGTTCGACCAGGACTCGCTACGACCTGTTGGCGAAAAACATCGACAACACTCGAGTCTCGCGGATAATCGGTTCTATGCACGCGAATGAGACCAAGTTCATCGAGGCGCTCCAAATCGTCGTCACTGCACAATGGTAATGACGATAATGGAACATGGGGCTCGTTCATGCCTCCCTCAAGGACTTTACGGAACACAGACAGCATGTTGCTGATGGTCCCGTGGTTGTAGAGGTCGACTGAGAAGAGTACTTCGCCACGAAAATCATGCTCCTCTTGGTAAAAGTGAAGCTCCAGATCGAACTCGGAAGCCATCGACGACTCCAACCTTTGTGAGTCGACTCCTTCAAAGTGGAACTTTCCAAGCTGTGACTGAGAATGCAACGCAAAGCCAATTTGGACCAGAGGATGGCGCCCTATTTCGCGGGTTATTCGCAGTTGTGACAATATCCGGTCAAAGGGTACGTCCGCGTTGGCGAGGGACAGCAATGTCACTTCTTGAACCTGTTGGATGAGCTCTTCGAAGGAACCATGATCGACCCGAGTTCGAATACATTGCATGTTAACAAAGAACCCTAATATATTTTTGACCTCTTCTCGGGCGCGGTTAGCGTTGGCAATCCCGATGGTCGCATCGCTCGAGCCCGTAAGTCGGTAATGGGTTGCTCTGAAGGCAGCCAGAAACACCACAAACGGTGTCACGTCCCTCTCGATGCAAAATTTTCTCAAGCGTTGATAGAGCTCCCCCTCGACTTTGAACCGTAGAATGTCGGCTAGACCAGAGAAGGTAGCTGGCCGTGGGTTGTCATAAGGCAGAATGGCTGGCCAGCTTGTCTCCAACTGCGTCACCCAATAGTTCACTTGTCGCCGCATATGGGGTGCCTCTTCACTGCTCTGCTCCCTTTCCCAGGCAGCGTAGTCTCTGTACTGGATATGGAGAGGTTCGATATGTGAAAGGGGGTCTTGGCCACGAAGGGCAGCGGAGTAAAATCGAGCCAACTCTTTGCAGAGGACATCCATTGACCAGCCATCGTGGATAATGTGATGTAAAACGACGGACAAGATATGGTCGTCGATGCCGCGCCGGAAAACTGATACCCTCCAGCCTGGCTCTGTCTCTAGATTGAACTTGGTCTCCTGGTCTGCTCGAAGTAGCCCCATTGCCTCCTCCTCGTCAGTCGACGACACGTCTATAACCTTCAAGTCCTTTGGCTGGAAGGGATGTACCCTCTGGAGATTTGCGCCATCAATGCTTACGAAGGTCGTCCGGAGGGTTTCATGTCGGCGTTCTAGGGCGAGAACGGCAGTATGCAGGGCTGAGAGCTGCAAGGGTCCTCGTAATCTCACTGCAAACGGCAAAACATACCATGCCAACTGAGGGTGCAGATGATGTAGGAACCACAAGCCTTCCTGACGATGCGACTGCTCGAAGAGCGCGCCATTCCCAGAGGTCGGAGCGCCATTCCCAGGGCTCGGAAGAGGCTTGGCCTCGCTGACCTCGCTGCCAAGAGTCAAACTTCCCTCGCTGGGTATTTGTTGCGACGTGTGACTTGAAGGAAACGAGGCGACAGGCGTAGCTCGGACGCCTGCATGAGAGGGCGACAGGGTTCTAGCGAGCTTTGCTATTGTCTTTTCTCGAAGGACTTCATCAGCCCGGATATTGATGGACACCGCGCGAGCCGCTGCCGAAACCCGCATTGCAGTGATGGAGTCGCCCCCAAGCTGCAAGAAGCGATCTTCCAAGCCAATGGACCTTTCGTGTACGTCGAGTATCTGGCTCCAGATCAGTCGCAGCTGTTGTTCTACCTTCGAGTACACGTGCCGTTCTGCCTCCGCTGTTGGCATTTTGGCTTTTTGCTGTGTGGAAAGCGACCGGCCAAGCTCCCTTAAAGCGCGGCGGTCTATTTTCCCCGTCGGTGTCATCGGGAACTCGGGCAAAGAAACGACAACGTGCGGCACCATGTAACCTGGAAGATTCTCGGCCAGGCTGCGTTCCATTTCGTGGGGAACCCAGGAAATTGTCGCCTTGTCGATTCTCGCTCTCGTGTCGACGACCCTGACGAACACGGCAAGAACAGGACTGGCCTTCCCGTCCGGTGCGAAGACTTCGACCACGACTTGTGTCGCTTCTGGCATATACTTTTGCACAGCGCATTCGATTTCTCCTAATTCGACTCGCTGTCCTCGAATCTTGACTTGGGTATCCTTCCGGCCAATGAAGGACAGGCTTCCATCCTCGTTATACCGGACCAAGTCTCCTGTCTTGTAGAGACGCCCATGCCGCCCCGGCTTGCCCCCGCCTCCCCGGAGTAGCCACTGGGGATCTCGGACAAAACTGGCTGCCGTTCTGGTAGGATCATCGAGATACCCTGGGCCAACGAGAGGACCCTCGAGAAGAAGCTCCCCCACGCAGCCGAGCGGTGCTAGGCAATCGATGTTGTCTGGCTCTACGATCCAGGTAACCAACCCATACCCCTTTCCTATGCGCGTCATCTCCTGAGGCTCGGTCGAAGCGTCGTTGAACGTACTGGCAGGGGTGCACTCGGAAGGTCCGTAACTGTTCACGACCCGCACTTTTCCCAGCCACGGTTCAATGTCATGGGCCTTGAGCTGCTCTCCCGCACAGACGAGCGTCTGCAGGCCAGGAATTGCCGTTGGATCCAGCAGCCGGAGAGCAGATGGGGTAATCTCGAGAACAGTAGCGCGGGTAGACACGAGGCTCTGCGCAAGATTGTCCCGCCGGTCGTCATCGCTGGGAGTGCAAAGGCACCCGCCAACTACAAGTGTCTTCATGGCGTTATAGACGCACGCATCGAAGCTATAAGACGAGAACTCGAAGACTCTAGATTCCCTGTCGATATACCGGATGTCGCGTTGGTAATAGATTGCCGATGCGAGGTTCCGATGGGTTATCATGACACCCTTAGGTGTCCCTGTACTGCCAGATGTGAAGATGACATACATGATGGAGGAGGGCCCTGACGACTCGGCGGGATGACGAGGTGTGAGTGTGTCGATACATTGGAGGGATTCAACATTGACAACAAAGACAACCGCGTTCTTCTCAAGCCGCGAGCTGAGAGCCTGGTTGGACGGAGACGAGAGTAGCAGGCTGGCGTTAACTTGGGCGACAATCTCTCGAAGACGTTGCTCAGGGAGAAGAGCATCAAGCAACAGGAAGGCGACTCCAGCCTTCATAACGCCCAGCATAGCCACCGTGGTCCACATGGACTTTTCGAAGCACAACGGTACTATCATCCCGGGTCTGAGTCCGAACGAGACAATTCGAGTTGCTAGCGTCGCAGCTAGATTGTCCAGTTCTTCATATGTTAGCCCCCCATCCCATGCAGATACGGCCATAGCATGAGGCTGAGCTCGTACTGTGTCTTGGATCATGTCGTGGACACACATGTCGATGGGACGTGGGACAGAGCAGTTCCAACTCCATATCACCTCGGTATGGTCCGGTGAAGTCATCTCAATCTCATCCAGCGTTTGATCCGGGCGACAATTCCTCAGCTGGTGTGTCCCAAACTCAACTAGGTCAGGTAGATGTTGGGCTGCGAATGATTGGACTGCTCCTGGGCGAAAGAAAGTAGCAAGTGTGATCGCATCAGGGCTGATGTGAATACAAAGCACTGCGTCGCACATTTGGTCCCGCAGTTGTGTACTACAACCCCGGGTATTTTCTAGTGGCGTCGGCGTTTCGATGACAAGCGCTTCCTGGCTTGAGATCCCTCCAACTGGATGAACTTTGCTGGTGATTCCGCTCAACTCATTCCAGCCGCTTTGTCGAGTTGAAGTGGCGAGGACCACCCGTTGTTGAACAGCCGCCAAATACTCTGAGATCTTCCGGTTACTAGGTAGTTCGAGGCTCATGGTTACAGCTTTTGATGCCAGGCTTTCCATTCGGTTACTGTTGACTGCGACGGAGGATTCCGTAATCACCGCGCCGAATGTCACGTTGTTCGAACCCATCATCTTTCCAACGACTAGAACCCAAGCCGCACAGACAAGTGTAGCGGCTGGCGTCGGCACCCTAGTTGAGGACATTGTGCCGGTGCTGCTGTCAACCGACATTCCCAATCTCGTCGCGGTCGTTCTGTGATGACAAGCGCTTGGAATGTGTTCAGTCGCTGTCGGGACACCAGATTCTGGTGCGTGGGAGTGCGTTTCTGCTTCGACCAACAAATCATCCGGTCTGATTCGGCTGTGGTGGCCCTGTCGGCCGGAGAAATGGTTTGCAAGATCCTTGTGGATTGGGTGGCCATCATCAGTGCGAAAGATACCGTCCCATAGGATCACCTGGGGAACTATATGGGCGGGCAGCTTCCCTTGAAGCATACTCTGGAGCATTTTTTGCGCCTTCCGCTGCAGTGTGTGCTTCAGCGGATGGCTACTGAGTGTGAGAAGTCCCCGGTTGCCACGATCAGATGGAAACTGAAACAAGACTCTGCGCCTGTTTTCAACCTGACTGTAACAATGAAAAATAGCATCGAGCCCGCCGCGCTGTGAGTGTTGCCGAGCCCAGCTGAGCTCTACCTGGCAGCCAACTTCTCGGGCGAGATCAACCAAGTCAATAGCCGAGAGTGAAGGCAAACATTGAGCTGATTGATGCAAAGATGAAGCCAATTCGTATCCACGGTGATGTCTGGCTCCTGGGAGTTCAATAGATCGACGATATGACGCTCCAGATTGAACTTCCGATTCGGGATATTACATATTGGGACAGGCGATGACCGGATTTGGTTCCGTACGAGTTCCAACAGTGAAGCGCGAGTCAATCCTTGCTTTGTGAAGTCTGTCCATTGTTCTTGATCAATATTGTGGAGTTTAAGCGGCTGCTGCATGGTGGCCTTGACGTATATGACAGCGGCATAACGAAAGCAACTGAGCTCATTGTCGGCACGCATTTTCTTCGGAAGGATTTCCACATGTTCGATGCGGTCGGGGAGGCGGCTTGCCAATTCTATGAAGAAGGCAGGATCAATGAGCAGTTCGGGCTCTGACTCTTCCATTTGAGTCACCATGTCCCAGATTTCGTCCTTGCGTGCTTTCAGACCAGTGGTGCGTAGGGCCTTGGCCACGAGGAACTCCCTATGCAGTGCCATGGATCGGACGTCGCCTATGAAGATGGTTTCGACTGTGTCCAACTTCACAATATCTTGTATGATCCTGAACAAGTAATCCTGGCCCGGAAAATACTGGATAACAGAGTTCAAGATGACAAGGCCAGGTGACACAGGTTTGTCAAGTCGGGCCAAGTCTGTTGCGGTCGCCCTGATCATGTCGACCTTGTTCTTCAGTCCAGCCGTAGACGCTACCCTTTTGGTGACAAAGCTAACCGCGTGTGCGGAAGGCTCCAACCCGACGTAGGTCTGCAGTTCTCCAGCCAAATTGAAGAGAATCATCCCAGAACCTGTTCCAATCTCGAGAATATGGCCAGAATGCCCCCCGTCCAGTATAGTCGCGATCGTGTCATCCAACCACTCGTCCATCTCCGCTCCATCGATGACACTGCCATCGTACGCGGAAACCCAGCCAATGAAGTCTCGTCCGGTCAGGTCAGCCTGGACATTGGCCATGTTGCTGTACGTCTCTGAGTCGAAGTAATCTCCCCATAAGTGGACCAGAGACAGTGCTTCATCACCATCAAGCTCGGAGTCAGATTGGTCGTCACTCTCACGGAGAGTTACGAAGCAGAGAAGACGCGTCTCAGTCCCCTTTCCAGGCTGCAAAAGTACAACCGCATCCTTCACACCGCTCTCGCGTCGCAGAGCGTGCTCGATTTGCCCCAGGTCGATGTGGTGTTCTGCGGCCATGGCGAGTTCAGTGTGTCAGCCTGGGTAGCTCTTTCGATTGAACGTTGTGGGGCAGTGTCTCTGAAGTTACGGCCAAGAAGGATCGACTCTATAGCGGAGTGGGTAATCGACTGCTTCTTTTCTTCATAAAGATCTTTTCGTATACGTTGCGTGTTCATTGATATGTGAGCTGGGGTATCACTACGTCCGCATCTATGCGCGGATTGCCTACCGGCCAGATGAGTGCCTGAGCAAAACAAGCGACTATGCCGCCAGCCACAATCGGTGACCGGGTTGAGGCAAGCCCTCGTAAGATTCACGGCCGGGTAGTTGTCAGGGCACTGCGTTGTCCGACAGTGAGGCAAGGCGCGTCCACCCAATGTCACACGACTTGTCCCTAATGACACGAAGCGACCAATATATGCAGCAAACTGTACAGATCATTGGACAATACGTGCGTGATAATGTCTCCCGGTCTCGAGATCCCAGCGGTCGAAGGATGTGCTGCGATCGGCCTCATTTCTATAGGATCATGGACCACCCACGATGCAGGACGATCGTGCAGAGTTTCCGGAGTCCTGCATGCCCGCAACGACTTCCCTAGCATCCGAGCCCGGAACAAGTCGGGACGCTGAATGTATTTACGTGTCTACATGTCAAGACGCTGGTATACAAAGAACTTGATAGACATAGCAGCTGAACAAGGAGCCTGGGCCGCGTAAGATCAATGAAACACAAAAACGCTGAGACAAACGACAATAGCCAACATTGCATTCATCTCGCCGCACTGCTACTAAACATACCTCTATCATCCTCACGTACAGCGAGGTTCATGCGTGAAGCGGCGTATGCTTGAAGGTGAAATGTGAGGGGCATATCTACTTCCTTAAGTTGCCAGAAGTAACCGCAGATCCCGAATCGCAAGATCCCGAATCGCAGCAGCCCTATCACGGAGATCCGGTCCAGCCGAGCAGTTGCTTATCGCCCCTGTACGACTGACTGGGCAAGTGAGCATCGCTATTTCGGCCTGCCCGACCCGTTGCGGAAGTCTGCATCACACAGCTATTGTGACACATACACCAGTCCAAACGCAGATTTTCCCCGTTTACCCCTCAGTTTGTGTTCATTTGTCATGAAATCCCTCGATCTAGCACCTTCATCCCTACTCCGTATGGTCGAGGTAGAGTGCTTGGGCTTGATCTCCGCCGCCACGGGTTCGTCCTTTGTCTTGTCTTCGTCTGAGCTCCCCCGAGACTTAGCCATGTCGCTCAAAATTACAACCGGAATGGGTCAGCCTGTGCCACCTGCTCCTCGTCACTCTGTCACAATGCATATGGGGGACTGGGCAGCGGCTGAGTGTTCCGCTGACAGTCTTGCCACCGAGTCGGCCCAGCTCAAGAATGGGTATCCTCGACTGAGGCCACACAATGATATTGTTCAAGTGCGTGATCTGACGGTCCCCTTCCTGAACTTGGCGTGCCTGACGAGTGATCACCAATTAGCTGGCTGCAGAGGCCCTCAAGCTTGTCGATGATAGAGAAGCTGACTGTTTCCTCTTCTCGTCACTGGAGTCAGCCAGAGAGTGTGTCGACTTCGTCACCTGTAGGGGGCGAGATGATCGGGCTGTAACGTCTTTCTGCACGGTTGACATTTCCATTCGGGTATTTGTGGCCAAGAACACCTTCTTCGCCGTCTTGTTTCCTCTTGATAAGAAACCAGTGATGGCTGAATTCTGGAAGCTTGCCGGCGTCGGTATTTCATCTCGGTTTGCGGAAGCCAACCTAGCCCATCTCCAATGTCTCAGGGCGATACCGATACTCTCGTGCCCAGACTCTAGGCCGGGTTTCGATGGACCATCACTGGATACGCTCCGAGAGAGCATCATTGCGTGTCTCAAACGCGCACCCTTGCACAACGACGCGCCGCGTCCTTCAGCGACTGATGTTTATCTTTATCCCAGTGGAATGGCCTCGGTATATAGGACACACATGTACATGTTTGAGCACTATCAAGGCACCACGGCTCTTTTCGGGGTGACCTTCTTGCATACGCTCATGATGTTCGACGCTTTCAGTACTACGAGCAAACTCTTTGGCCTTGGGACGGAGGCAGATATTGATAACCTCCAGGTATTTCTTCAAGAGGAGAAGAGCAGTGGTCGGACAATGCAAGCGATATGGGTCGAGTTCCCGACAAATCCAAATCTCATGACGCCAAATATCGCGAGACTGAAAGAGCTCGCAGACGAGTACAATGTGGTGCTCGTCATCGACGACACTATTGGCGGTTGGTGCAACATCGACACGTCAGCGACCGCTGACGTGTCGATCACATCACTGACCAAATCTTTCAATGGTTACGCAGATGCCATTGCCGGATGCGCAATCGTCAATCCCGCGTCTCGAAAGTACAGAGATCTGAAGAGGCTGTTCGATCGAAAGTACGTGCCAGAGTTGTATGAGAAAGATGCCGAGGCTATTGAGCGAAACAGCCGCGACTACTTGCGTCGCTGCGCTGCGATGAACAACAACGCAGCCGCACTTGTTCAGTACCTGCATCTTTGTGCAGCCGACCCCAATAGCGCTGTCAAAAGAGTCTACTACCCCTATGTCAATCCCTCTGGTGTTCACTATAAGCGCTTCATGAGACCCGAGACGTCAGATTTTACTCCCGGGTTTGGTTGCTTGTTCAGCGTCGAGCTCGTGGATGTTTCTGCCGCGCAGACATTCTACGACAACCTCAATGTGCATAAGTCAGTTCACTTCGCGGCGCCATTTACGCTTGCTCTCCCGTACACCTTCTGCGGTTTCAAGAAGAGGCTGGACTGGGCGGCGGGACTTGGCCTGAGGCCGACTCAAATCAGGATAGCGCCTGGTCTCGAAGATACGGACCTGCTTCTCGAGGACTTGAAAGTCGCGGTCGCCGCTGCGAACGAATGCAAGCAAGCTGTGTAGCTTGACGGGGCTGTCTGGCTGCGTGGTAGGCCGTCGTGGCCCAGCGGCAAACCTGCATGTGGCCTCGCTGGTGGCTCTCATACTTGCACAAAGAGCAATGTACCAGTCGTGGCGCAATGCGACGTGTCACTTCTCCCATTTCCAGTTGCGCAGGCATTTGCATTCAGGTTATGTATTATGTACTTTTCACGAAGCACCACCATTCACGCGCATTATGACCGACCCTACAACACTCTGGTTCGAATTCGGGCCTGGGCTAATCGTAATACACTGGCCCGATTTGGAAGCTGACTGCATCGCCTGTGGCGGCAGCCTGGTCGGACAGGACCCGCCTATAAAGGAGCAATTCCCATCTCCTCCTTCGGCCCGTTTCGTTTCCCTCTTTACACTACGTGCATTGAGAAGCCATACTTTCAACACCCTTGTTTTGCGCTACTACTGGCAGAGGCTATTCACAATGAATCACGAAGGGTTCCACCGACGCCTGGACCTCGTCCGAAGTATCCTTTCTATGTTCGCCTTGGAGGTTTGTACAGACGGCCTGCGGCCTGACGTCTACTTTTGTCTGCCAGCCATGACCCGCCCTGGGGCCGACGTTTGCGAACGTCAAGCGCTGATGCTACCATGATTTCCAGGGCAATGAGATTACTCCTCTGGAGTGTGACGAAAATTGCCCCTTTCCGTTCAATAATTTTATCTACAAGGCAGTTCTCTCTTCACCCGCAACTGCGGAGTCTTTTATGAGAGCGGCGCATGGTCAACAGCCATGCACCGTTATGCCTCCTGCGGAAGGGGTTGAAGCCGTCGTTGTGCGGCTGAGCAATCCGAGGGCTGAGGGTATGAACAACACGAACCGCGTTGAAAACGAGGTTGCTTCGATGCATCTCGCGCGCGGCGCCGTAGCGCAGCTGGGCACTGACTACGTCGGCCTCGTGCCGGCGGTCTATGCCTGGAAAGCGGCCACCTCTGCCTCGTCGAAAGACGAAGCAGGCTTTGGATGGACGATCATGGAGTACAAGTCTGGCGTCCCTTTGGATGCTCATTTCAGAGCGCTTTCCATGGAGCAGAAGCTCGAAATCATCGATCAAGTTGCAGTCATATTCTCTGCCACTCAGGGCGTAAAGTTACCCCCTAGCGTTACACACCACGGCGGACTTACCATCGACAACGGGGGACAGATCATTTCTGGTCAGGGAACTTTGCAGGAGATGGAAGGTGGCCCGTGGAAAGGCTTTGTAGAATCCTGGGCGTTCAACATGCAGGGGAAACTGAAGGAGGCCGACGCGAGCGAGGTGATCAGCGGCTGGACTGCTAACGGAGTGCGAGCCAATGTGGATCGAATGGTCGCGTCCGGACTTTCCAGCATCATCCGTGATGCAGGAGTGGACACGACGAGCCTTGTGCTCATTCACAGAGACTTTAGTAGGTGGTCTACCCAGGCTCTGGCAAGCAGTACTGACGATGATAGCGATGAACAACATGCTCTTTGACACCGAATCAAAGCGGATTTCCGCGATGCTCGACTTCGATTGGGCCGCCATCGGACATCCGGGCGAAGAGTTCTTCACCTCGTTCCACGACGTGAAGGGCACGACGCGGATGATTCACTCCGAGGAACTGCAGAAGGCCATCTTGACCGGGAGCTTTGGAGACGGGTTGGCCAAAGATGTCGCCAATGAGGAGGAACACGAAGCGTGGGAGCTAGCGCGCGCTTGGGATGCGGCGCTCCAGAAGCATGGGGCGATTCGGCCAAGTGATATCAAGGGCATGGTGGTGCTAGAGAAGTTGCGCAGCTTTACCGACTTGCTGGCGCCGTTTGAGCTTGCGAATAAGGCCATGCTGAAGAGACGATCAGCCGAGGACATTGCAGTCATGAGGGCCAAGACTGAAGAGGCAATTGTCAAGGGCCTTGAGCAGTTCAACGTCGGAGGATGACTTCGAGGCGATTTCAATCTGGTTGGGGATGCTTCGGATACTATTTATTGACGGCTTCTTCTTTACTCTTTGGCCGATGAGGCTGTGATTAAGCGCTTGGTGCTGTTTCTCTCGTGCGGCCCGACATGAGCTGAGGTGGTGCCATCATTACCCACTGGAGTGCTTCTTTCGGATGCTCCGGCTCCGTGATTGTCTGTAAGTCTCGCTTTGATAGCAGCGCTTCCCATGTTGCAAGTCAAGTGTGTGCCGTCTTATTAGTGCCAAGTTATGTCGAGTGAGAGTTTGTGTTATCATCGCAGCTGTGTAAGAGCCATGCGTCCACGACTCCACGGCCGTCGCTGATATTGGGCCTGGAACCAGCAGCGCTTGCTGGCTGGACCAAAAGCAACTGGCACTCCGTAAAACTCCCTACGGACCGCCGTGACCAGCCCGATCGGTGTCTTGGCTGTACATACGTACATCGCAACCACGATTCCTAACACGGGGCTGGCACGCGGAATCTGTGTTTGCCATTCTCTATTTTTGAGCTTAGAACTTCGTCGCCGATTCCTTGTGCTATATCAGCCTCTCAAAATCCCGGAGGCATCGTACGATCAACCACCCCCGCCGTCGCCTCCGCCCCCTCCACCCCCTCCTCCACCGTCACCTCCCCCACCTGTCTCTTATACACATCTAGATGTGTATAAGAGACAGGACCCATACAGGGCGGGGATAGTTCATGGTAGCCATGACATCAACGGGCGGCTCTTCATACTGCCTCCGTCTACGGCGTGACGGCCAGCACATTATTTAGATCGTCTTGTCTTTGCTGTCGCAGTCGAGGTGGACGCTAAGACAATGCAACAAAGTCGTGTTGTGCGTAACGAGCATTTGGGATGATTTTCCGCCGAAGAAATACTGAAATGCGCCCGTCTTAAGTAGAAGGAATGCTCAAAGGGGCTGCCTGCGCATGCCAGGGTCGCCTGACCATCCGCAGTGCATGGTCAGCCTCACGGCTCCCCCAGGCGCCAAGCGACCGGGCGCGAGGCTGAATCGACGACAAACACACATAGAAGCTGGCACAGAAATCCCAGCAAGCGAGAGCGCTATCGGTTCGATCGGAGCGTGATTCTGTTTACGTGGCCATTGCGCCTTCCGCGTCAGCATATTCCAGTTCCGTCGCGTGGCAAGCTCCCCCTATGAGAAATGCAGATCTAGGAGGCTTAGGCCCAATTACGAAGTACCTCCTGCGTTGTTCTCAGAGCATCGGCCGGAGAGACGCACCAACAGTCCTGCAGCTTGGCGGACCAGGTCTTCGGACATGGGGTCTTGTCACACTTTGCCCCGGCCCAAGGCCTCGCTTCACTGGCATGCCTGGTTTGGCAATACAACATGATCACTAGCAGGCGGGCCATACGCTTCTATACTTAAACGGGTCGCTGCAAAATTCGTTCTTCATTCAAGTTCAATGTCTGGCTGAGTGGATATTGTACCGAGCGATACCTGACCAACCTGTACGGGCCTCAGACCAGCCCATACTCATGCGCAAGCTGTGGAAGCTCTGCCTCTTGCAACTTCTTATAGAGATGCTCCTGCAGCAACTCCGGCGCCCACAGGGCCGGTCCCTTCCCGTCTCGCAACAAAAGCGACGCTTTCAACAGATACCTGAGGTCATACGTCGACGCGTACACCTCAGGCACAGCCCGGTCCACCCCGGTGAGCTGGTACACCGACTCCATGCCAGTGCGCACAGAATATTCGGTCGTAAAGATGCAATCTCTGGTTGTCTCGGCAAACTGTCCGATGAAAGCGAAATTCTTCGAACCCTGGGGGACAACGTTCGGACGATCGCCTGCCTGGCGGGGCATGAAGAACGACGTGACGTAGGGCATCATGACGGGGACTGTTTTCGCACCGGTCTTGGCCAGCTCGGGAATGTCTGCCACGGGAACGCCGAGGTGGTAGAGCCACTCCATAGTGATTTCCTCGCCGGTGCAGTCTTGCATGGGCTTTTTGATGTAGTCGCCGGGCTTCTCCACAAGAAGGCCGTAGATCCAGACGACGATCTGGTCCTTGGGCTGCTTCTTGAAGTGCGGCTGGCGGTTCACCGTCCAGCTCATGATCCAATTCGAGTCTCGTACGGTGATGATACCTCCCGTGGTGACTTTGCCGGCAAACGGGTCTCGCTTGCAGATCTTCTGGATGTACTCGGGGATGCGCTTGTCCAGTGTTGTCGCTGTCGCCGACATCCACTTCGACTGGGAGATGTCGCCGCAAAAGACCTCTGGTCGACCAAATTCGGGGCTCTTGGCGGCAATTCGTCGCCACAAGTCCCAAGCGGGTGCCTGTCCATCTCGCAGCTCTGCGGGCGTCTGGTGGTCGCCCAGGCCTGAGTTCTCGGTCAGAGAACCGATGGTCATGAAGACCAGGTCGTTGGGAGTAAGGACCTTGCCGCCCTTCTTTCCTTCGCGCATCCAGTGAATCCTTGTTGCTCGCTTCTCGTCCTCGGTGATCTCAAAGTCGACGTCGAGGACTTCAGTGTGGAATTGGAACGTCACGCCGTGATCCTCGAGGTACTTCCTCAGCGGCAGCACCAGCGACTCGTACTGGTTGTACTTTGTAAACTTGAGCGTCGAGAAGTCGGGAAGGCCCTGGATGTGGTTGATGAATCGATGGAGGTACAGCTTCATCTCTAACGCAGAGTGCCATGTTTGAAACGCAAACATCGTCTGCCAATAGAGCCAAAAGTTGCTGTCAAAAAAGTCTTTGCCAAAGACCTCGTCAATGCGCTTGTTCTCCACATCCTTGCGCGTCGCAAGGAACAGCTGGAATAATTCCTTTTGCGCGTCGTCGGTCAATGTGAAGAACTTGCCGGTCCCTGCGTCTTTGCCTTGCTGCACGGTCGCCCGCTGGAGGGAGAAGTTGGGATCGCGCTTGTTCAGCCAGTAAAACTCGTCAAGAACGCTGGCGTCCTTCTCTTCGATGGATGGGACAGACCGAAATAGCTCCCAGACGCACTCGAAATGTGGCTCCATCTCGCGGCCACCGCGAATGACGAATCCTTTCTCCGGCACATTGAGCCCATCCAGAGCGCCGCCGGGGATGTGCATCTCCTCGAGGATTGTGATGTTCTTGCCGGGCATCTGCGCATCTCTGACCAGGAACGCTGCTGTCGACAGGCCCGCCAGGCCGGACCCGACGATCCAGGCATGTTTGTCGTCGACGCCCTGGGGCTTCAGTGGCCTGGCATGAGCTTCATAGGTGCCGCTGCTGTAATACATTGTGTAATTGATGATTGAAGGTAATTATTGTTGTTTTGTTTTGAACTGCCGAGTCCCTTTCACCGTGCAGCCTCGATGCTCGATTTATAGCTCCACGGAGGTCCGTTTGCGTACGCGTATAGCGTCTTGCTCGACCCATAAGGTTCCCATGTCACCAGACTTAAGCCCACGCCACAATACCATCTCGCTCTAATTGACAATTGAAGTCGGGCTCGGGCGTCTAACTGCCAGGAAACGGTGACGTACGGCGCCGAAAGACGGGCCCGATGGTTCCGGAACTAGAATCTCGGCTGTGGCACTGGGTGGCACCATCATGTCCCAGCTGTCCAGCTTACCCCATGCTAAACCCGTGGAGCTTCTCCAGCTGAGCCTCAGGGTCGTACGTTCCTGGTGGAAAAGTCCGTCCTATTTGCGAGGCAACGGCAGCGCTAAGCGCGCTAAGCCGAGGCAAGACGTCAAAAAGTCCGTCCTCACTCGATGCGGAATGTTTCACATGCCGACGGTTCGAAGCTGCTTCATCTCGTCCTGTCGATGCACGCTGGCACTCAGAACAATGATCTCGTGAGTCGCAACTGTCACCCCACGTCGGCGGCGTACGTTCTCCGACAGCCGACATCAAGGCACACACAATGGCGCACTAGATCCGTCCCCATAAAATGCGACACGACATCTCCCGGAATGGCGGGGGCCGCCACTTCCCGAGCCCGGTGACTCGGGTCGGACATGCGTGCAATTGGCTGTGTCTACAACTTCTAGCTGAATACTATGAGCTGTTGTGTTTTCACTCATGCGAGCATTGTTGGTCATGGCGGAGCCAGGGGAGCCACTTTCAGATTGAAGCGCTCGTCCGGGAGTCAAGGGGACAGAGCAGGCGACGAGGGGCCAAAACGGTGAAGGCAGATCAACATGACCAAGCCATCAATGCCGAGAGCTCATCTGCGTACAGCTAATGTTTAGCTGCAGAAGCACTTGGACCACCACCCAGAAAGCTAAGCCCTAGTACAAGTGCTTGCCCTTAGGCGGGCATCGGGTCTACTTGTCCTGGAGCTATCCACGGCTCAAGTCTGTTCAACTGTATGACTAGTGGGGTCGTGAATGTAGCCAAGAAAAAGTACAGTCGCAGCGGCGAGTCCTGCTCCCACGTGCCTCCCTGTTCTCCAGCTGCACTTATACAAGCTTAATTGACTGTGGGGCAACAAACGATGGATCGCCAGCACCCACGGTTGCATCCAAGCACTACGACGGTGCATGACATGGCACACCATCTTGCGTCGGGCACGTTGCCGCAATGGCAGACGGGACGGGTTGAATGCGCGAGCTGCCACTCTAGGAAGCTCGCTCTAGACCAGCCAAGACGACACCATTCCTGAAGGCTCAGATTGTAACCCAGGTGCTTCTCTTGGCGTCTGCATATAATGGCGAAGCTCCTTTGCCCGTAGGTTCTGTGAAAGGTCAATGTTCAAGCCAATGTTAATCGGGGCGCGTCGCAATTCCTCTACATTTCGACTTGCACAATGCTATCGTTCGTTCTCCTGGCGGCATGCCTAGTTGGGCCGTCTCAGCAAGCAGCTGTGGGCAGTCGGCAGGTCGACAATGCGAACCTTCCTCCTCTAAAGTTCAATGCGAATGGAAAGTTCCAAATCACGGTGTTCTCTGACATGCATTTTGGCATGTGTAAGTAGCATAATCCATTGGCTGCAGTTGACGAACGCACCACACCTTCAGTTTGAGTCGTTTGCTCACATGGTTCAGATTCTTGGCTTCCGCGTGGTCAAAAGGAGGACAAAAAGACGTCCAAAGTCATGAATGACATCCTTGATTATGAGCGCCCTGATCTGGTCGTGATGAATGGCGACCTCATCAACGGCGACGGCACGTTTGCTCATAACAGCACTCACTACATCGACCAAATCGTCAAGCCCATGGTGGATCGCAAGCTTACCTGGGCTTCCACGTACGGCAATCACGATCACCAGCTCAATCTTCCAGCCGAGGGCGTTTTCGAGCGCGAGCATTTGTGGCCGGGCTCCCGCACGCGCAGGATGGTCCCCGGTCTCGCCGCTGGCGTGTCAAACTACTACCTTCCCGTCTACCCAGCAACCTGCGACAACGAAGAGAAGTGCACTCCAGAGGTTCTTCTGTGGTTCTTCGACAGCCGTGGCGGATATTACCACAGCAGTGTCGAAAAGACCCGAACTCCTCAGCCCAACTGGGTTGATGCCTCCGTCGTGGAGTGGTTCAAGAAAACAAACGCCGAATTGAAGTGCCGGTACCGCAAGATCATTCCGTCACTCGCCTTTGTCCACATCCCCATCAATGCCACGGATGCGGTGCAAAAGTACTGGGACCCGCAACGCAATCCAGGCATCAATGACGAAGTCGGCGTCGCCATGCAAGGCCAGGGATGGTGTCCCGAGGGAAAGCATGACTGGCCTCGCTGCAAGTATGGTGGCCAAGATGTCCCTTTCATGCAGGCCCTCTCAAAAACAAAGGGGATGATGGGGTTGTTCTATGGCCACGACCACGGAAATACCTGGTGCTACAAATGGAACGGTGACATCTCTGGCATGCCGATAACCGGCAACGGCATGAATCTCTGTTTCGGTCAGCATACAGGCTATGGAGGGTATGGCGACTGGATCCGCGGCGCTCGAGAACTCATCATATCTCAAGACAAGCTCAAGGACCGCGTGTTCGAGTCCCACATGAGACTAGAGACTGGCGAAGTGGTGGGCTCTATTGTCTTGAACGCCACCTACAACCGCGATGTTTATCCGACGACTCCGAATCAGAAAACTTATCTTTGACATTGGGTGCGCTTGGATCTTTACATAACAGCAACGCTCAGAAGAAGTAAAATCAGGCACCTTCCGGCTTCTTTTAGACTTGAAACAACCATGATTTGGCGCAGGGCAAACGGCCAAGCATGAAGACTACAATCACTTTGTGGACAAACGGCCTTGCACAGCCTGAAACGGAGAATATCAACAACAAATCATCTTAGTGACAGGTTTCATGAAACAGTACCAGGATCCGTAGGGCTCAGGCTTCTCCAATAATCGTCCTGATGACTGTCGTATTAGCGCTTTGTCTAGTCAGCCCTGGTCCAGCCGACAGGCCTGTCCTCGAAAAACCAGCTAGGGAGTCGAGGATTAACGCGGTTTCCCAACATGTATGCCGTGCCACTGGCCGGCGAGGATCCCTCAACAACCGCGTCATACTTGAAAAGTACACTGGGGACTTCTAGCTCGCGCATCTTGCTCTTGATGTAGTCCGTCGTCTCTTCGAGCAAAATGCCTTGTACGCCCTCAATGTTGGCGGCCATAATGCACGCCGCAGACGCCGAGGCAGAGAACTCGGACTCGTGGCGATCGAACTCTTGCATGAATTGCTCCATGGTCGTGACCACGGCTTCATGACTGGGATCAGCATGGGCCATGATGCCTGCTTGGGGGCTACCGAGTGCAATGATGTAACCTCCGTTAATATTGAAGGCCCCAATAGTTGACTTCTCCGCGAACTTGATGAACTTAACCTCGTTCAGGCCTACAGGAACTAGTTGGCCCCTGGCTTGGAAATCCTCCATATGGCAAATGCGACTTCGAGGCATTGTAGATGGTTGCTTTTATGCGTTGGGAATATGCTAGTCCAATTCTGCGCAGGGATTTGTACGCAATAGTGCTGAAAGTCGAACGAATCTATCGTGATGGATGCAGGGTCAAGCTCGACGTTTTGCTTTGCGGGTGCTTGTTGTAGATTGAAAGCAATTCCCTCTTAGCTGCGTGGTCCTTTGCCTTTTATAAGTAGTTGCAAACCACCAAGAATGCCCTGAGGATCCCTCCAGGACGTACGATGATTCACAGCAAGCGAAAGCAGGATTCTCATTAGAAGGAAGGATCATGATCTATACTGTCACTCGCTACGTCGGAAACTTTCAACCGTCCGTGGACCAAGCCTTATGGATGACTGAGGACCATACGTTCGATGGAACCACTCGAAGTCCCCAGCCTGCAGCTGGAGAGTTGGGTAGCTTCATGACGTATTCTCGCCGTATTTACTTCGTGTTTGCCGTTTAACTGCCGGGCTATCCCTTGAGTCGTCCAGAACTCAATTCCGAGCCTTCGCCCTGTTGCATCGTGACTTGGCCTTGACCTTTGCGCCTTTGTGCTGGGGAAAGCATACAAAGGTAAAGGGGGCGGCAAGGGTAGATGAGATATAAATTTGATGCGGGCCGGTGCCATGCGGTCCAGACACAGGCCCTTTAATTATACCATAAAATACTCTGCACGACTCCAGTCGTCAGCCCTTTATCCCGACTTCAACGTGAAATGAAGACAAGATGGGATAGTGGAGGCTCTCGAACCACGGCATACATCTTCAGCAGGCAAGGAGACCCCGAAAATCCTCAGAGTCTGAAGTGTGTATTGATCGCTACCGCAAAACAGTAATTACTTGAACGACTTCGCTGCCGGGTAGTCGTGCGTCGTCCGGCGTCGGCGGTCGTAAACCCAATTAGTCAGCGCAGTTGCGTCATTGTAATCATCCTCGGTTGGCAGCTCACCACATCATCCGCGATCCAGAGCCGTAGCAACGCAAATCCAGCACGTCTTTTACATCATACCTCAGTTTCATCATGCCAGCCATGGCCTCTGGAGACTTGAGGCGAGTTCTAGCCAAGGCGTACCCGTGGGTCAAGTCGCCGTTCATCGTCGGGGCGCCAATGCGGGTTCTCGCGGGGCCGAGTCTTGCAGTCGCCGTCTCAAAGGCCGGTGGCCTCGGATTCATCGGTCCGACCCTCAAGGCCGGAGACCTGAAGTCAGACCTCGAAAAAGCTGCCGAGCTGATACGATCCTCACCTCTGGCCGCGGAAGCGATACATCGCGATCACGCCATCCTCCCGATTGGTGTCGGCTTCCAGACATGGAACAGTGACATGAAAGGCTGCCTCGCGGCGCTGGAGAAGCACCAGCCTTGCGCTGTGTGGCTTTTTGCCCCTCGCCATGGGCAGGTTGAATTGGATGAGTGGGTTGGCAGCATTCGGAAGGCGTCGCCCGAAACCAAGATCTGGATCCAAGTCGGCACTCTGCGCGAAGCGACCGATGCCGTCGGCAGCCAGTCCCCGCCTGATGTTCTTGTGATTCAGGGCGCTGAGGCTGGTGGTCACGGAAGGGCGAAAGATGGCATGGGCACCATTGCTCTTTTCCCAGAAATCGCCGACGCCACTCGCGAGTCCGGCATCCCTCTCATCGCAGCCGGAGGCATCATCGATGGCCGCGGTGTCGCGGCGGCTTTGAGTCTGGGAGCCTCGGGTGTGGCAATGGGGACGCGCATGCTCGCATCAACGGAGGCCCGCATCAGCAAAGGGTATCAAAATGAGATTGTCCGCGCCTCAGACGGCGCAACTTCCACGGTCCGCACCCAGCTATACAACCATTTGCGGGGCACATTTGGATGGCCCGAGCAGTTTTCTCCTCGCGGCGTCATCAACAGAAGCTGGATAGAACACCAAGAGGGTGTTCCATTCGATGAGCTGAAGAAGCGGCATGATCAGGCCGCGGGGGCCGGGGACGCCGGATGGGGGCCGGATGGCAGACTGGCGACCTATGCCGGGGCTGCAGTGGGACTTGTGCGCAGTGTGGACGACGCCGCCACGATAGTTGAAGGTGTCAGACGGGAGGCTAGGGACATTATCAAGTCACTTGACAGTGGCCTCTAGGCTATGCCATCAGCCATATAGGTGAGAGCCAACAGGACGAGCTACACTGGAATGACACTCATGTACTCCTGTTCTCGTTCACCCCAGGCCCGAATGTCCGGCGGGCGAGATGAAGAGCACTTTGAAGATGATGTAGCGTTTAAGAAGCTACGTTAGCGTCAACTCGCTAACATGAACTAGACGCGAAACGAGTCGGTGATTATATGGGTGAAACTGATCATGTTCACAGCTGGCTTGGGTGGGGGCTGGCTGCTATGGACTGCCAGGCAATCCGCCGCTACACGTTGTAGCGAGACTGGATATTACCATCGAACTCACGCAAAGATTATGCTGCTCAGTCATAGCGAATTGATCTCGGATGTGCTTGCCCTAGGCTGCCCCTGAGCGCATGCATGAACCAGCACGATCGCAACACGTGCGATTCCCCGCACGCCTAAGTGTAAGCATCTGACATGAGGGTGCGGAAGAGTGTTGAGAAGCGGTGGTGCTTCAACACCCACCGGATGGGAGCAGATTTTGGCTGAACGCTTTGGAGGCGCCGGTTGCATTCCCATTCGCAAATGGCTTCGGATTCTGGCCGAAGGTGTGTGAGCAGCACGAGGCACACAAGCCCACGAGCCCTCCGCTCTTCCGAACCTCTCAGCAACAGCCATCAGCAAGCCACATCCCGTGGAACACTTCTACGCTGGATCCTGTCGCTACTTGGCCACGCTTATCGCACATTATGCGCACTTCATTCTAAAGCTCAAATCGCACGTGTACAGTCTAATCTGACCACCTCTCGTCTACCTCACCCACTTCTACGCCGCCACCGCCTGCTTACAAGACATATCTAAAGAGGCTTCCGTAATTCTCGACCGCCACCTCCGAGCCGGGCTTCTCCCCAGCCTCCTGCGACGCCGCCATCCTCGCCCTCTGCTCCTCCACGGTGCCGTACTCTCGGTCCAGCTTTTTGTTCTCCCACACGAGACATGTGCGCAGCGCAATCACCAGGAACGTGGTGAAGAACATGAAGGCGGCGCAGATGGACTGGCCCTTGACGAAGAAGGGCGCTTCGTTTTGCGGGTACATGCGCGTGCCGAGGAGTGGACCGCACTGGCCGATGAGGTTGAGCAGGATGATGCCTGCGCCGCGACGGGTGTCGCTTCCTTGGTTGTCTGTCGCGCGTCAGTGATGAAGGATGTTCGGAGCGGATTGATGAACGTACTGAGCACCCATGGCAAGATATTCGCAATAGCCGGGAAGATGCCTCCCGCCGCCAGAAACACGCCAAAGTACCGCACTCCCACAGACTTGACAGTCGCAAGGAGGATGTAGCCGACTCCTCCAACTGTGGTGAGGATGATGAGCATAATCGCTCGCTGCTGGGTTCGGTCGGCGATGTAAGGGGTGATGACGGTAACGAGGAATGACAGGAAGAACGGGGGTGCCGTCAATCCTTGAGCTGCTGCGCGCGTGAAGCCCATCTCGCTGAGGATGGTCGGCAGGAAGACGGGCAGCGAGGCAAAGCTGACGTTGCAGCTAAAGTACATGAGCTATTACGATGTTAGCGCAAATGCGACCACGTTGGGAGCTGCAGGAAGCATACGGCAGTAAACCACGCCTTGTAGTCGAGCAGGCCCCTGAAGAAGTCGGGCCAGTCAACGCCGCCGATTCGAGTCCCGGCGCCTGCCTGGCGAACGCTGCGCGCTTTGGCAACCCTCTGCTCGTCCTCGCTGAGAAACTTGGCCTTCTCCGGCGAGTCCGGCAGGTAGAAGTAGGCGACGGCGGCCATGACAATAGTCGGCAAGCCTTCGACGAGGAAGAGGACCCTCCATTTGGCGATGCTCGGGTTCCCAGAGGTGATGCCAAAGGCGAGCGCGCCCGAGAAGGTGTTTGCCAGAGGGGCGGCCGCGAGGAAGAGCCCACAGCGAAGACCGACTTCGTGGCGCAGGTAGAAGAAGGATAGCAGATACGGTATGCCGGGTCCGTAGCCTGCTTCGGCGGCGCCCATGAGGAAGCGCAGTGCCATTTCTGCTCCCCAGGAGCGAACAGCGGCTTGCACAGTGGAGAAGAGTCCCCTACGTCACGGGTCAGTAGGGGTGCTTTGCGGTTCAATGGCGAAGAGGAGACGTACCAGGCGAACACGGTAATGGCAGCCCATCGGTGAGGCGGCACGACTTTCCACATGATGGCTTGGAACTCGAAGATGATGTATGGGATGTAGAAGATGGTGAGCAGCCAGTCGTAGCGGTCGCCAACCAGGTCTAGATCCTTGTCCATGCCGGCGATGCGAGCGTTTCTTCATGCAAGTCAGTACGATGGCCATTTCAGATCAATATCCCCACGGGGATTCCCGGGTGACATACCCAACGTTGGAGCGGTCGAGGAAGGCGAGCAGATCTAGTGTCGTTAGTTGTCGCTCGAACAAGCACCAGAGCGTCACTCACAGAGGGCCATGACCATGGGCACGACTCGCATGTCGAGCTTCCGCACCACCCGCTTCTCGATGGCCGGATCGATGACATACTGCGACGCGGCGACCGCAGAATCCCCCTCAATCTGGTGGTTCTCGACCTTTTCCGAGGCGGGCTCGGGCGGAGGCAAGCTCGCGTCCCCTGCCATGGCTGCCGGCTCGTATGGAATGAAAGAGAAGTCTACAAAGTCCGAGTGTCTACCGATCGATCTGAAGAGACTGTCGCCATGTAAATGCAATTGCTGAAAGACTCGCTCCCCTTTTCTCCTGGACACAGGCGGCGGGCACGTCCTCCTTTTCAACACCACCGTATTCCCGTGCGTTGCACCACTCTAGCCTAAAGTGGTGGTCAGGCCAAACCCAGTTCCGTTTAGTGAGCTCGCATGTGCCGTGCCGATGCCGATCTCACTGCAGAGACGCAGACGGGGAACCTGGCCAGCGACCCCTCATCGACCTCCAGTTTCTCCAGTTCTTCCCCAGCTTCCCCCACCTTCGGGGCCCAGATTATCCCGCCGGCGCCAACATTTGCGGTTCTTTCCTCGCGTGTTTCACCCTGTTGACGACAGTTGCCGTTCGGGTTCATCTTCGCTGTCGCCGGCCGCTGCAAAGGCCCTATCGCGCCTGGAAAGACCGAGATGCCCCTCTGGTTCTGGAACACATGCCGTAAGCCACTTATACGCCATCCGCTAGGGCGCCAAATGACTGTACCTCGTACTCCCCGCACACACGTTGGAGATGCCTCTCGGGCGCGGGCCATTTCCAACCCGACATGGCTTGCTGGCGGTGGCCCCGACGCCGCTGACCACCAAATGCCGTAAGTGCGGGTATAAGCATGTGTGGCTGTTGCTAAATTTGCCGGATGAAGCGGGAAGCCTGGGGTATGGGGTTTGGAGGCACTAATGGCCTGCCATTGTTGTTCTAACGAGGGCGAGCTGTGCCTTGTTCTCCCTTGATGCGAGCTTTCGCTCTCCGTTCGTGCGAGTGAGGGGATTGCTGACCCGGATTTAGATTTCCAAGCTTATATGCTTGTTTTACTCCGTGGACCATGCATGGAGATTAAGAGTCATTATTTTGTTCTGGAAGTTTGTAACTATGTAGGTTCTGGCTGGGAGCACGGCGCTGCTGTGCCTCTTCTCGTAGCTAAGAGCAGGGCTTGAAGCAGGCCATGTCGTACCACCAAAACGGCGTGTCGGAACTGTCGGCCCTTCCATTGGGCGCGGCCTCGAGCTCGCAGAAGTTGTTCCATCCCCGCGCCGGGTCGCCGTAGATGAAGGCCTTGCAGGCGGGGTTGGCCTTGCAGCTGTTTGCGCAGGCCTCGACGCTGGCGCCGTCGCCATACCCGACAACGGGAGCCTTATTGGCGTCCCGCCAACCGCGCAGGGCGCAATCCGCCCCAGCAGGAGGGTTGTTGTTGAGCACCAAGCCCGAGCAGGGGGTGACGGTCGCCGTGACCGTCTCGGTCTGGGTGGCGGTCGCCTCGATGGTGACGGTGGCATGCGCCGTGACCTGGACGGTCGCGGTGACGGAGAGGGTCTTGGTCGAGGTGACGGTGGGCGTCGGCGCCGTGATGGTCGCGGGGGTGGCCGAGGCGCAACGGCAGGCGCTGCTGTACGCCGCGGCGTTGGCGCACGAGGATGCGTAGGCGGGGACATTGGACGGGGTGATGGTCACGGGTCCGGCAGCGCCATCGCGGCGAGCTGGAGCATTGTTGTTGCTACCAGCAGCCGTGACGGTGACGGTGTTTGTCTGAACGACGGTGTTGACCGTGTTGGTGATGGAGTCGGTGATGGTGGCGACCGTCTCGGTCACGGTGGCCGGCGTCACGGTCTGGGTGACCCAGTCGGTGACGGTGGCGGGCACGATTGTGGTCCGCAAGAAAGACTCGCAGTCTTGGATGCGAGAGGTCAGGACCGGCTGGCCAAAGCGCGTCGCGCTGACCTGTCTGTAGCAGTTGTTCTGCCGGGCGAAATGTTAGCAGTGTTTAGTGATCTTGGCTGGTGTTGGTCGCGGCCCGCGGAGGTCATACCTCATTGCAAGCCGAAAGAGCGGCTCCAAGTCCGAGACCGGCATTGGCCAACACGGCCGCAATTGTAGCCGTGGTTCTCATCGTTGTGTTACGGGTCTGAATAACGCCAATGGCAAGCAACAAAGTGAAAAGGTTTCGCCGACAACCGTCAAGTTATGGTGGCTACTGGAGACGTCGAGAGCTGTCCGACCTCCTCAATTGTCGTACTTCGTAACTCGTATGCCACTGCATTTATATACGAATTGGACTTGTATACTTGCGCATGCCTTGGTTCTGCGAGGCCTGCAGCGACCCCTCACCCTCCAGGTGCAGGTCTGGTCTGGGCATTCAGCCTCGAGAACAGGGGTTTAGTCCCTCGCGCTATGTCGAAGCTATCGCCAGAAGTGTTGCGACCCGGCCCGTTGGTGCGAGGCCACCTGCATCGGCTAGCCCCGTGAGGGCCAAGGCCGTTGTGCAGCGTGCCCTGTATTGAATCCTTGCCGTGAGTAACAATCAGGCGGCGCGCGTGCGAGCACATGCACTGAATCGGTCCCACCGCGGTCTAACCCAGGAATTGTCCGAGTCGGCATACGCCTTGCCTGGACCGGAGCCGCGTCCCCATGGCTTTCACAGGGCTGAAGACCATGATAGCCACGCCATCATGCAAGTGGAATAAAGCGAGAGGCCGTCGCGAGTAATTCTGGGATCAGCCAGGCCGTAAACGACGTAGTTGAACTTGGTCCCCTACTCAGCTGATCCATGAGCGATTAGCTTGTGCTGCCCAAATGAGGCCTCCTCTGGTCTGGGCCCCCGGCGGCACCGTTGCGCCAGTCAGTGCGGCCATGCCCTGAACGTTCAAGCTTGTTTCGGCTGTGGTTCTGGCAACAATCCGGCACAGCTAGCCTCCCCGATGGTCTGGCACCTGAGCGATAGACCCTTGGCTTTGTTCTTTGTTTCGTCAAGGCGTTTAGCGTGATTGGCTTAAGAAGTTGGGAACATGGAGCTGCGCTACGGCACTTGGATCGCGGCCCTTGCGCGAGAGACAACGTCAACAATTGACGGCTAGATCTTGCTCGATAGTGTCAAAAATGCAGCCCGGGTGACCTTGCATTGTGGTCCGGCTTGCGGATTTCTCCGAAGCATGTGTGAATCGCACGTCCTGGGCTCCTGGCAGTTGCTTGTTCTCGCCATAGCGTCAACGCCTCAACTGCAACGCGTCAACTCGCTGAATCGGGCTGCTCTGGTAATGGTTAGGGGAGACGAGCGACGCCACTTTCACTAACGCAGATAGTGGCATTGTTCAAAAAGGATGCCGTCAATGTCGGGGGAGGATCGCATCGCAACTCGGATCGAAGTCGAGCACAGCAAAAGGCGGTTCCACTTACGCGCTGCTTGTAAGGCAGCATCTCAGCATCTCCTCTGCGCAGGCACGTGCGGGTCCGTACACTTACATCGGGTGACAATTATTTACTCTTGGCCATTGTCGGGCACCGATGCCTTCCGATGAGGGCGCTTTGGACGGTGTCCGGGGGGAAAACTGGGCGCCGGCGCCGAGCCGCGTCGAGCCCCCTTCCCATTTCCGGCGGCTCTGGGCCCATTGGGGAAGGCGCCGTACGGGCCCCGACGGTGGCCGCTTCCCGCCCTCGTCAGTGTCGCGGAGTCGCGGACGGGCGGGGCCCAACACGGCAAGTGCGCCCTTCTGGCAGACACCCCCGCGCCTTCCATTTAATCGACCCACTGGAGCTTCTGCGTACCCCGCCGCCTCCCCCGCCATCGGCTCAGGCTCACGACTCTGCGCCTTCACTCCAGCTCACTTTGTCCACCCGCATCGCGACTCCGCATCTCGACCGTGCGCCCACCCCAGCGCATATCCGCATTCGCAGTCCGAGCGTTGCATTCAGCGCCACCGACCTGACCGCGAGCCACGCTGGCGGCTGTCCGGGACATCGATATCGGCCATGGCGTCGGCGCCCTCACCCTCGGGCCCCCTCACCAAGGTCCTGCTGGTCGGCGCAAACGGTACCGTTGGCAGCGTTATTCTCGAGGGCCTCGTCCAAGCCCGATGCTTCGACGTCTCCGTGCTGCGACGCTCCACCTCTACCTCGCCTCCAACGGACGCCGCCGTGCGGACCGTCTCCGTCTCGCCGGATCTGCCGCTCGATGAGCTCACGGCCGCCTGCGAGGGCCAGGATGCTGTCGTCGCCGCGTTCCCCCTCAAAGATGTCTCGCAGCACTTGCGCCTCGTCGAGGCCGCATTCCGCGCTGGCGTGCGACGCTTTATTCCTGCCGACTACGGCAGCTGCGATGCCGCGAGCCCCCAGCCTCAGCATCATTTGAAGCTGTATCGCGACAAGACGCTCGTCCGCGACAAGTGCGAGACGCTCGGCGAGCACGCCGCCCGCGACGGCAAGCCCTTTACCTGGACGAGCATCATCTGCGGCCACTTTTTCGACTACGGGCTCGAGGGCGGCCTGCTGCACTTTAACCTGGATACCCACAAGGCCCAGATCCTAGACGGCGGAGACATCAAGGCCTCGGCGTCGACGCTGCGCCGCGTCGCGGAGAGCGTGGTTGCTGTTTTGCAGCGACTTGACGTCACGCGCAACCGCGCCGTCTACGTACAGAGTTTCTGCCCGACGCAGCTTGAGGTGCTGGCGGCCCTGGAGCGAGCCACGGGCACGGCCTGGCACACCCAACACCTCGACTCCAACGCCTACCTCGAGCGCCAGAGCAAGCTGCTTGCCGAGGGCGACCACGAGGCCACCGAGGAGATTGTCTTTGTGCTGGGAACAGTCGATGCGGACTGGACAACGCGCGATGGGTTTGCCATGGAGCTGCTGGGGTTGCAGGACGAGAAGCTCGACGATGTGGTAGCCGCCGTAGTGGCCAAGCACAAGGCCAAATAATTACGTGTATATGACATTTTTGTGTGAGGTAGATCTTAGAGTATGCTAACTAGGGCATGAACGGGAATGGTTTCATTCTGGGCATGGACGTCAATGCAGTGACCGAGGTGGATTGCCCAATAGCACCACGAGCTGGAGATGGATGACTTTTCTAGCATCAACAAGGTGGCATCGTCTGCAAAACCTTATCATATTTTCATCGCGAACATTCGGGGCAATTCCCCGCTGCCCCTCATCACCTTTAATGCCGCCCACCGAGCGAACCGTTGGGGTTACAGTGGTCCGCACTGCACTGTGCAGAACGGCAGCAAACGCAACAGTCGCAGGGCAAGCATGGTTGAAGCTGTATTGAGTTCTCTCACCTGCAAGGTTGAACGCTGCTCGGATGTTCTCTGTACATGGGCTCGTCAGCCTTATACGAGCCTTGGCTACATCATCAACCTTGAAGAAGTCGCGCTTTGCATGCTTATGCCGATGGCGGTCAGGTTGTGACGATAGCCCGCCGCGTATACTTACGTACTTAAACTCGATGGTCCTCCAAGCACGACCAAAAGTAGCCGGGTTCCTCAAAGCTGAAAGTAGTAGTGCCTGCCAATCATGTACGTTACTGTTGCAGCTCTCGCAGTGATCTGGTGAGCACCTCCCTGCGCGCCCTTGAAGCCCGGTTCCTGACTCCAGAAGCGGCCTCGCCGTCGCAGATGCACCCCCAGAGACCCCGGCGGTAACGACAATGTCGACTACCACCAAGGCCTCAGACGCATGTCCCACGGTCACGTCAGTCCAGTCCGTCTGCTCAACGTGCATCCGGCCCATGTGCCAGGCCGAATTAACAATCTCCTCCAAGGATGGATGCGCGTGGCCGCCGGTGACAAAGACAACGAGCTATCCGTGCGAGGAGAAGTGTCCTGGTGGATGTGCTGGTACCGACTACATCACCGTCACGGGAACTGCTTCAGGGGCGTGTAAGTCGTCTACCGGCTAGTTGACGGCTTTCCGTGCCCCGGGGTCCAGGGTAGCAGGCGCACCATAGGCAAGCGGGATGGAGTCTTTGGGGCACACCGTATGTATACACTACCCGACAGAATGCAAACGCAGGGTCTCTCATGATGTTTGTGGCGGTTTCGTCTCAGAAGGCATTGCTGGTGTTGAGGCGATCTGGCGTGTCGGTGACTCGGTGAGTTGAGGCTCCGTGCCCCGGCACCGGCGAAGCTGTGGCGGTCCCCAGAGCGGGCCGGCGGCGAACGCCACAGCGACGCGGCGGCCAGGAATAGCTCGGCGGCGGAGCAGCGAGCGCTACGTGCAGGCGAGTCAGCCAGCCCACCCAGTACCTCCATGCTGAAGGTTCCCCAGCTGGACGCTCGTCGTTTCTGCAGTGTTGCCTGACGACCACGACTGCTGCCGAATATGACGTCACAGCTGAATTGCTGCCCTGGACCCGACGCGCCAGAGCGGCCCAGGTGACAGCTTTTCGCCGACAGGCCGCGTGTCCCTGTGCCAGGCGAGGCGATCGTGCGATTTGTTGGCAAAAAAGAATATTGTCTTGTGTAAGCCCTCGCGCGCGGCATGAATGTGGGATATTATGAGCCGACGAGACGCGACTCGTGGTGCCCCCTGGTCCATGGATGAATGGCCTTGGCGGCGACCGAGCCACTGAGGCAGCGCCGCGACACTGGCGACGCCGGCAGTGGGGTGTTGGTTGCCCCGGGGGACGGGACAGCGGTGCTAGGGTTTCAGCGCGGTGTGGTTGCCGTCCAGTCCCTGACGAGCGCTCCAGCTCGCCTGTGGTGATCGGCTCAGGGACCGGATTCACTGGACCCTGAGAGCCCTCCACTGTACCGAGAGTGGTTGGAGGCGGCCACGGCCGGGGCCGCCGCTGAGGCACCCACTGTAATTTCGGGGTAGGCGCGACTGATGAGCGGCAACCGACGCGCCGCCACAAAACCTGGAGTTGGAATGGAGGTCGAAGGCATTCTCGCTTCGGGCCTCAGATCATCATCCCTGCCCCACGACGGCGATGATGACGACGCCGCCACCCAACTGCCGGCATCATCATCTCTTCTCCTTCATGCAAAGTTGGCCCATCACTGCACCGCTCGCCGACCAGCTCACGTGGCCCGCCAAGCCAAGCCGTCTCTCGTCCACATCCACGAAAGCAGCTCGATTCCGGAATAGACCTGGCGGCAGCGGCCCATCCAGCAGCAGCGCATCCACCAGCACAGCCTCCCCAAGCTGACGTCGTGTTTTCGCCGTTGCGAAGCCACTTCCTTCCATCCCACCCCCTGCGTCAAGACGGTCTCGTCCCGCCTTTTCGTTTCTGGGCACGGCACTCTGATGCAGGGATCCCTTCTGCGGCTCCGACTTGTCCAGCTTGTCGGCTTCTTTTAACTAGCCCGCTGCGCCGCCTGTGCCAGCGCGTGACGATCATTGCCTCGCCTCCCTCTCCCTTCTCTCGTTCTCGGTTGCTGTACGCGCTCGCTCGACGTTCGCTTTTCTCGGTCAAAGCCGACGCTGCAGCATCGCCGCTACGATTGCCGCGTTCGATTCGGCTGTTCCCGCTCGTTCTTCGTCGACCTCGAGGTATCAACTGCCTCGTTTGACAGCTAAAGTGCGATCCCTCGCCCAAGGCGTCGTGGCGGTGCACTCCTAGGCTCGTCCATTGCTGGGTGCTCGGCACGGCCTGCCTGGGACTCGAGCCTCCACGGCCCGGAGTCGACGATGGAGGCACGGTCTCTGGCCTCGCTCAACGTCCTTGCGTCGAATCCGCCCCAGTATCCCGAGAAGCCAGGCGAGGAAAGAAAGGACCCGCTGGTGCTATACATCTCCCGCGTCCCAGGAACGCGAGGTGAGTCGCCGTCTCGACACCCTATGCTCGCCCAGTACTAACCTGTCAGACATAATACTATCCCCTTTCAAACCACAAATCAAAAATGTCACGGCCGAAGACGTCGCCTCATCGCTGTACTACGTCCATCTGGAGTTGCCCGGCCAGGACCTGCAGACGGAGGCCGCCCCGCGCTCCAGCGAAGACGCCACGTCCGTGCAGGCGATTCCCCGGAAGCCTGTTTCGGACGCGGCTCGGCCTCTGACGCCGGACAGTCTGCATAATGAAAGCAATCTGCAGCCACCGTCGCAGCCGCCTGCTCAGTTCCCAGCCAGGCAGCGCGGCAGCTCTCTCGGCGCACGCGACGAATCACTCCCTCCGGCACCGCCCCCTGCTCAGAACGGCATGCTGCCTCCGCCGCGTCTCCAGACATCGATGCCGGCACGCAAACCCGTCGGCCCTCGGCCCATGACTGAGGTGACCCCGCCGACGCCGCTCACACCCGACGTCGACCGTTCGCCCGTGCCACCGAGTGGTCCGGCTCTGCAGGAACGGCCCGCTGCAATCGACCAATTCAAGGACCATGCCACGGCGCAAGAGCCACGCCGCTCGCCGTCGCCGGAGAAACACAGCCGGCGGGGCTCCTTGGCAGGGTCGCCCTTCACCTTGACGCTCATCCGTCGCGATCCGAGCTCCGGCAGCCAGTGGAATGTCGGGCGCGTCTCGTCACGGCAGCTCGAGCCCCCAGAGGCCGATGCCGAGCAGTCGGGCATCCAGCCCTTCTCCGTACCACCCGTCGCGCCCGCAGCCTCGAGCCCGCCAATTAACATCGAGATTGAGACATCTGGGTATGCCAAGTTCCGCCGTGCCGCGCCACGGAGGAGCGGCGAAATGAGTCTCGAGGCCGTCATGGCGGCAGTTGCGGAGGATCACGCACCTCGGAACGAAATTGGCGTGTTTTCGAGACAGGTCGTCATGGGATACTCGAAGAGTTGGACATCCAACGTGAAGGAGAAGCTCCGGCGCATGGAGCAGGTTGGCAGGGCCAGGATGAACCGCGACCGCAGCGATAGTACCGTCTCGGTCGACTCGGCCATGTCCAGCAGCCCGCCCAACGACCTCCAAGGCATGAAGCCCCGAGGCTACACCTTTACGAGCCCGTGGGACGGCAAGTGCGAGTTCCGAACCGGCACCACGGGACGCAGCGTCCAGTGTCGACACACCCTCTACGACGGCGAGGCCGCCATCTACAACCCCCTTGTCGCCGACCAGGGCAGCGCCGCCCCCAAGTCGGGCAGCAAGACGGTCAGCGAGCTTCGCTTCAACCTGCCCATGTCAGAAGTCGCCGGCGAGCAGGCACGCAACGCAAAGGACCAGTGGCGGGGCAATTTTAGCAAGCTGCTCAAGCCTAATGGCGAGTCGGATCCCGACGCCGACACGTACGGCTACGGAAGTGATGGCGCCGTGTCGCCGTTCGAGATCAACGTCGGGAGCGAGCGTGCGGGCGGTGGCAACCGCGGCAGCCGTGCCAAGCTCGGCAAGCTGATTGTGTACGAGGATGGCCTGAAGATGCTGGATTTGGTGGTGGCGGCAAACATTGGTGTTTGGTGGGGTGCATGGGAACGGACGTTTTGAGCCTTGTTCGTTGATGCTTTGAGCGATGCATGGCATGGGGAGAGCGATTGGCGTTGAATCGCAGTGGAAAGAGCTTGTTCATGTCACGAGTTATGACTGCTATGCAGCTACGGAGCGACTTGACTTGGTGAGCATTTGTAGTAGAATATCGACTCCTGCGATACATGAGAAACCATTCCAGCGGTATGCGCCTCGTCGTGAACAGCTTCTGAATGGATCTGCGCCGTGACGTTTCGAACAAACTTAGTGAATGCCCATTCCCATGTAGTCGACAGTGTCAATAGGCTCTTCGGTGAGGTCGGGCTGCACCAGCTCGCGCCAGCGAATATACTCCTATTGACGACGCTCAAGTTAGCGGGGTGCCTGGTGGTACCCGTGGCAGACTTGGCTAGACTGACCAGGCAGTGGATGGTATGCACATTCATCTCGCGCGTCATCCTTTTACCGTTGCCAGTGATATGCCACGCGAGCATCATCCGAATATTCGCCAGGCAGTGCAGCCTATGAAACGTGCTCTGCGTAAAGCCGAACCCGTTCGTCTGCCCGCCCTGCACGAAGTTGGGCCTCCCGACCATCTGGTCCTCTGTCCAGAAACCCCCCGGATTCATTGAGGAGGCCCAGTACTGCGCCACGTACTCGTCGCCTTGGGCGGTGATCTTTTGGGCGCGTTGGCTGGTGATTTCGGGCTTGTGGAGGACGCGGTGGGCGATGTTGATGCGCTCGAGGGCGCCGAGGGCGAGGTTGTGGCGGTTGAGGAGGTGGGTGTAGGGGTTGTTGTTGTTGTTGTTGTCACGCTTGGAGATGGGGAGAGAGGTCATGCTGCCGCTTCGGAGGTAGGCTTCCTCGCGGAGGTCTTGGGCGTCGTTTCGCTTGAGGATTGGTAGAGAGGTCATGGTGCCGCCTCGGAGGTAGGCTTGCTCGCGGAGGTCTTGGGCGTTACTTCGCTTGACGGTTGGCAGACTGGTCATGGTGCCACCCCGAAGGTACGCCTCCTCGCAGAGATCTTCGGAGCTTGATCGTTTGTGGCCGGCTTTGCCGCCCAGGCCTGCACGAGGGGCCGGGAGCTCCATTCCAAAGGCTTGCTCGAGGTCAATCAGGGAGAGGTCCAGAGCCTCACGCTCAATATTAATGCTGCCACGCGAGTGAGGGTCAGCACATCGTGATATCGTATGACTTGAGCGCATATGCCAGTTCAGCAAACTCACCGCATGATTGTGTCGTTACGGAAAGCTTGGCCGGAGGTGCTTTGGTCTTGCAAGTGCTGCTTAGCCAGGTCAAGGCGATGACGAGTGTCATCAGATAAAGTGTCCCGCCAGTCGTTGACTCCGCGCGCCATCTCAACCGTCCTCTTGCCACCGAACATAGACAGCGGCATAGACTGGACATGAACGACGTAGAACAGCAAGCAAGTGTAAAGGAGCGTTGACTTGAACATAATGAAAGTTACGTGCATACGCGGGCACTCAAGCTTTGGTGCTATGAGACGGGGAACGCGAGTGATGGAGAAGCAGTTCTCGCCATTCACGTTTATATAGACTACTCCAGCCCATGGGTCTTAGGCTCTACATTCTGGAACTTCGTTTACTGCAGTCCATCTATGCTAGACGAACAGGGTTCTATGCGTGGTACAGCATTCCGATCCAAAGTAGGGGCAAACTCCCGGCAAGAAACAACATCTCCGGGCGAGACAAGTTCGTACTACCCAAAGGACAAAGGTTCCAGAGACAGCGCTCGATTCAGCAGTACCATAAACATGCGGGCCCGTCACGTTGCAGCAACATTTGATGCTGCCTGATGCAATCTTCGCCCCCAACCCCAAGGTAGGGCAATGCCTGCTCAGGAGACAGTCCCATTGGACACGGTCTACCGGGCTGGGGAACGGCGGTGTATTCATGTTGGGAGATGTAAGACCGCAGATGTCATCATCGCGGATGCACGCCGGCCCAACCCGCGATCTGTTGAAGTAGCACGAAATGACCATAGGGAGGAGCGGCAACGACATGTACAACGAACTAGAAGCAACATAGCCAACATGGCAGCCTTTTCAATGTTTGGTTCCGTCGGTATGCAAAGAGCTACATGTACCCACCACAGAAGCGAATGGCAGTAGGATAATATGGAACAAGCTGACCAACAGCATATGCAGTTTCACTGTTTTGTAGAGCACACAAGTTCTCCTGGTTTCGGTGATGCCTCGGGCCTAAATGGTCTCGGGTCGTAGCGTTCTGTCTCGATCTCCTGCCGATATGATCTGAACCGGAAGTGCCAGTCTATCCCATGGTATCTTACGCTCGTATCTATCAGTCTCATACGCCCCTTGTTGTCACCGCGTTTCTGGAAAATTGTCCAACCACTCCGCCATGCCCTCGACGGACACAAGGAAATGCCGCTGGAGCGACGCATGTCTTATGCCCACTCTGCGGGCGAGCACCTCGAGCAAGAACATGGCGCTATGGCGCAGCGGGTGGCCTGGCCCCTCAACACAGGCGGCAACCCATAGCGGCATGAGAACCATGTACGCGCCAGAGAGGTCAGGCAATGCGCCACCGGCAGCCGAGGTCTTGAGACCGAGGAGGTACGGAACGCTGGCGCAGATATCGGTAGCCATCTGGTCCATTGTCCGACGAAGAGCTCGACATTTTGCCAGCGCGGCGGTCGAAGGTGGCGAGCTTGCCATGACCTGGCGCTTGAGAAGGCCCAGAAGGAGTTCGGCCAGCAGTATGCAGCTCATGCGATAGTTGGACCAACCGACCACGACGTGGTCGCCACTGTAGATCGAGTACCGACCCCCAACTGGCTTGATGAATCCGTACCACGTCTCAGCCCCGGGGGACTGCTCGTCAACCTCCATGGTGTCATACTTCCAGTCAACCGGAGCCATGAGCCTCCACTCGCGAAGCCGGGCAGTCAGCTTGTCCACGCCGTCAAAGACAGGCGCAGTGTCATTAATCACGGGATTTTCTTCGAGTGCGGCACGCAAGTTCGCCACTTCCCCCGTGATGATGAAGACGTGCTCGCCGTGGTTTTGGGATGGCGTGCTAATCTCCATGGCCAGTCGAGTGCAGTCAACTAGAGCCTGCGACACGGGAATCTTGTGTATCAGGCTGGTTGAAAGCTTCAGGCCGTGTTGTGAAATTGTTAGTCGAAGAGCTGGCTGCACACACTATGACAGCGGAAAACAACAAGGCAAGACGGAAAGAGGGGTATACGACGCACCATCATCCCTTTGGCTTCCAGAAGGAGTTGATGGCCAGCGGGGCTTTCGAGCTGGCCAGGCCCGCGTAGTGCGACGATACTGGCAGCCCCGGACGCGTGGTTGGTCCAGCTCTTTGTGGACGGAGGGCTGTGTCCTGTGAGGATCTGCGGTAATATTCAGGTTACATGTATGCACCTAGCACCGTCTTCATCGCTCAGAAGATACTGAGTCAAGACTCACCTCGAAGAAAGACATGAGGATAACAACAGCGAGCGTTGAGTCCAAGGTCGCCGTCGCAGGATCCGCAAGCATGTGATTGATGCTCTGCAGTGCCGTGCTATACTCCGCCGCCGCAGCTCTCTGCATCGCCGTTGACTTGCGCGTGAAGGAGAATGACGCCAATCCAAGCGCCGCGGCCATGTTGAGCAGCGCGGGGGGTTGGCTTGACGAGAAGACAAAGTACCGGGAGGCCGACACCCACGCGAATCGGTCGTGGAAATAGCAGATGGCTTCATCGCGCCCAATCTGAACAGATGGGATGATGCCCATTTGATCCTGTTCTGTGTGTTGTTGGCGCTGTGTATGAGACGCCGGCAACGCCGGCCAGGTACCGGATCCAAGGAAGTTACCCGCCTCATGACGATGCAGGTTATTATTTCTCACGACCAGTTGCCGGAGAGGCAACGCAGTTGACTCCCCACCTCTATCAAAGCCTCTACCAACACGATTGAGTATGCGCTGGTTCTCTTGGCGAAATATGACAGTCGAAAGCTGCCGGTATCCCGGGCAGACGTGTCCAGCCTGCCGGCACCGCTCGCAGCTAGGCTTCGCCCTGTCGCACTGCCTGGTGTAAGTATCGGGGCCCCGTTCACTTGCCGTCTCCGCAGAAATGATGAGGGTGGAATGTGCGTCCGCATACCTTGACCTTTCTCCTGCGACATCCGTCACAGCCCCGGCTCGGTACTCCGTAGTATGTCATTCCGCCCGCGTCTCTGCATGCAGAAGCCTCCTGCCTCTGCTCGCTTCACAAGCGCAGCCCCGATTGGAGTTGGGAAAATGTGGTATCTCCAGTGAACCATCTGGGTTCCATTCCTCGGTCCGATAGCTGCCTAGAAGAATATGCGTCACAGCAGATATCTTCATATCAATTACCGATTCCACTTATTGTTGGCCTGCGGTGACTAGCGCGAAGTCGCGATGCACTACTTAATTGAATCAGCCTGTTCTCACGTCAGCTGACACCGTTTAGCTGAATAGCTTGCCCTAGAGAAACGAACCACCAGCACCGAGGGTCGCGGCTACAATCGACAACGCTATTCAATAGTACGAAGAGCAGGCGTGCTGGAAGGACTGTTTAGTTGCAATGCAGTTAAGTTTAAGTATGGTTTCGCAAGCAGCGGCTCAGATTTAAAGTCCAGTCGTCATATTGCGCGAGGCCGTTCCTCTCTCTTCCGCTTCTAACCCAATAGAGCCATGAGCTAGCGTTATCGGCTATTCAAGCCTCCCCAGTTTCACCAAGGACCGAGGAAAACGGGCAATTGGAGTCGCAGCCAAGAATCACGAGAGGCGACTGAGACTGGAAGCCATCTCAGTGGCATTGGAAGAGAGTATAGAGTCTCTGCTGGAGCTTAGACTGGCTGGCTCCGAGCTACCGGTCCGACATCGCCGAGAATACTTTGCCGGTCATGGCGCGTAGTATTGCTCACCAGGCGCATTTTCTTTGATGCAAACTACTGGACAGGTCGCTTGGAGCATGTGAGATTGCCCGAGCTGGACCCCGTGTATGAGCTCACGTCGTGGATCACAGCCGAATCGCGACCAGACGTCGAGTGCCATGATCACCTCTGACATGTCAGCAAGAATCGCGTACTGTGCACGCGCCAAACCTAATCCGTATTACGACTGCGATACATGCCCGGCAACGTCAGATCTTGCCCCGGCAGATGCCAATGTCAAGGTACAAGACATCTCATAATCAGGCTTGGTTTACGAGACATGGTGCCTCACTGCCTACATGTGTATTCCGCGGGGCATCGCGAGTTTAGTCCCCCGTGGCTTTAAAAGTCCTGCCTCCCGTTTATCACGGGCTTCCGTGGTCATGCCATCCGCCGGCTGAGTCCATCTTCGTACTGCCCGGAACTGCGTCCACCTGCCTCACGGCTCTGCTTCACTCATTCCGCCATGTCCTCTACGCCCCAATCCAGGGAGAACAATGACATCGAGCCAGCCGCAGAAAAAGGCGTATCAGAACCGGGCTCAGAAAGAACTGTCGTCAATAACGCCGCTCATGTTTCGGAGAAGAAAGGCTTGAGGTTCTGGCTCATCGTGGTGAGCCTCGCCGTTACGGCGATTCTAGCTGCACTCGATGGCACAATTGTTACCACTTCATTGCCGTCAATCTCGGCGGACCTAGATGGAGGGTCAAACTACGTCTGGGTATCAGGGGCATATTTCCTGGCCGTGTAAGTCAACCGTCAGCTAATCTGCCTGCTTGTCGTTTCACGTGTTGGGGCAAACAGTTTGGCGTGACAGGGGCTAATGATCGTATGCTTGCCACCTGCAGAACTGCACTCCAGCCTCTCTACGGCCAGCTGGCAGACTTTTTCGGCCGGCGCAAACTCCTCGTGGTTTCCATCGCAATCTTTATTCTCGGCAGTGGCATCTGCGGTGGAGCGTCGAGTATGAACATGCTCATTGCGGGTCGAACCGTGCAAGGTGTAGGCTCTGCCGGAATGAATCTGCTCGTGGAGCTCATCGTCTGCGACCTCGTTCCCCTCCGCGAGCGTGGTCAATATACCGCCATCATCTACAGCGCGGCCACCGTCGGTGCGGCCATGGGCCCTTGGATCGGCGGTGAGGTCATCGTCAAAGCGTCGTGGCGCTGGGTCTTCTACATCAACTTACCCATCGGCGGAGCAGCTCTCGTTATGGTCCTGCTTGTTCTTCGGGTCAACCACCCACGGATCGCACTCAAAGACTTTCTTCGAAGCATAGATGCTATTGGAAATATTGTCTTCGTTGGTGCGACGGTGGGTATCATGTTTGGACTTATTTACGGCGGCATCAAGTACCCTTGGAGTTCGTGGCACGTCTTAGTGCCGCTTATTCTTGGCTTGGTAGGGCTGGCCATTTTTGCACTCTACGAAGCATCACCTTACTGCAAGCAGCCGTCGATCCCACGCCAAATCTTTGGCAACAGAACGTCCATTGCGGCCCTTTTAATCACCTTCTTCCACTCGTCGCTGCTTACTTGGGTCACCTACTTCGTCTCGGTCTACTTTCAGACTGCTCTCGGGGCATCTCCCGCTCGAGCTGGTGTTGATCTCCTGCCGAACGTCTTCGGCTTCATACCCGCAGCTGCAATTGCAGGGGCTATGCTTACCAAGTTCGGCCGCTACCGCCCCTGGCAGCTTGCCGGACTCTGCATAATGACTATCGGCATGGGTCTCTACTCGCTGCTAGACCAGAAAACGCCGACGTACGGCTGGGTGCTGCTGGTCTTCTTCTTTGCGGTCGGCTGTGGCCTCGTCATCCCGTCGCTGTTGCCCGCATTGCAGGCAAAGCTCTCGGACTCGGACTCTGCCGCTGCGATAGCAGTGCTCACGATCGGGCGAAACTTTGGCAGCGTATGGGGCACCGTCATCCCGAGCATCATCTTCAACAACCAATTCGATCGGTTTTCCGATACGATAGGCGACGAATCCACTCGGAGACTGCTGCTCGGCGGCCAGGCCTACGCCCATGCCACAGCCGATTTTGTCAATACATTGCAGGGCATCACGCGGGAGCAGGTCAAGACTACATATGTCAAGGCGCTGAGCTACGTTTGGTATGTTGGTATTGTCGTCAGCTTTATTGGGCTTGCATGCGTCTTCTTGGAGGAGGAGGTCGACCTCCGAACAACCCTCGATAGCGAGTTTGGACTGGAAGAGCGACCGGAGAAGTAAATGTGGTTCAGTGCGGTCCCCGTCTTACTCTCCCAATCCGCTACAACAATTGAGACACGAGTTAGTTCATGTAGTCTGTCAAGACTCTCCCGTGTTTTTAATGCCACGGCCCAGGGCTTTCTACTTTCCAAGGAGAATCGGAGCAGGTGCCGTGAATTCCGGGATCTAGACCGCCACAGCCAACCCCCTAGTTGTCGACAGGACAAGGGCCTTGGCATTGCACCGAGTTTGGAATGCGTGACTGTAAATAGCAACAGGCTCACGCACAACGAAGTGTGAATATGAAGGTATAATGGCAATATTGTGCACCAGTGGCTAGCCAGGCGTCCCGCAAATCGAGCCGGGCGTGGCGTTGATAGTAGCTATGCTCATGGGCGTACAGTCGACGGGGCTTCTAGCACCGAGGCGTTTCTGATCTCATGGGCGGCCCATGTGAATGACCTCGCCCCACTTCGGAATGGAATCATGGAAGCGCCCAGAGCTCCGGCGCAGAATGGTGTACTCTAGAGCCCTTTGATCATTCCACGCTAAATGCTGATGGTTATTACAGCCCGGAAGACTGCGCCACTAAAATAAGGAGAGGTCCCTGCCAAAGGCGAGAGGTGGTAGGTACAGTGACAACATGGTGGCAGAGAGCCAAACAAGACGTGCTCTGGGCGGACAATTAGTCCCGTCGCTCAACATGAAGGTGACGGAAGTATATAAGAAGCACGGGTCCTGCCCGAGACCGCCAGTGCACCGAGTTTGCCTCATATAATTACCAGTATCGACCACCTCATAATGAAACTGCTTGATCTTTCCCTTCTCGGCGCATTTGCCGCTTCAGCCTTGGCCGCCGATTGTTTGGCACCAGGTGCCGGGGACCTGACACAGTTTCAGGATCCTTTTTGGGATGCTCGATACAAGGTCTGCCACAACGAGCCGGGTACGGGCTGTGGCTGGCAGCAGAATTGCCAGTACACCTCGGTTGAAGATCGCGACATTGCGGGCAAGGTTTACGTCCGCCTTACGCGAAAGAACTGGGACGGTCACAAGGGATTCAAAGATTGCTGGGTATGTTACACGTTGTTGTCGCCGAAGTAGCTGATTTAAGCTGACCAACCTCGATAGGCCGCTACTGAGTGAGTCGTAGCAAAGCGTCTTTGACCACTTCTTGAGTCTTTCTAACGGACAATAGGCAAATGATCAATCAATGCGTCAAGACCAAGAAGGGATCGTGGGCCAGTACTTGGAATTACGCCGGCCAGTTCTACCAATTCGACTTTTGGCAGTCGTGAATCATGATCTGTCAACGACAGGTTTTGAAGTCCTGCAGGAACCCATGCTCATGGAAATAAGCCCCGTGGGGCGGCTCGGCTTTTCGGACATAACATTGAAGGCGCTTCTAAGCGCCTCGTGCATACATGTATAATTAGAAGCGCGATTGGCACAAGCGACGGCAGCACTGGCAGCCAGCAGTGGCCAAAGCCCACAATTTAGGTCCTTTGGACATTTCGGCGAAAGACAGAGTTTGTTTGTGGGCACGCTCCATGGGGACGTGACGGACTTCTGCACTAGTTGAGACATTCCGGCGAAATGGGCTCCCTGTCCAACTTTGCCGTCAATACGCACATCGTTACTGGCACAATGTTCTCGTAGAAGGGCAGCAACAGCACGCCATCGATGTGCAACATGTCTCCTGAAAGACGACCATATCGATCACGGAACCGTCGCCGACCTTGCAACCGCTGTCGCGAGCGCAAAGTAAGATGTGAGGGCCGGCAACAGCCCTGCCACCCCTGTCAGCGGGATGGGGCAACGTGCGTCTTCCCGGACGGTGAAAGGGCCACGAGAGCTGAAGGAGCGGCCTCTTCGCCGGTACCGTCGCACAATGCACAGACAACGCCAGGCGCCGCCAACTTGGATGCTCCGACGTTTCTAACTCCGTTCCCGGACCGTCTGGCTGCCACCTCGTCTTGGCCCACGCCCCAGGCTCATATGACCGACATCTTCTCTACGCCTGCCCCCTCGACACAGATATCTCAAAGCCTGGACACCGTCGACAACGTCTACTACCAGCTCGCTGGTGCTTCCTCGGATGCAGACCCGTGGCTGCTTCGCCATTGCCGTTTTGACGATTTCGGCTCCCTTCAGCTATTCAAGGTCCACATTCGAAACGCAGGAGGAGTGCCCACACGAGACAAGATCCCAGCTCACTTTTTAGTCGGTGACAGAGACGTATATGACGCCGCGAGGGCTGAGGCTGGAATCGACTACGATGGCGATTTACGCGAGGAGCTGGCCCGCTTGGTCCCACCAGAAACCGGCCTGAGGATCTTGCGCCTGTAAGTAAGCCTCCGCGGAGCTTCCGCAACCAAACTAAGTGAACGATTTATAGATTCATGAAGCACGTCTTTCCCTTGCTACCTGTCATATCCCGAAGTAGACTGGGCCTTGGCAAGTTGGAAGACGTAGCGACAGCGCATGTTCTAGATGGGATTCCTAGTCCCCTGCTCGCCGCCATCTACGGATCGGCCCTACCCTTCGCTTCGGAAGACAGCTATCTCTACCTGGCTACTTCTCACGACAAGGTTCCCGTCGTAAAAATTTGGAGCCTCGTCCATAGGAGTATTGTCCAGGGTACACACACGCCTCGGTTGTCTCTTGTTCAGGCCGCCATTCTTTACATACACAGACCGGTCCACGATGAGCACAGCTACGCGGTCACCGATGCGGCCTCCATGTGGTCCATAATAGGCCTGACCGTGGGTATGGCTCACTCTCTCGGACTCAATCTCGAGTGCCGCTCTTTCGGGCTGCCGGACGAAGAGAAACGGATTCGGCGAAGGGTTTGGTGGGCTCTGTACATTGAGGACAAGTGGGCATCTCTACTCTTCGGTCGCCCACCATACATTCGCTCATCCGAATGGGACGTCTCTCGGCTAGAGGATGTCGACTTTTACACCACGAGCCGCCGAGAGCCTAGTTCGGTTGATCTCCAACTCGCGTTTCGACACATGACCAGTCTCGCGGTCATCGCGGAATCGGTTCAAGATAAGCTGTAGTAAGTCTGCTGAAAGACTTTGGCCCTATTTCTTACCCTGATCAATTTCATAGCTCTTTAAGGGCGAGTCAGCGCCTCGCTATAGACCTCTCCGCGTCTCTCGCGGTAGCAAAGCCACTACTCGACACCCTCGGCAGTTGGCGGGCCTCACTGCCCTCAGACAAGGACCATCATACACAGAACGAGCCGACCGTGCGAGTGCAAACACAACTTCCCGCCACAATCCATAATGCATACTGGACTCTACTTGTCTACGTCTGGCGTGCCTTGTTACGAGCGACAGTTCGCTCGTCTGACCCGCCTGTAGTCATACACATGCAAGACTCGTCTGATTCGGGCTATTTCCCCGAGGATATTAATTGGAGATTCGACTACCTACCCGAGATGAATGATAGGGTGGAAGAGGACATGATCGACAACAGTCATATAGTAAGGGAGCTTCACGAAGCGGCGCTGACATGTGCCTCCAATGCCCTTGACTTTCTGTCTGGCCTCGACTACTCGGCCTTTGATGGGTTCTGGCATTCGTGTAAGTGTACATCACCCAGTCATTTCCGTGCTTCACAATGTTGACTGTATCTAAGGGTCCCGCAAAAGCTTCGCCTCAATCTCAAGCTTCCTACTGCTTCTCCTCCTCCAGGCACCTGACTTCCCCAAGGCGGCTAGAGCGAAAGCTCTGCTCAATAAATGGCAGCAAATCCTTCTCCATCGGCACAAGTCTTTCCCACCTTTGTCACAGGCCAAAGTGCGACTAGACTCGTTGAGTTGGAGTGGCTTGGGCGTGGCATTCAACCTGGCTCCGCATGTGCAGCAGGCTCTTCAACACTGTGACTAGTTATACGGTATAATTATTCACCAATCCCCTGATGCCTTCACAACACTATTATTTGAGATCGGGAGCAGTCACAATCGATGGTGGCACTGTTTCATCGAGGCCACTTACCATCGCAGTGCAATCGCATACACGTGGTGGTATGCCTACTTTGAGCTGAGAGGCGTCAGTCTGGTCGGGAAAGACAGCTGTGATATGTTAAATAGAACGCGCAAGCGACTCTTTACGTCTGTTCTCTGTATTGGATAACCGTGATGAGTGGTTGAGACGTGTGAGCGGTCGGGGAATGATTCGGCGAAAGGCAGATTCTACTGCGGTCGTGCTTCCACGATTGGTGGGTGGAAGCGGTGTTCCCTGAGAAGCCACACTCCTCCCCGAAACTCCTCTCTTGGTCGCACGACGCGGATACCAAGCTTTACAAGGTGGCTATTTCTTTTCGACCATATACGACGAGTTTTGGGGAAGCTGCCAGATCGTACGACTGAGGCAAGCCGGGATCTCAACATCCGGTTCGGCGAAACGGCCAGATTACCGCCCGCTAAGCAAGTTGATCCAAAGAGCCAGCGATAACGACTGCGAACCAGCCGGACTGCATCCGGCGAATGACAAGCTAAAGTCTAGCATCAGTGATATGGACCAGCCGTGACACTTTGCATATAAGCGCTCGACCCTGGTCCAGACCGGGTTAGTAACACTCTGAACCTCTTCTATCCTATCCAAGAGATCTGCATCTTCATCATGGTTTTCATGGACGACAGTGGCCAGCCTAGCCAGGAGCAAATTGGCAAAGCAAAGGATGGACTCCGGATCAAGGAGCCCCTTAGCGGTAAGCGTTAATCCTCGATATGGCAGGAGGCCCACCCATGCTAAAACTTCGACTCGCGAGTAGACGAAGAACTAGGTTATCCCGAAGGAGGTCCGCGAGCATGGCTTGTTGTTGTGGGAGGATGGTGCGCCATGGTCCCCTCGATGGGGCTGCTCAACACTCTAGCCGTACTCCAGGCCTGGACATCTACTCATGACCTGCACAACTTGTCCGAGGCTCAAATCGGATGGATCTTTAGCAGCTATGCTTTCTTTCTTTATTTCGGCGGGGCCCAAGTCGGCAAGTGCCCCGTACAGCAACCCACATTTGACGGGAACTCATCTGATGACACGGGCAGGTCCAATCTTCGACGCCCACGATATCAAGGTCCTGCTGATTCCTGGGACTCTCGGCATTTGCTTGTCTCTTCTATTCCTCAGCTTCTCCACAGGTACGCTTCGCATTCTCCTTTCACTACCTTAAACACTCAGGGCGAGGGATTGGGCGCTAAGTCAACACGCGACAGAATTCTACCAGTATCTTCTGTCCTTTGGTGTTCTCGGTGGCCTCTCAGCTTCGTTTCTCTTTAACCCGAGTCTGGCGGCTATTGGTCACTGGTTCCACGAGCGCCGCGCATTTACCACTGGCCTCGCATGCACGGCGGGTGGCCTCGGCGGAATTGCGTTTCCGTTGATCATACTCTACCTCTCGCCCCGACTCGGGTTCCCCTGGGCGATTCGCATCATCGCGTTGATCTGCCTGGGTCTACTGCTTGTTGCGTGCGTGACCTTGCAAAAGCGTCTGCCCAACAACAAACAGGGAGGCGCGTGCATCGACCTCAAGGCGCTCGGGGAGCTCAACTTTGCCATCACCACTCTGAGCGTCTTCCTGATCGAGTTTGCCGTCTTCATCCCTTACACTTACATCGTCTCATACGCGCTCCACAATGGCTTCGAGCCTCAAAGAGCTCAGATGCTGAATGTCTTGTTGAACGTGGGAGCGGTACCCGGACGAGCGCTGCCGGGCTACGCGGCGGACCGCTTCGGAGCGTTCAACACAATGTGTGTCACGGCAGGGGCATGCACCGCGTCCATACTCGCTCTCTGGCTCACGGCTGGTGAGAGCCAGGCGAGGACCACTGCGTTTACGGTCCTGTTCGGCTTCTGGTCTGGTGCCGCCATCAGTCTGACTCCCGTCTGTGTGTCGCGAGTCTGCCGGATCGAAGACTATGGGAAGAGAAATGGGACTGCGTTCTTCGTCGCGAGCTTTGGCGCCCTGGTTGGTGTGCCCATTGGTGGCGCCATTGTAGACGGGAATGGTGGCGGCTATCGCGGTCTCATTGTCTTTGGCGGAGCTCTGTATGCTGCGGCGTTTGTCTCGTTCGTCATTGCAAGAGGCATTGCTGGCGGTTGGAGGTATTGCAAGTTCTGATGTAGACACTCTACGTTCATGTCATCGCCCAAGCCGAAGCTGCGTAATCTCGTGGCCCAAGACTGTCAACTGATGTGCTCAACATGGCGTTCCAATACGCCAGGGTCGGCCTCGGTATTACACCCAGCCTCAATGCGTTGCCGATTCCTCGCCTATTAGCTCGACCAGTACGCCGACGTAAGACCCAGCTCCTTGAACAGCGCCTCTTTCTGCTCCTCCGTCTTGCGCTCGTACTCGTACGTATGCTTGTCATGGTACCACGCCTGCAACATCATCAGATCTTGTCAGCTCTCATTCCCGCCCCGCAAGCATCATTCGTCCCTCGATACCGGCAGCACAGCAGACTGGAGCACCGTGCGGCGTTCTCTTCACTCACCTTGGCCAGCCCCCACAGCGTAGCGAGGCTCATCACATCGCCCTCATAGAACCCATGCCGGCGGTGCCACGCCTCGGCCTCGGCGCGCGTCGTGCACAGCTGGATGGTGCTGCAGGCGAAGCGCACGTCGGCCCACCAGCGCGAGGGCGGCGCCGAGAAGACGACGTGGTATGACTGCAAGTCAGGGCTGATACTGCTGCTACTGTAGTCGGTGCTGCTGGTTTTGGTGCCAGCGAGGGTGCCGTCTTTGTCCACGCGAATGACGCGCGAGCCGGAGGACGCGGTCAGAGCGTGAACCTCCACGGCGGTGTCGCTATTCGGGTACAGCATGGAGGCGAGGCCGAAGGCGCACCAGGCGCAGTTGGCCCACCAGGAGCGGTCGCCTGCTTTCTATACCAGTCGAGATGTTTTGTTCAGTCAGCTACAATTACGAGACGGGATATCGCCGCTGGGCCATTAATGAGATCTCACCACGAGGTACGGAGTCGGCCTACACCGACGGTCATCAGACTACGGTGCCTCAACTACGGATGGGAGACTCACAGATGTGAAAATGGATGCGCCATGGCAATGGGCGTCGGCGAGGGCGCCTCATCCCCGTATAGCTTGAGATGATGCAGCTCCTCGAGGCGCTTCAGCCCGCGGCGCACGTCCGCCTCATCCCCGCCGCTCTTGGACGCCAGGTCCTGCGCCGTCGGCGGGCGGCAGTTGTCGAGCCAAAAGTTGATCACTTCGAAACGAAGCTGCCTGTCGGATTGATCCATGATGAGATTTGCCCGTGGCAGCTCGTTATCGCTGTCGGTGGATGATCGCAACTGAGGAGGAAGTGAGAGGCACAGCACATTGAGGGCGGTTTGTCGCGGCTGAAGCCAGCTAGTTAGTGTGTTTATAAACTCCAACCTGTGATGTAATGCAGACGGCCGTCGGGCGCGCCCTCTTGGTGACTACTTGTGGATTGAACCCACGCCAGGCGCCCACAACATCTACCTTCTATCGATCAAGCGAGAAAGGGTTTGGCGCATGCCTGTGGTCATACGGCACCAACCCATATCTACTATCCGGAAACCGTTGATGCGTCTCCTTCCACTCCCTTCGCGCCGCCCTGTTCTGCCGACGCGAGTGCCTTATCTCGAGGTCCTCCAGCGGTGGAAGCTCGCCGTCGCTTTCCTCACCCGAGGCCTCGACACTCGCGCTCCGATACATGGCCCTAAAGTCCCAGTCTGGTAGCTCGCTTTGCCACCCGGGCGTCCGCGCGGCCAAGAAGAGCCCGACGTACTTGCACCCGCAGATGCCGGCAATGTCCACGGGCCGCTTGCCGTACTTGTCGCGCCGCGCCCATTCTATTGGCGTTTGTGCGCGTTCGTAGTCGGCCAGCATCTCCATGACGTCGATGCAATCAATCGTCGCGGCCCAATGCACGATGCTCCGTCCCTCAACGTCTCGCTGGCTCGGGTCGACGCGACCAGTCTGCAGCAGAATCACGAGCGCTTCCTTGAAGCCAGCGTCGGCAGCTGCCTGCGGCGCTGTCCTCCCATTCCGGTCCTGGAGCGTGAGACTGGCACCTCCGCTGTCGACGAGTACCAGGCAAGCCTCCACGTTGCCGAGCGCCGCGGCGTAATGCAGTGCCGTCTTGCCACTGTGGTCAATCTTGTTGACGTTGAGTCCGTCTGGGGCCGCTTGAAAGCACTCGGCCAACACGTCGTCCCAGTTGTTGATCGCCGCGTGGTGGAGGAGGCCGCGTCCGGACTTGTCAATGTGAAAGTCCAGGTTACGGTACTGCGTGCGCGCGAGAAGGTCTAGGCACAAGGACTTCTGTCCTTGCTGTGCCGAAAAGACCAATGCGCTAAGCTGGTCGGCCCCGGGCAGGGGGAACGCCTGCGAGTGTTCGATTAGTATCAGCGCGATTCGCTTCATGCCCCAGTACGTCGCGAGTGTCAGCGCCGTCCGGCCGTGCGTGTCCTCCAGGTCGAGGCGTATGCCCGGCACCGCGAGCAGCGTCCGAACTACATCGCCATGCCCAAGCACGACTGCAAGATGCAGCGGAGTGAAGCCATCGTGGCCCTGCACGTTCACGTCGACGTCGCCACTTGCGTCGAGTAGCTGTGAAATGCGGTCGATGTTGCCGGCGCGGACCAGGTAGTGTAAGAAGGCCCGGCCTTGCGTGTCACCCGCGTTGTGATCCGTCAATGGATGACGCAACAGCCTGGCGTACAGATCCAAGGCTTTGCCCTCCAGGGCCAGGCGAAGATTCGACTCCCAGGGCGAAGGATTCGGGTTCGGGTTTGCGCCGAGGCGAAGCAGCAAGAGCGCCGCTTCATTGGTATCTGGCTCTGACCCCGCCCAGCGGCAGCAGTACGACATGGCTCGGCCGCTTTCCTGCTTTGCCCACATCTCGTCCAAGTCGTATCCGTGTTCCCTAAACTCCCTGATGAGCTCGAACTTGGCGGGGGCCGGCACCCTGGCGAGAACCTCCAATAAAGGGCTGCTGCAGCTCTCATCTCGGCGACAGTATAGCGAGGGAAGCGTATAGACACTGAGCGGACCCGCAGTGTCGGCGAACGAAAGCCACAACGAGTCGTCATACGGCATCTTGCGAATATGGAACAAGAAGTTATCGCGCGCGTACGATAGGAAGGGATACGTTGCGTCAAGATCTGGTTCCTCGGTAAGCCTGGCTCAATGTGCCTATCCACGTTAGACTTACACGCCGAGCCGTTTGTCTTTGCAGAGTCTAGCATGTCTGCGAGTTTCAAGTACTTCAGGCAAGCCCGCGTAATCTTGCGGTGCCCGGAGAACAGCCTGTCTCGGAACTCCTCTCGCTGGTCCAGATATTCCCTAAAGGAATGGTGCACGAAAATGACCCTGTTGTCGTCCTGAATGGAGACGAGATCCGGAAAGTTTTCCTCCATGACTTGGTAGAGGTCCCGAATCGGTTCAATGTCCGAGGATTTAACGATGGGTTTGCTTGAGTGATTCATGCCAATTATGGTCCCGAGTTCGATTTCCGACAGGGGCTGCGCTGCAGCGGCGAGCACCGAAAAGATCGTGAAGGCATCGTCCCGAGTAACGTCGTCCATGGCATCAATTATCTTGTTGTAGAGTGCCACCATTCCGGAGCCCAGAGCGCCCAGCCGTTTCAGCTTCTGCATGATGACATTCTGGTTCCAAATGAGTCCTCTCCGAAAGTCCTCCCACATGAGGACTGCCTGCAAAAAACGCCCCTCCGCTTTCGCTGCAATGCTGTTCACGATCTGGTGCTGCGACGCGGGTGACAGAGCAGCCTTGAATCCGGCGCTTCGATAGGCAAGATCATCGACTGCGTCTCGCAAGAACAGGGTGATGTCCGTCTGTATGTGGGACATGTTCATCGAGAGCATCGTCAGGCTCGACAGCCCAGGTGCATCAGGTGGCGGCTTAAAGCGGCTTGAAACAAAAATCCTCAGTCGGCTTTCGGGATAATCACATTGGAGGGCGGACATTGTCTTCCAGAGCCCAGTGAGAAGAGACGTTGCGACGTAAGGGCCCAGCTCCTCGATGGCATCAATGGCGATGTAGACCCGTTGCATGGTGGTCATGGACAACACACCAAAAAGGCTTGCCCACAGGTCTGCTGCCTTAAAAGATATCTCCATTCCATGATATTTCCGCTTCTCCAGATAGCTCCTCACTATGGAAGCGCAGTGCCCGTTAATCTGGATCAGCTGATGCAAGAGGGACCGGAGCACAGTCACTTCGTCGCTGACGAGCGCTTCGTTGTACGAACAGAAGAAGCTGATTCCCAGATAGTCCATTCCCGTGCCCTCGGTCTGGTTCCCTGAGAGGATGCTCTCGGTGACGTATCGCGTCATCACGCTTTTGCCGGTTCCAGCCGACCCGGTGAGCAGGATCATGGAGGGCTTTTCCGACTGCAGCCATGAGATATACGTGGGGTCGTTGAATATCCATTGGCAGGTCCTCCCTTGCGGCAGTTGAGGTCGCAGCCGAGCGGACTTGTAATCCACACAGAACAGTTGTTCCAGTAGCCTTTCGTTGGCCTTGTCCAGGGTTTCCGATGATTCTGATGGCGATGTTAGCGGTCGCTGTCCCTAGAGCTGGACAGAATTGCTTCACCTTCAACTAGTTCCTTGATCGCTGTCCACACGGGCTTGTAGCGCTGTTTGTTTATTGGGGACAGCTTGGCGAGCTTCTTGTGGTCAGCGTTGACCGGAATGGCTCGCTCGTTGGGCAGTCCCAGAATAGCGGAAAACGGCTCAACAACCTGCATGTCTGAATCAGCAACGGCCCCGTCTCATCTATTGAGCTGTGCCAGGACAAACCAGGTTCGGCCCTATCGGTTTCTGCTCATAGAAAGAGACAATGCGAAGCGCCTTCAAAAGCTCAGTAGCATGCCGAGAGATAGTCTCCAACTCCGTCGAAGAAACCTGGAGCGTCCGAAGTAGATCGGACCTTACCCCACTGCCCAATGTCGCGACATTAATGATCTTGGACAGAAGCTTGGCCGGCGTCGCGCGCCGCGAACCCCTATGCGGCGTCCCAAGGAACACCACGCCAAAAACGCTCTGCAAGAGGTCCCGGCCGTCATCAAGCTGCAGCGACAGGTGGATGAGGAACTCTTTGAAGACGACCCCACCGAGGCTATGGCACACAAAGATGAGGGGTCGCTGCTTCTCAAGATGGTCTCGACGCTCCAGCCGCAGTCTCGTCGCCAGATCGAGGGCAAAGTCGTTGGCCGTCGAGCGGGAGCCGCCGAAGAGGACGGTGGAGTCGTAGCCAAAGGTCATGATCCTGGCCGTGGGGACGCGCCTCGGCAGCGAGTCTCGCAGCCAGACGTGGTCGTCTTCCGGGCATCTCCACGTCTTGACTGGGTGTCCGCCGAGGCCATGGATGGCGACTATGCTGCTCGCGTGTCAACGGCGCTGCGCATCGGCGATCCAGGAGCGTGAAGGTCATATTACTCGGCGGTAAAGTCAATAGGGTCGTACGTGTCTAGCGGCCCGGGATACAGGCGGAACAGCCCGTGTCTGTCCGCCCGCACACCGTCCGGGGTGACGCCGTCGCCGTCGCGAGGCTTCATGATGCCGCGGGTGCCACTTCGGACGTCAGTTGGGAACCAGCAACTGCCGCTGCCTTACCTTGAACAACGGGGTATCTCATTGCGATACCTAAATTAACCCCGCACGCACGAACGTTGTGTCAGCCTGCAGCAGAGCCCAGCTCTCACCCTGGTAACACACCATCATTCAAACGACAACTGCTCCATTATCAACGATATGAACCGGGATTGTCTAGCTGCTCGCCGGCCATGAAGAGGTTGTGCAAAACGGCAATCGCCCTTTCCTGAGCTCTCACAATGGTTTTGTATCGCGAAAGGGAGAGCCACGGATGCTGTTCCGAGGGCCGCAATGAGGTTGCTCAGTGTCCCTCGTTCCGGCTTTCAGCTGCGGAACCGCTGTCCAATACAGTTTCGATAATTTCGAAACTGCCGATCATCGCTCCACTGGATGTTGCACTTTCGCCGAGTTTCCGCCCGGAAGGTCGCTCAACTCGCATGGACCTGACCAGTCTCTCCAGCGAAGGTGCTTTTGGAGAAGCCATGTAGGAAGAGTCCCTGGACTCGGCGGCCGGACTGACACCATATGGTTTAAGTGGAGAAACCGTTGAGGAAGGGATCATGGTGAAACGATATTGTGGACGTCCGGACGTACATCACCGATGATAGAACGACTCTCTCCATGTCACAACAGGGCAGCGCAGAGCAGCCTCGCCACGCAGCGACGGACACGTCTACGACGTACAACCGCGTGTCCGACACGGCGAGAAGCCGCATCGGTATCACGGCGACTCGAAACCCGATGCCGGGTCACAGTCGAGTTTTGTTGGGCCGTATCGCGGCTCGTACGGTTTGCTGGTGCCGTGTAAGTGTTACTGAGATGACCCATGGCCAAGCTTCACCATTGGGCACCTGATGATATGGACGTCGTGGCCGGCAGACCTACTTGTCAGTATCATATATCAGCTGGTCTGTCCCGGAGGCCTGGTTTGCAAGATGGCCACTTCATAGTCTAGCCGCCGCCATGGAGGCATGCGAGCCTCATCCCCGTCCAGACATGTATGGCCTCGGGATCCGCTTCACCTTCTACATGCAGTGGTTTAGCGCACTCTACTTCAACCACATCGGCCAGGAGGTGCTCCCTGCGGTGCGTCTCCTCGGGCTGTGCCTCTCCATCGCCGCGACGACCGCACTGCTCATTCAGATCAGTCGCCTCGACAGTACCGACTCCGAGACCAGCGGCATCCCGTCGGCGATGGCGCCCGCGCCCCTCGACCCCGCGGGCATCTACATCGTGCTACTGCTCTCCACGGGCACGTACATGTTCCTAGTGCCCGTGTACCTGTTCCGGCCGGTCACCTGCTGGAACCCGCGATACAATCCGCTCTCGTGGTCCAAGGAGCGGCAGGTGCGCGTCTTTCGGCTCACCGAGTGGGCGCTCGTCGTAACGGCCGCGTCGACAGCCGTGTGGTTCTTCACGACCCACGTGCCGGGCCTGCACCGCGAGGGCCGCTGCCATCAATACGGCTTCCTGTTCAGCCCGATGCCGCTCGACGGCAACGCCGGGTTTCTGGCCTTCAACGCGGCCGTCTACCTGCTCATGCTGCTGGTCTGCCTCGGTAAGGCCCTGTGGCGCGTCTTCTGCGATAGGAGGGTGAGCGAGAGGACGCGGCACGAGCGCGGGGACCTGCGCCTCCCGTACGTCGAGCTTCCGGTGGTGATGGTGCCGCCGCCGTCTGATCTGACCGGTCGCGCAGCCAAGGTCTCATCGACGCGTTGAGCAGGGTGCAGCTGCTGTCCGACCTCACCGTCTTCTCGGTGCTCATCGTGGCCGTCGAGCTTTCCATCCAGTGGAACGAAATCTCGGGCGTCAACGAGCTCGACACGGTTGCGCAGCTCGTCCCACCGCTCATCGCGGCCAGCGTCATGCTGCGCGCGGTCCACCAACTATTAAGCCTGCGACAGGGCGACTCTGAAGCCGATGGTCGGGCTGCGCAATCGCCGTGCTGTAGGATATTTCCATTGTTTGGGAGGAAACGGCCGCGGCTAGGGTCCTCGAGTTCGACGTCGTCGTGGTACGAAGGCGTGTATCGCTGGACGGCGAGGTACAGCGGCGGGAGATACGAGAGGGTTTGGGTGCCGGAGTGGGTGCCGGAGCGCCCGCCCAGGGCTCACCACGCGCGGCATCGCCCTCGCAGGCGGGGATAGGCCATTGGCTGCGGTGGTAAGGATGAGGATGAGGATGATGAAGACAACATGTGAGACACGGGATGTCGAGCCCGGCACCTCTCATCATGGAAGCTCCCTGGTGCCTGAACCTTGACCCCGCCTAGCCCCTGGCCTGGAGCTACAGTGGATCCACCACAGTGGGCACAGTGGACCCCTGCACCGTCAATTCGCCAGCACCCCGCAACCACCACGTCAATCGCCCATCTCCATCCCCAAGTAAACAAAAAAAGCGTCACCCGACACTTCCACATCCTGCCTCTCCTCTCATCTCCGACCTCGACCACCTGACGATCCTCCGTCATCCCCGCGACCGAACCGAGTCCATCATTCCCATCCGCCGCCCGGCCATGTCGTCCAAGGAGGCGTCATCCACCGCCAAGGACAAGGACAAGTCCAAGGTCCACAAGCTCTCCCTCAAGGGAAGCTCGCGCCTCGTCGCCGAGTTCGTACGTCTCTCCCGCCCGCCTCCGCCGGCAACAGCCTCGCTGACACTGCGCCCGCCAGTTCCAATACTCTATCCACACGATCCTGTACGAGAACTCTCAACCCCCATCGAGCCGACCGCCTGCCCGCGCCCGGCGCCGAGCCCGCTGACAATCGACCTTCATACAGGTTCCAGCGTGGAGTATACCCAGCCGAGGATTTCACAGCGTGCGCATCCCCTCCGTCCTCATCGAACCCCTTCGACGTCCGGCTGCTAACGGGCGATTTCAGCGTCAAGAAATATGGCCTCAACATGCTTGGTACTGCCGTCCCCCTCCGCGACCCAATGCCGCCGCAACTAACCCCCCGCCGACAGTCTCCGCCGACGACCAGGTCAAGGCCTACATCAAGAAAATCATGTCCCAGCTCGACAAGTGGATGGTCGGCGGCAAAATCTCCAAGCTCGTCATCGTAATCACCGACAAGGACACGGGCGAGCACGTCGAGCGGTGGCAGTTTGATGTTGGCCTCTCTCTCTCCCCTCCTTCTCTCTTGCCTTGCGCAGCTCGCTCTCTTGGTCACTGCATACTGACATATCTCCCTCCACCAGGTCCAAATCTCCCAACCGCCCCCGAAATCCAAGTCCTCCAAGTCCGCCTCGAAACCCGCAGCCGGCCAACAAGACCAAGAAAACGCATCCCCCGCCGGTGCCGGAGGGTCCGCGCAACCGCCGCCCGACAACAAGACCGAGGCCGAGATCCAGGCCGAAATCGCCGCCATCTTCCGCCAGATCACCGCTTCCGTCACCTTCCTGCCCCAGCTCAGCGGCGACTGCACCTTCAACGTGCTCGTCTACGCCGACGCAGACTCGGACGTGCCCGTCGAGTGGGGCGACTCGGACGCAAAGGAGATTGCAAACGGCGAGCACGTCCAGCTGCGCGGCTTCAGCACCGCGAACCATCGCGTCGACACCATCGTGAGCTACCGCCTCGGCGACTCGTGACCCGTCGCCGGGCGTGTGAATGGAGGATGAGCGACGGCCGGCTGCATGACATTGGGACACGGGCACGGACGCGCGGGGCGGGCTGTAGACGGAACTACTCGGAAGGCGTTTGGCGGATAGAATCTCGGCATATGAATCTCTTTTGGCACGCGGGGCTTCACATCGCAATCTCTCGTATACTGACGACTTGAATTGGTTCCTTTCCCTACCAAAGTACTCCGTGTCTGGCCGCTGTTCCCGCGTCAGTTGGCCACTGTGATAAACCCCTACACGCCGTCATGCTCTATCATCTATCGCTCGACATCACCATCTCTGCTGCACCTCACGCCGCCATGCACCTCACTCAATGCCCCTCAACGCCGGTTGCAACGACGACGGGGCTGTACCCTGCGCCGTCCACGAAGATCCACCTAGGTCCGCTTGAAAAAGTAGACGTACGCAAACTTGCGCATCTCGTCCACGTCGTGCGCCTCCACCACTTTCTCGTCGTTGAAGAGCACCCACTTCTCGCCCTCACCCTCCAGCTGCTTGCGAATGAACGCCACATAGTGACTGCACATAGTTAGTTAGCGAGCGTTGAAACACATGACGAGGGCACAACGTTGACTCACCCCGCGTGGATGCTGGTTCCCTTATGACACACAATCGACTGTAGCTGGAAGCTGGCCGGCAGCGCCGCGCTCCCGGCCGGCTCCTTGGGGGCAGCGGACTCGGCGCTGGGCGCGGCGTCGTCCTCAAACAGGCCCTGGTCGTCGGGGTGGCTGAACAACCACTCGACGGCACGCTCGACGTCGCCACCCGTTTCCTTGAGTGCCTTTTTCGCCTGAGGCGCTCCGAAGCCCATTGCTCCCAGCATCTCAATCTTCTCGGGATCCGCCGTGGCGCCCGCAGAGCCTCCGGCTTGTCCGAGATCAAGAGGGGCGTCAATGTCAGGGTCCTCCATGTGGCCGAAGAGCCATTCCATTGCGGCGTTGGCGTCCGAGTTGCCCGTGGCGTGCAGTGCCTTTTCGCACCGGTTCCGCGGGAAGCCCATCCCCTCGAGCTGGGCCAGAGCCGTCGGCTCCGGCACGAATGCTGGGGCTTGTCCCTCGGGCTCGTCAGGGAGGAGCTCTTCCGACGGCTGCAAGCCCTTGGACAGGTAGCTGTCCAGCAGGAACGGCTCGTCCGGTACAATGACCGGCACATCCACCTTGATTGGCACCCAGTTCACCACCGTCATCTTCCTGGCATTGACGGCGAGAACATCCGGAAATGTCTTGAAGAGCGACTGCTTCGTGAAACCATCCTTACCGCCACAGGCGGTGCATGTCAGTTCGACCTTTTCCGCGCCCGTAAAGGTGTCAAGGCACTCCTTGAGTGTGACGGCCTTGTACTTGTCGCCAATGTCCTCGGCCCCTTCTTCAGCGGGCAGCTTCTCCAAGGGTACGTCGATGAAGATGCTGTCCTGCTCGTTGGTGCTGTACTTGACTTTGCGGCAGCCCAGACACTGCAGCCTCTGCTCCAGGACAAAGCGGAACGGCGCAGTGGGATCCTTGAAGCCGCCCTCGTGCTTTGACCTTGTTATCAGCTTGAAGAGGTGCTGGAGAAGTTCTAGCGCGTCCTGCTGTCTCATGGTGGAAAACTCTTCATGGCCGCGCCCGATGAGGTGCTTGAGCATAGCAGGTGCCAGGCCCTTTTGGTGGTGAACCTCCGACTCGGCAATCACCGAGTCGTCCGGCTTCGAATACCGTCCAGAGCAAAGCCCGTCCGCCATCTTGCGCAGCTGCGTCTCCAGGTCAGCGGCCGGCTCCTGCACCACCGGAAGTTGATCGGCGGTCCTGTAATACCGCTCGCGGAAAGACGGCATGTCGAAGAGGCACTGGATGATGCTGGCCAAGTAGCAGCTATTGCCCAGGTTCTTAAGACCGGTGAGACCCGGGCCGAAGAGAGGCGTCAACTCCTTACCGTCCTCGGTCGTCATGCTAAAGTCCCACTTAAGATTCTGCTCAATCTGCATCTCCGTCAGGCTCTTCTCCGTCTTTTGGCGCTCCGCGAGCATGATGCCCCAGTGCGCCAGGTGCGTGTCGAGATTATCGTCGACGCGCTCTTCGTCGCACTTGTAGCAGTAGATGTCGGCGGTGCCCTCGGGCGTGATGGATCCGAGCTTGACAGCCACCCCGTGGCCAGACTCGTCCGAGTGGCTCAGCGCATGAGAGTTTCCGTCGACACCTCCCATTTGTTTCCGTCCGCAGCCCAGGTTCCCGCATTCCAAGCATAACCAGAGGTTCTCCTTGAGGTCACACTTGGAGCAGTGGCCCAGGTCGCCCTGCTCGATGCGGCGCGGCTCGTGCTGCTGCATCAGGAGGATGTGCTCGCAGCTCGTGAGCTCCTGCTCCCAGGCCTTGACCTCCTCGTTGCGCGAGAAAGTGTTGGCCTTGATGATTCCGTCGACGATGGGCGCCAGCTTGGGGCCGGCAATGTCGAGCTCGGTGTTGCACTCGAGGCACTTGGCGGCAAGTGCCGTATCGTAGCGGTCCGCCTCGGTCTCGGCGGCTATGGCGAGCTTGGACATCTTAGGGGGCGGCTCGTCTCGCACGACGGCCTTTCGGGTACGGCGGATGTTGAGGGCTAGCGGATGGCCCCAGAGGGTGTTGTGAAGCCGCGTGTGCAGGCGGTCGCCCGCGCAGCCGCCGTTGAAGCACTGGAGGCAGACATCGAGCCCGCTCGGGTCGTCCTGCGACACGTCGAGTCAGCGCGGGCGGCGAACGGGCAGCTGCAGAACACGTACAATAGAGTCGAAGCACTGCGTGCAGTCCTCTCGGTAAACAGACTGAGCCGGAGTCGGGGGCGCGAGGCCTGCAAACAACTTGGTCAGCCTTCCCAGCCTTCCCAGCATCAAGGGCGGGCCGCGGGCCAGAGGGCGAACGTACCGGCAGACTCCAGGTGAGGACACGACATTTTCGGTGGGACAGCGCCTAGGCCTCGATGTTCGGGAGCGGTCAGGGTAAGTAAACACGGGGAGAAAGAGGGCAAAGGCGCGCGAAGCTGCCGCGATCGAGGTGGTGGCGGTGGAAGCTCCAGCGACAGGCTGCTGTGGTGGAGCACAATGACGCAGAAGCAGTGATGGAGGGGCAGGCGGCGGATGCCTGGAGGTCCTGCCTGTGAGGTCCTGCAAGGCGATTTTGTCAGCACCCGCCCACATCGTCTAGGGTAGGCCGCCCTTTGACGGACTTTCGCGTCCAACGTGACACGAAACTCGGGCAAGGCATGCACAGCATCGGAAGAGTGAATTTGTCATCGGCGTGTGATGTTGGGCCCAAATCAATATCCGTTTGTCCTTTAGTTGAAAGTACTCTGTACCCGGTGCGGAGTGCTCGTAAGCCATGATTCCAGGTGACCTGGTGGTTAGATGTAAGTCATGGTTTAACTCACTTCCGCACTGGACAGACGAGAGACATTTTGGCCTCGTTCGCCGAATCGGGAATGCTTCGTTTTGCGCGGGACTTGGTCAGAGTGACACGAAAGTGATACTAGTCAGAGCTAAGAACAGATACGAGTTCTACCTTGCAAAGAGAGCCATCGGGCAATTACTCGTCGTACACGAAACCGTCACCCTCTCCTCCCCATCCCATCACAACAACACTTGGTATCAACAGACAGACAAATTACAAGTCGGGCGAATCACTCCTGCGTTGCCTCGCACAGCGGTAGAGGTACAAGCGCACGCCACATCACAGCACCGACGCGTGGTGCCCGTGGAAGCCAATGCCAATGGCAAAGTCTGCCTCGGCTCTGCCCACCTCTTGCATCGTCGCCGCGTCCAGACACAGCAGATACGACTTCTGCGCGGTGCCGTCCAGCACCACCGTCAACACGACGCCGTCGTCCTCGCTCGCCCCGCCCGGGCGTGGCACAAAGATGGGCTCGCACGGCGAGTGCGCCTGCGGCGCGCTCCACAGCACCGCCTCGCGCGTCTTCAGATCCGTCTTGACGATGGAGTCCATGAAGGTGCTCAGCCCGCGCGACCCCGCCCCGTACACGTATCGGTACGCCTTTCCGGCCTTGCCCGGGTGAATCGTCGACAGCTCCCCGGAGTGAGGGCTCGGGATCGACAAGACCTCCTCTGCCTCGGCCATGGCCGCCTCTTGTTCCGTCTGAGGGGATGTAGGCATCACGAACTGGATCCTGGCATGCCGGGTGGCCAGGTTCTGGTGTCCCCACTTGTCCCAGTAGGTCTTTGCGGCATCTTTCCTGTCGAGAATGACGTCGTAGTAGAGTCCGAGCATAACGTCGGTCGTTTCGTACATGGTGAGGTCCATGTTGAGGACCGTCTGTAGCTGGCCGGCGTCGTCCTTGTTGCGTTCTTCGAAAGCATTGACTGAGTGGAAAAAGAAGCCAGCCGGCGTCGAAAAGCGAGCAACAACCCCCTTGCCATGTCGCCTGTCAACCACGAACCATCTGCACCGCCGCGACTTGTCAAACGGCTTCAAGGCATCGAGCAGGTTGTTTTCCCACAAAATCTTCAGGCCGCTCCACCCGTAATGGGACGAAGGGACGCACAAGACGACGTAGTTTTCCGTCAGAAAGAAGCTGTGGATGTACGCAGGCGGCAGGTCAGGCTCTGAGATGGCGGCGAGAATGTCTGTAGTGCCGGTCGCGGCGTTGACGCGAAACATGCGGTACGTGGTTTTCCGACCAACATCAATGTTGAAGTTGAACATGTCGCCTGTCTCGGGGTCTCGCTGGGCATGGGCGCAGGAGAGCGGGCCTTTGAGATCCGGGTGAAGTGCCACCTGCTTGGTGTAGCCCAAGGGTTCAAGCGTGTCCGGGTCAATCTCTTGCAGCGTCTTGTTGTCCGTACTGAGATAGACATTCTGAGTCCCCGTGCGGTGGCCGCTCGTGGTGTTGTCGGGACGCTTGTGCGGCAAACCGGGAACGTTGGTCAAGACAACGACGCTGTTGTTCTCATGGTGGGGTTTGAAGAGGCTCATGAACTTGGCAAACCTGCCCACGCACGGGTCTGCCCGTTGCCCAAACGACGTGCTGTGTCGCCAGCCGATCTTCTTAATGGCGGCGACATGCTCTTCTGATTGACGCCGCGACGAGTACACCACCGTGGTTTCGCCACCCTCCTCTTCCGGGGCGACAATGTCGAATTTGTGCGTGTGCGCAAACCCATCGAACCAGTGGCTCACGTAATGAGTCCCGCGGGCAGTGTCTTCAACGGCGGACTGGCCCGGCCCTGTCCGGTACAGAGATCCGGCGGCAAAGGATGGGATCTTGCCCTTGACGTGAAGCTTGATGGGGCCTCTGTGCTCGTCGAGGTGTTCAAACTGTCATTGGGTCAGCAGTGGCCAGAACCGCGTAAAGACGGAAAGCTTACCCCGGCATGATTGGGCCATTCTTTATATAAAGCCGCGGCAAAGTTCTGGCGCTGTTGCTTGCTGTCTTGTACTTCCGCGTCTAAAGGACGACGAATCACGCCGGATTCGTTCAGAGCCATGGTGGAGCTTGAGGAGTCAAAGACGCAGACTGGTTGGTGACACGGCGACTGAAAAGTAAAGAGGGTTGCAGGGCGTTGCTGTACGACTTGACGTTGAGCTGTTGGTGGCGGAAATCAGGAACTTATATCGGCACTGGGCGGAGGGGCGATGTTGGTTCGGCCCTCAACTGGCATCTTATCCGTCACCATGGATGACAGAAGGAACCAGGGCCGGAGCAGCTCGAAAGGCATTTCCCGATAGGGACTGTTCAGACGGAGTTGGCACAAAGTTCGCGAGAGGATGGATGGGGAAGTTTCCGGGGTTATTCAGCCACGGCATGGTAGGTAACCTGGCTGGCTGGTTGGAGCGGCCGGTGATGCACCCCCATCCCACGCCACATGTTGGTGCTAGGGGCGGGTTTCCGTGATGAGGGTGCGGGCTTGGCTGCAGCCGCATGACGACGCCGGCTCAAGGTGCGACTTGCAAGCCAGCAGCAGCAGGCCACCTTCTGGCCTGTGCGAGCCGAGGCGGTAAACACTACCTAAACACCGACAGAACCGAGCCGAACCCATGCGCACGGGACTCTGCGCGCGCGTTTGTTTGCCTGCTGCTGCGCGTTCGTTAGTAACGATGCCGCGCAGTAGCCACATTGCTAGCCGGGGCTGTAAGGCTGGCTTTTTCAACGCGATGGATTGGCATCTTGTTTGGGATGATTCGTCGATGCGAAGGTCCCCACATGGCGCCTTTGACAAGCGAGTGCGAGGTTGCCGCATTGTTGGTGGCGCCGACATCCCACGCGGCACGACGCCCCGGCTGGGAACAACGCGGCCGGCACTCGCGGACGTGGCACACGCAGACAAGCGGTTTGTTTCAACAAACTTTCCAGCTTTGTGTTCGGGAGTGAGCTGACAACGCGGTCTGTACCCGGCTAGAAACGCCTCCCGAATCGCTCTGGAAGGATGAGTCGTCGTCATGCTGTGACGTCGGCCGGAGGGGCAGCCAACGCCTTCAGCATGGAGTGCGAAGTACCTGCACTCGGGATCTGGGTCGTACGCGGCGCACGCGGGCAGCTGATGCTACGTAGTTCGTTCATCGTGGTCTCGCAACTATCGTGGCAGGGGGGTCTTTCGGAGCCGCGGCGGAACAGCGCGCCAGAGGTAGCCTGTGACCGCCCTACTAGGCCCTCGTCCGGTGCCCGGGCATTGACGATGTAGCTACGTTGGGGTTCGGCGACGGTACCGATCTAACATTGCACACATGCCTTGGGCGAGACGTGCGACAACAAGTCACAGTAGCAAGCCGACCCCGATCCGCGAGACTGCTGATTCCGCGCCACAGTTGGCATTCCTGATGGAGCGCGACCATTGATGCGGGAGGAACTGGCCTCAGGCCAAGCCTTCACTTCATGTTCCCGTGAGTTGCAACACCGCGATTCCCTGGACCGTGCGTGCGCGTGTCTCTGTGACCTACCGGATCCCGCATTTCCTCCAAGGATCCATACGTCGCACTGGCGGAATTGTGTAAATGATCCGCGGGCTAGTCGGAAAGCTTCATGTTCGCAGCTTTGCCTCCGCGTTTGCCCTCGGCAGCGAAGTCACCCATGTACGCCTTCGGGGTTTGCAGCGCGAGGCATTCCTACCGCGTGCTTGTCCTGCCCGCCCCCGTGCTCGTTCGCGGACGATGCGCCACGTCGAAATTCATTATCGCCGCATGCATACACGATACGGCCTCACCGGCCTACGCATTATGGAAACAGGACTTGCCAATCACCCCTCTTCTCGCAGTGGCAGGGCCTAAATATCTTGGTGCAATGGCCATGCGTGAGGGGCAGTCTCCTCCTGCAACGCCGTTCTAGACCCACGACGAGGGAAGGCGAGTGGTGCTTTTGTAGTACCAGACTTTGTACGTGGGTACGTACGAAGACGATGATGCACTCTATGTGCATGCATCCGCATGACGGCTGTAAACAAACGACCAGTGCTTTCCTACCCAATCCGTTTGTCGTTGCCATACTGCCCACCAATGCTCAGAGCCCTTGCCTCCATTGTGTCTGCGCAACATGGAAGCTCCATCCTATCGCTTCCAGGCTCCTTGCCATCGCCATGCTCTATGAAACGCCCACGGTTCGATTGCCTGCAAACGGGTACGGCATCCGCCACCCGGTCCGGCTCTGGTTCGCGTTGCGCTAGAGCGACTAGAGTGCCGCGTCGCACATCACCCGCGATTCCTCTCATTGCTAGTCGACTCGTCGCCAGAAGTGACTGTGCTTCTATTCATATTCACTGCCACTGTTCACTATTGCCGGCCCGGGGTTTCGAGCCCCGAAACCGTCCCATCACTTCATGTCTCATCGCGGCATCGCGCTTCGTCGACCAGAAGACGCAAAAAGGGTTGTGAGATAGGCAGTGCAACTGTCGATGCCCAATGGCCGCGCCCGCGGCCTTGATGTGAAGCCCGTCGCTGATCGCTACTACGTGAAACAGCATCGTACAAATTGTGTATATCTCTGCAGCTGAGGATCAGCAAGGACGTCGTGCTCTCCATTCGCATGCACTCCCGATGCTTGGTTCAGCTCACCTTCGTTCACGCTCGCTCTGTAAGCCGAAGCTCTTGGTGCCCCGTGTCTCTCTGAGGCTCCGACATCTGTATCGTGCATGGTCCAGGTGCAATCGGGTTAGGCCGCGCGCGTATCGTTCGGCTGCACGTCGGGGACAACATGTAGTCAGCTCGCCACAGAGGCTCGCCCCCGTATATCGTAGCAGGCGGAGACCGTCGTCAGCTCTGATGCCGCATGCTCTGCAGAAGCCAGTCCGACGCCGGGCATTTTGAGCCAGTAAAGAAGGGCTGATAGTGGTATATGTTGGTTCCGCTGACCGGTGTGCGACAAGATGCCGCCTGCAGTGTGACTGCGGTTGGCTGGCCTCGACTGACTAACTGCGCTTGACAGTTTCCTCTGGCGCACAAGTCCTAGTGAAACCCACCATCGGCCAATGCCGCCCTCTGCTGGCGATCCGGCTTCATGGTTGAGGCAGACGGCTCTCACTATGTGCCTCGATCGACCGGAGTGGGTTTGCTCTTCCCATGCAGGTGAGCCAGGGCGAGCAAATCGTGATTGACTAAGTTTCTGTGGGAAAGCCGGGCCGGGAGACACGAGAGAGAAAGAATCATCAATCTGAGGCAAGAGAAAATGCATGTATATATTCCTCCGCTGGTGATTGATGAACCGAATGAGCCCTCAGGAACGGACTTGTCAAGGCTGTCCTGATCCCTCAACGCATTCGATACATCGTTTCCATTTGGTCCCAACTCCTTTCCATGCAGTCAGGGTCAACTGCAGTCGCACTGTTCACCTGCAAGATGCTGTACAAACCAAAGGTCTTAGACATTCGTTCGGGCAGCGTGGAGGATTCCCTGCGCCATTCGGTCATGGACGGAATCCGAGAAGATCCCCGTACTCTGCCAACCCTCATACTATACGGACCAGAGGGGCTACAGCATTGGGACGACCACTCCCATGCTCCAGATTACTACCTCCGTCACGAGGAACTTCACATCCTGCGATCACGCGCCTATGAGATGGCCGAGACGATTGCCGACAACACTGCGATGGTGGACCTTGGCAGTGCGCAAGTATCCCGGTTCCATGAGTCCCCCTGTCTACTGGCACCGACATTGTGCGGGATGCAAGTGTAATCATAATAATGACTGTCTTTGTAGGAGCCTCGACAAGGCGGCGCTACTGCTGGACGCCTTGGAAGTGCAGGCAAAAAACGTAACCTACTACGCCCTGGACTTGGACCATGCGGAGCTGCAGAAGACGCTGTGCAGACTGCCGTTGGGCAAGTATAAGCACGTTCAGTGCGTCGGTCTACAGGGAACGTTCGAGGACGGGCTCGAGTGGATCAAGAACGACCCCGAGCAGAGCCGACGCCCGCACTGCCTTCTGTTCCTCGGATCAACCATTGGCAACTTTTCGAGGGAGAACGCGGCCAGGTTCATCCGCAGCATGGCCTCCAGCGCGTTCTTGTCTGAATCCGCCAAGAGCTCCATCATCCTCAGCATCGACTCCTGCAAGCTGCCAACCAAGGTGCTCCGTGCCTACAACTCGGAAGGAGTCGTGCCCTTTGCCATGGCTGGCCTCAAGCACGCCAGCGCCATCCTGTGCGAGGCCGCGTGCCGCCAGGAAGACGCAGTGACGGAGACGTTCCTCCCGGACGATTGGTACTACTTGAGTCATTATAACCACGTCCTCGGCCGTCACGAGGCTTCCTTTACTCCGCGCAATCGGGACATTCAACTCGGGTCGCCCCTGGAAGATGTCGTCATAAGGCTGGGCGAGACGATCCGGTTTGGCTATAGTCACAAGTACGACTTTGCAGAGATTGAGCAGCTCTTCCGTGAGGCAGGCGTCGCGGCCGTCAACTCATGGGGTGCCGTGGGTTGCGATCTTAGTAGGTTGCTCCAGGCGGCGACAGCACCGTCCCGCTCTTTTCTGCTTGTGCTTTGGCTGACTGGTATTCAGGTTTCTACCAACTTGGCACGGCGTAATGATGGAGCTGTGAGTGAAACCTCGAATTGATTGCTCGCGAGTCATTCGGGCACCGCGAGGATGGAACAATCCCGGCTTCCATCGGTCCATGTACCTATTTGGGGGTCTCCTCCCCGCCAGTCTTTTGCATTGCATTATGCACTGGAGCTTTGGTGCCCGGGAATGTGTCCCAGGGTAGGAAATGACAAGAAATTCCTCAAAGGCGGCATGTTCCAACAGAACGTTACGACCAGACGCCTTGGCGGCGGTGGGGGGCCATTGTTCCCGTAGCAGCACAGTGTGAGCATGCGCGCTTACCTTCATGTTCACGTCCCACGACATGGCAGGACTCATTGCCACTCACGGAGACGCCAGCTAGTCAATCTATGTCAGTGACACTCCCTGGCTTTTCCTTTTCAAAGGGAAGCCGGAACGCACATGCCTCAGTCGCCTCTCCACAAGTGACTACATATACATGTCCTGCAACCTTAAGGTGACAAAACCGATTCTTATTATTTAGATAAGCACCTTCTAATAAAGCACATACACTATGAGAGCAGGGCAACAAGTTGGCCAGGGATATGTCAACATGCTACGTATCATGCGGTTAACATATAGAGCCGGGTAACCGCTCGCCAGCTATAACTAACGCCATAGGACAGAGATGATTCTAAAGATAGCCAACGCAGCCGGAGGCAAATGAGGGGCCGAGACCAAGAACGATGCCATGGTCGACGCCGCTCTTTAAACAGCAGCAGGAAGCGGCTTCCTTTCTTAAGTCGTTGAGTTGCACGACCGGACACGGAGTGCGCTCCCAACCTGTACCGCAGATAAGGCATGCACACCATGTTACTTCGCACACGGGTTGACGTGGTGTGGTGTCACAAGCCACCACGGTGAACCGCACACAGCAAACCCTGACTCTGGGCTTTGGATCCGTGGCTTGCAGGCTCCCTCCCATCTTCTACAAGACTGTCACCACCCGTACATGAAGCGAAGATGAAGACGACCATGGCCTGTAAGCTCCGTGAGTATCTCGCCCTTCGATTGATCATTCGAACCCGCAAGCAGCCATGATTCATTTTAGTCTCGCTGCTGCACTCCTTGTGGCTCCCGTTGCTTTTGTATTGGCCCTGTCGTGCCACCGTTGGGCAAGGCACCCGCTTAGAAGAGTTCCCGGGCCATTTCTGGCATCCTTCTCTCGATTTTGGCTCCTACGCCAAGTATACAGTGGCAAGCTGCACTTGGTAGACACGGAGGCACACGAGCGATATGGTAATAATTGCTCCGGGTTGACGAAGCGGTCCGTATGGTGGCTTATGAGAAGCAGGACCTATCTATCGGGCCGCCCCAAATTATGTCATTGTTAACGATCCTGCCTTCATACACGAAGTGCACAAGTGGGATCGATCGGAATGGTTCACTACACTCGATCCCCAGATTGGCCTACAAAGCGTTGGGACAGCACGAACCATGACACAGCACAACTCGCAGCGGAGGCGCATAGCCGCTGCGGTGAGTTCCCCTGATATCGCGAATCTTTACTGGTGCTAACATAGGCCACCTCTGGTCTTTGCTCAGTATAACCCCGACGCAATGCATGAGTTGGAGCCGCTGCTTGACAAGTCCGTCAAGCAATTTATAGATGTGTTGCAGACTAGGTTTGCCGCCAGCGGCAAGATCTGCGACCTTGCCGACTTCATTCATTTTTGTACGTCGCATTCGCCACGAGCGGCTCGCTCATGCGAGGTCATTGACCCGTCGTCAGTTGCATTCGATGCCATCATGGATATTGCCTTTAGCAACCCCGTCGGCTTTGTCAAGGCAGGTCACGACGTGCATGGCATCATTGGTTCATTGACACAGCTTTTCCATGTCACCCGCGTAATGACCACATTCCCAGAGTTGCAAAAGTTCATCAATCACCCTTGGGTGAACCCCGTGTTGGGTACCAAAACATCAGACACCTCGGGCCCTGGGATGATCAGAGGAGTCAGTTCCCGTCACGGTTTTTCTTGGGAGCCATCTTGTCTACGATTAGCAGTAAACGCTAGACTCTAACATTTATCTCGGTAGATGGCAATTGGTGAGGTGAGACGGCGACTCAAGCACGGCAATCCTCACGGTAACAAGGACCTCCTGCACCGATTTCTCGAGTTTCGAGACAAGGACGGCCATGGTATTCCCCAACAAGAGCTCGAGGTCGAGGCGTTTACACCAGTGTTTGTGACTTGGCCAACACTACACTAGCAGACATGCAGGATACGGGCCCTCTGACACGGCTTTGTAGAATCGCCGGACCGGAATCAGTTGCTACTATACTACGAGTCGCCATAGTCTACATCATCGGCACGCCTCGCGTCTATCGCAAGTTGATGGCTGAAATTTCCGAGAAGGAACGCTTGGGATTGCTGTCAAGCCCAGCGACATACGAAGAGGCAAAGAACATGCCATTTATGGCGGCGATTGTGAAGGAAGTCTTTCGCATTCATCCTCCAATTGGGTATGCCATCTCTAAGCACTGAGTGGATGGCGTGATAGGAGGTTCTAAACGAGAAAAATGGCTTCACAGGACTCCCTTCCCTCGCAAAGTACCACCTCAGGGAGCAACGATTTGTGGTTACTTCGTGCCCGGCGGCTGCGACGTTGGTGAGTTATATTTCGTCCCGCTACCCACATTGGCTCTTTCTAACCAGATTTTAGGGTTCAGCATGTGGGCATTGGGTCGAAACAGGTCTGTCTTCGGCGAGGATGTCGACATTTTTCGCCCTGAAAGATGGATGGCCAGCCGGGAGACCATCAAAGCTTATGAAAGGGCTGACATTACATTCAGTGCGGGATTGACAACTTGCCTCGGAAAGTATGGCCAATCGCTCCACGCCGTGGTTGTCATGGTCACAAATCGCTGACGACCCGATCACCCTGTCATGGTCACAAATCGCTGACGACCCGATCCCCCTGTACCAGGCACATTGCACTCTGCGAGATTTACAAGACATTGCTGGAGGTGACGTCAACTCCACTGGCACGTTTTTCATTTCGGCCATGTTCTGACCTCTGAATTATAGCTGTTTCGTCATTTCGAAATCAGCCTAGTCAATCCTTTGCGACCCTGTACGGTGGAGAACATTCTGACTTTTGTTGTGCATGACCTGCCCGTTTACTTGGCACCCAGAACAGCGTAGCTGTCTATGACATGGAGCCTCGGTCGCGCCTTGGGGAGAAGAAGGTGGAATGATCATGTCAAGGTAGAGGAACCTATGTACTCAGTCAATCCTGATCGTTCCTTGAGAGAGAAATGGACATTCACACGTCAAAGAGTAATATGCATACTTTGCGAGCAGCTTTGTTGGTCGCTACGGAAATTGGAAAAGGACAAGCCCCTTGCTCATTTACACATGCATATTCGGCTTTCTGCGTGTCGAAGTGTAAAAGTTTACTTGTCCTCTGATCCATCAACAAGCGCGGCACACTGCGCGGCCAAACAGTGCATCCTTCACCCGGACTATTGTTTTCCCGGCCACTTGCGGCATATGCCTGTGATATCAAGGGACGATTGCCTCGCTGAATGCTCCTCCTTCAATCTCGTACCATGCCAAGAACCCGCACTCGTGCGCCTAGACTGCCCCGTGGAGGGTATGCTATGAAGCAGTCCCGGGCCGGACTCACGTCCTCAATAGTAGTTTCATACAGTTCGAACTCGAAACGTCGGATGAGGGCCGCCAAGCTGAGATTGACCTGACAGTGAGACAGGCTATCGGCGTCGAGTTCGTCCAGGTCAGCACGATTCATTGTTGCCTTCACCACCCGCTGAGAATAGCCTGTAGAAGGGGAAGGGCTTACTTTATGCCTGGGCATTGCCTCGATCCTCTCGAGAACGATGTCATGTAGCGATCCAAGCGATCTCCCGCCTCGGCGGCTTTGATCCAGCGCTCGGGGCGAAAGGCCAGCGCGTCGGGGAAAATATTTTCGTCGGTGTGAATGAACCAGGAGATCATGCTCACTGGAGTCTATTGTCAAGTCTTGTGAGTCACTGTAACTGGCATGCGTAGTTTGGGGCAGGAGGACAGCTACTCACACCTGCTGGTATCTTCCAGTCTTTATACTCGAGAATCTCGGCCGGTAGGACCCGAGGGCTTCGCGTGGTGGTTCCGAGCTGTAGCCGGATGCCTTCACGCACGACGGCAGACTTGAGGCAGCAGATGTCAGTGTACAGCCGGGTTCAGATTACTGGGGACTCAGAAGGAGTTTGGACGCACTAGATATGGGAGTGCCTCGAGTTCACTCCATGCGGGAATTGTCGTCGGCTTCGGCATGACTGTTCGCAGTTCCTTCCTCAGGGCCTCGAGTTTGGTCCTGTCATGTAGCAGGTAAAATAGGCAAATCTCCAGCGTCTTCAAGCTGGCGGTATTCGTTAGATCCGAGCTTCAGCTTTAGTTAGAAAGGGCGGGAGCATGGATGATGACTGGACCTTGGACGAAGTCTCACTTCCCGCATGGAGCAGGTTTTGGGCCTCGCTGCTCAACCTCCAAGGCTGCTTCTCTTCAGGGGGCAGATCGCTGTCCAGAAGCGCGTAGAAGATGGTCCCGGGGTGGAGGATACCATCTCGATACTTCGCGCAGATAGCGAGCGTTTCCCTCGATATCTGCTCCTGCCAGCTGATGAGAAGGGCCAGTGCTGGCCTCAGACGAGCGATAAGGCTTCCAGGCATGAACTTTGCAAGGCCATGGATCCAGTAGAAGTGCCGGAGAAGGGCAGTCTCTTCGTCGGCCGCCGTCAGCGTTCGTCTCCACTGGGACCCAAGTTCATCGCCATCCAGACAGGGATACCCGTCGCCGCCATAGGCGTAGCTGGAGATTATCTCGATAGTCAGGCCCGTGGCGAAGTCTAAGATAGCCACCGGCCGCTTTCGCTCGATCGTGCCTGCCAGATAGGAGCACAGGCGCTCAACCTTGCCTCGCATGACGGGCTCGAAGTTGCGCACTGCCTTTTTGGACAGGAACGGGAGAATAGCTGCGGACCGCCGGCGGTGCAAATCACTCTGAATCGTGGAAAAGGTCGAGCCAGGGGCTGCGTCAACTAATACATACAGTTCATCCTTGTCGCGGCGCTTGGAGGCCGGGGCGTAAATCTCATCATAGAAACTGGCATCGTTGATGTGGATCTCGCGTGGATTGATGCGCACAATGGGGCCTCAATCACGCCGCAGTTGTCAGCCAGAGAGCCAAGGTTGACGAGGATTTCGTATGATTGAAGACACAGAGCTCACACACCGTATACCCGATGCATCCGTTCAATCTCCCACAGAAACTGGCCATCTTTTACCAAATCATAGTAGCACTCGTACCAACTCGTCAGCGCTGCCAGCTTTGGGCCGGGAAACTTGGCGAGTGGATGGAGGTATAGCCTATAAATGGCCGTACCAACAACCATCAGGACGGATAGCACGACAAGGCTTTCAACCGTTGCGGTGGCAGTGGGAACGGTGAGCCCCATTGCGAGCATCTTTGTCTCTGATACTGCCCCTCTGAACGCGGAAGCCAATGAAATGTGATGGAAGTTAGAAATAGTTGAAATTTGGCGATGAAACGAGGCTCGAGTGCTACGCTCAAACTGGCAGCAGCAACATGAAGGGAAGGAAGTCAGAGGACTCAGTCAAAGCCCTGTGTTGGTGTTGCTAAACGTTGAGTTAAGACCTGTGACCGGGTTACTCTTTTGGCATATGCGGGCAAGCCTCAAACTGTCTAGTCTCAACGGCTATGACCAATTCAAGAATGACATCCTTATCTATCAAGCCAATAATAGCTCAAAATGCCCTGCCGCTTAGTCGTTGCATGCTTCATGCACGAGCTGTGCAACATCGGGAAAGCTGTTTCGGAACGCACAACATGGTCGGGCATCAATCAGCTCAATTCGCGCCACTCCTTGGCCGCGCCCATCAGATTCCCTTGACAATAGCAGCCATCTGACGGTTATCAAGACCAAAGCCTACTCCCAGTCCACCCTCTGGTCACACATCCAACTTCTCACAAAGTGAGTTGTGCCGCCAAGTCATGTCAACCATGCAAGCCCTCGCAGCCTCTATTCTCGAGAGCGCCACCGCTCTCTCTCAGGAGCTGAGTGCAGCTGGGGTAGATGACTACTCCCTGGATAGCGAGCAAGCGCCGGTCGACCTTCCGCTACTGAGTGTCCGGGGCTCGAATGCTCAGTCGTCACTCATTGTAGCTGCCGAACAGATTCTTCGGCTGGCGCGTGGACCTCTGGGTTATTTGAACAATTATGGCCTGACTGTAGGTGAACCGGCAATGCAAATATGACCTTTTGCACTCATAGAGTCTCATGCATGCAATGTTTCCAGGTGGTCGAAGCGGGCACACTGAGAGCTCTCGTGAAGCTGGGTATCCCAACTCGTATCCCTCTGGGAGAGTCCCGCTCATATCAGGAGCTGGCCGACGACGTCAACATTTCTCCTGAGCTGTTGCAGAGGCTCATTCGATATGCCGCGGTCTGCGGCTTCTTACGCGAAGACGACGACGGCAAGGTCCGGCACAACTCTGCATCTGTCATCTTTGTTCGAGACCACGAAGCCTCGGGCGGCGTCTCGTGGAATCTCGAAGTGCCCCTGAAAGCCGCGCCCCAAATGTTCGAAGCGTTGCAGCGGGACCCGTTGGGCCAGGACCCTCGAGCATGTGCCGCCAGCCTGGCGTATCAATCGGGCGCGGCGCTCCCAACGTTGTGGGAGATTCACGATATGTTTCCTATCCTGCGCGACCAATTTCACGACTTGATGGTTTCAAGCTGCTCTTCGCCCTTGGAGTCCATCGAGCACCTGGTCGGTGGAGTGGATTGGACGGTGTTGAACACTGTCATTGACGTACGTATCAAGTCTCATTCCTGCAGTCACTGACCCCCTAACGCACCAGAATGACCGCTCACGAAGATGAACAGGTTGGGGGCTCACGGGGTCACGCCTCGCAAGCCATTACTGCGAGATACCCGCACATCCGGTGCATCGTACAAGACACCAAAGAGGGCATCGCACAGGGGGTAGAAGCCGAAAACGTCGCATTCATGGAGCATGACTTCTTCAAGCCGCAGACCGTGCTCGCCGATGCGTATCTCTACCGCTACATCATCCACGACTGGGCCGACGGGGATGCTAGACGGATACTCTCCGGCGTTGTGCCAGTCTTGAGACAAGGCACCAAGCTTATCGTCATGGACATAGTTGCCCCGGCGCCAAAGACGGTCGACTTGCACATAGAACGATGCATACGGGGCTGGGACGTGAGCATGGGCGTACTCCTGGCGGGCAAGGAACGCACCCTTGAGCAATTTCAGGCTCTCGTTGCGGATGTGGAGGCCCGGCTGCGTTTCCAGACCTGTGTTCGTCCCAGCGGAAGTCTCATGAGTATAATGACTTGGGTCTATGAGGGGTAGCTACACGGGCGTGAAGGAGTCTTCTCGTTAGAGCGGAGGAGACGGCATGTCTCCCCGTTAGAGACAGAGAGGGGCGAGTCCTAAGCCAGTCTATAATAGGAATGAATTGTTGAAGACGAACATCGCCGTCTCTCTCCCACCGCCTGACAGGTACTTCGGGTCCTACTGCATCTAGGCTTTTGACATTGTCACCGGAAGCCCAACAAGTATCCACAAAACCTACAGACACTAGCGTCAAGGCACTCTTTGCCAACCTCTCCATAAACCCGGCCTCGCAATAACACTCGGAGGCGCATGCCTATGGGTTTGGTACCCGAAGCTTGGAATGTACCGGACCACGCTGGATGCAGACGATGACGACTCGGCGAGCCAATATTTCCACGCGTCTCCTCCCCACGAACACGTGGATTATCGAGCGGGTCGGCAGGGCTGACGCGGTCCAGGCCTCCAGGGGTTGCTGAAATGACCCCCAGCCGCCCATACCCAGATCCGTAGAACAATAAGACGCCAATCTTGCCGGGCACCCACGGACGTTTTCCTACAACAGGCCTGGCTCAAAGACCCCCGCATCCACCGCTTGCGCACGATTCGCATTCGCTAAAAGCCATCATCGATCGCATCACCATGGGCGACACCGCAGACGACAACGCCACCGTCACGGACGCATCGCCCGCGAGCTACGACAGCCTCCTGCGGGATCCGCGGTTTCGGCGTACGTTTACGCTGCCGGCAGACGCTGCAAAGGGCCGTCCGGAGGAGCTCCAGGTCACCTACGCGGACTACGGGTATCGCAATGAGCAGGAGGGTCCCGATGATGAGAATGTCCTTTTATTCTTCGCGCCTCTGTTGGGCTCGCGTATGTGGCATGTCGCCAAGGATGCCTTGGCCAAGCGGCACAAGGTCCGCATCATCAACGTGGACAGACCCGGCGTGGGAGGCACGGGTGAGGTTCCCGCGGAGCGCCGGGTGGCTGTCTGGCGAGGTATGCCTCTCCCGTCTCACGCCTGGCTTGAGAGGCCGCGGGTTGTCCGCTGGAGACTAACGTGAACGAGATGTCATCATGGGCCTGCTCGCGCATCTGGGCATCCGACACGTCTCGCTGGGCTGCCAGAGCGGCGGGACCGTCCACGCACTAGACCTGCTGCTACACCATCCCGAAGTCCTCCACCCGACGCGACCCTACCTGGCCATCGGCGCACCTTGGATCCTCCCTGCCCACTCTGGGGTCATGACCATGACCATCACCCAGGCTCTCCCGGAGGTCCTCCTCGCCCAGACCGGTAGAATGGCAACAGTCGTCAACAAAGTGGCACCCATCGTCTCGGCATCGTTCGGATTCAGCCAGGCCGTTCTCAGCCTCGGCAGAGGAAATCAGCCCTCTGAGACGGATCTCGATGAAGATGCCAAGTTTGAGGAGAAATTAGGCCCAATACTGAGCAACTTTGTCATGACGCAAGGCGTGGATGGCATGGCGCAGGAGGCCATCCTGCTGATGCAGCGAGCACCCGACAACGCCGGCTGGGGCGACTGGAAGGACTATGATGATCTAGCCCCGCGACTGAGTGAGGCGCTCTCAGCGGCCGGGAGACAACTCGAGCTCGACGTCTATTTCGCCGAAAAGGACGGCATGGTCGGGGACGCGGGGTCCAAGGGTCCACAGTGGTTCGAAGAGTGCTGGAAGCGCGAGCAAGGCAAAGGCGTCATCCGGTATGCCAGTAGCGTGGTTGCTGGAGCAGAGCATGACACGATATGGAACTTGCGATGCGGTGCCATGCAGAAGGTGTTTGCACGGATAGGTAACAGTATAGGGTCCGAGAGCGGGCGGGCATGTCGGGAGGGGGATGCAGACCTGGCTCTGTAGGTTTGCGTCGTCAAACACTGGGCAATTGTGCTGTTGACCCGGTTGTTGCACACGGCACGCCGGTCGCCGTCGGGGTACGCGGGAGTGACGCCAAACCAACGCACGTAGCGCAAGCCGGAGGGCTCCCGTAAGCAATAGACATGGCAGTGCCAGGTGGCAGCGGGTAGCACGCAACGGATGCAGAGGCACAGTGGCACCTGTCTCACGGAGGTTTGACCCGAGAAGCAGTCCAACGAGGTGGCGAGCTGCATGCCCACCAGCCGACTGCGGCCTGACCCGGGCTCTCCGCCCTCAGCGACGGGAGCAGATGGTTGCGTTGGGGCAACTCCAAGAGACGCTGCAGTGCGCCGTACGCCCTGTTCACTGATGTGTCCACGATTCAGGACGGCGCGGCTTTCAAGACGGAAAGACGTGCGGGTCGGCCAAGAAGTCGTCGACCTTGCGCTTTCGGCCCCCCTCCAGGGCGTCCAAGTCAATCTTGCCGCCGTCGTTTTGCGTCGACGCGCTCTTGTCGGGGAGCTCACTGACACGGCCGGCCACGCGCGCGAGAAGGACGCGCATGCGCTCGAGCTCCGTCTCGACGGGCCCGTTGCGCGTGACGAGGTTATCCTGGATGCGCCCGTCCGCGGTGTCGAGCGGCGCGATGCTCGCCTTGAGGCTCCGCAGCCGGTCAACGCGCTGGCGGAGCTCCTTGCGCCGCGCGCTGAGCTCGCCGAGGCGCGCGACGGTGTCGGCGTATCGCTTCGCCTCGGCGGGGTGGTTGTTGGTGTCGCGCTCCGAGGGCCACTTCTCTGGCAATGCTTCGACAACTCCCTCGTCCGCTATGTCGCGCACAGTCAGTACTCGGACACTACCGCTCGAATATGGATGTAGTTCTCGGGCGCACCTAGATCGAGCTCCCGGCCCAGGGCCTCGGCATCGTTGGCGGCATCGGCGCCGACCCTGCGCTCGGCGTCGCGGTCGTACGCGGCGGCGATCTGGGCGGCGACGTTGCGCGAGGCCTGCGGGGGGTAGACGCGGCGGGCGTGCTGCTGGAGGGTGTTGTTAAGCGCGAGGAGGGCCTCGTCGAAGGCGCGGGCCGGGATGTGCGCAGCGCTGCCGTCGTTGTCGTTGTCGTCGGCGCCAGCAGACGCGTCGTCGTTGGCGGCGCGCCAGGCGGCCGAGGGCGCGAGCGGCTGGGAGAGGAGGGTGGTTTGCGCGGCGAGGAAGGACTGCTTGAGGGACGGGACGGTGGGCGCGGGCGCGGGGGCCATGGCGGGCGAGGCGCTGGAGCGCGGTCGGGGCGGTGTTTGTGGACGAAGAGGACGGCGTTGATACTCGCGATGCTGGGGCAGATGGGAGCTTGGATGGGCTGGAGGTGAGGTTTACGGGCTCTGTAGTGAGGTCCTGTTGGAGGGGCGGATTCCTGGAGCCTATGGAGGGTGTTCCGGCCCCAGAGTCCCGTCCCTGACTGACGGGGCCGAAGCGCTGTGGCTTGCTCCAGTCCAGGGCACAAGAGCCCCCCTGGGCGCTGAGCCTCCTCCAGCGCCACCTCCAACGCCAAATGCAACGCTGGCGACTCGACTTACACGGAATACCTAGAGCATCTCGTGCCGCAACTCACGCGTAGCAACACCGGTACTGGGGACGCGAGAAGAGCGCAAATCTATCCCAGCAATAGCAAGTGAAAAGTAGTCCCGACTCTTAATGAAAAGGGGTCCGACCATACGCAACAGCGGCGCCGTCGCCGGACGGACGACTCCGGCTTCCCATGCACTGTCGCCGCCACCTGTGGAACTCGGCACGGCAGGCCGGCACAATATTGGCAGGTGCATACGGGGGGCTTCGCCCTTGCCGTTCTCGATCCTACTGCTGCCACTCGCCAGGTCCTTATTTGAACCTCATGCATCCCTCGTCTTCTTCCTCCCTCACCAACGCGAGTGATCGCTCCCGGGTACGCTCAACACAGCATCGCGAGGCGTGATGAACCCACCGCTCAGTGCAGCACCTCGAAGGCCCTGCGATACTCCCAAGAACGTCGACTTGCCCGAATGCAACATGGCGGGGCTATCAGGCCCAAGCCGTCTGCGATCGAAGCCGACGTAAGCCCCCAACTCAACTCTCGATGCCGTTGTCTTGGCTGTCAATTGTCGAGTCGGCAATTACTGGGAGTCGCCTGGGGCCTAAGCGCTAGCCAGCAACAACTTCAAAAGAGAAGAGATGGAATGTTGACAAGGCGGCCTGTGAAGACCTGATCGGCACGGCTGACGGCTTCTGCGAGTAAGACGCCCAGTTGCAGCCACGACGCGGCAGATACGACGGCGGTCTGGCGAGACTAGACTGCACGGAGCGCGCAATGCAACCCATTCTTACCAAGAAGCAACGAGCAGGATTCAGAGCCATGGACAGGCAATCCCTCCCATTACCAGGTCGATCAATTCTCTCCATGATCACTGCAATTCGCAACGAAAGGGAAACAGAGGCAAACATCGACAGAGGCAAACATCGATTAAAGTGCGTCCATCCGAGCGAGGCTGTGTCGAGCGACTCTGGCGGCAGTCCAAGACATGGAACCGCGACTCGGCTCTCGCCCTCGCGTTTCACCCCAGGCAAGACCCCGAGCTCGCGAATCGAGCCACTGCCACGGCGACGCAACCAACAACGCGTCTATTCTTGCTGCTCCGCCCCACGACAGCGATCGGCAGTCTTGGCGGGCTCGTTCACCCTCTAAGCACGGCCGCAATGGCATCACGGGCCCAACAGCCTGCGAAAGCCCGCATGCAACCAGCGGCAAGAGGCCCGATGCTCCGCATGCCCATGCCCATTTCGCGGCCATGTCCATGTCTCCCAAGACAAGCTCACCCAATGGGAGACTTTGAGGCATAAGCTTCTTGCGAGCCCGGGAGGGAGTCCCTGACGCAACGCCTTGGCGGTACTTTGTCTCGCAGGGTTGAGGGTTGAGACCTTGAGCGACGACCAACGTCAGGGCTTGGACCGGAAACCGCCCTTTGTGACGACTGTTCAAGGGCGCAGCCCCTGGATCTGCCGTGACAAACCACTGCTCCGCTTTCACAGCGCGATCGGCTTGAACTTTTGGCGCGATATGTCATTGCCGCGAACAGGGGACTCGGAGATGGACTGAAACGACGTGTACCGGTTCGAAAGCGGGCAATACGTGTACCGGACAATGAACACTTCCGATGCATGGCTAAGCCTCGCCCAACAGCTTCGCCGTGTGATCGTCTGAACAAGCGCGAGGCGGGCGACGCGGCGAAACCTGAATCACCCGCCACGCCATGTTCAGGAGAGACATGCAGCCGAGTGTATATCTAGGGCGGCCACCGGCTTCATTCCATCTGAAGGTCAAGTAGGAAGCGAACCACGTCTTCATTTAGCATCTCTTCCAACGTTGTTTTGCACGCCGCTGCCACACAGGTTCCATCTCGACGCATCTTAACAGCCGCTATCACAAGCCTGGCTGGAAAAGGGGATCTCTATTGCAACACCGCAACCTCAACAGCAGCAGCAACCATGGTCGTCGTCACGAGACCGCCAGCCAACGCCTTCGTGGCTTGGGCGCGCAAAATTTACAACCCGATGGGCTTCGCCAAGGGCTACAACTTTGTCCTGTGGTTCATCTTTGGCGGCGCGCTCGTCGGGTTCGCCCTGGCGCGCTTCATGTACCTCAACATCCCGGGCATCTTTTGCGCCGGCGGCGCCAACGGGGCCAGCCCCGGAGAGTGCTACTACTACATGAAGGGCCGAGAGCGCGTCGGCCTGATCCTCCACCTCGCGGGCATTCTCCCGGCCGGCCTGCTCGCCGTTTTCCAGTTCCTGCCCGTCATCCGGCACAAGATCCTCATCGTACACCGGGTCAGCGGATACATCATCATCCTGCTCTCCATGGTCGGCATCGCCGGCGTCTTCATGATTGCGAGGCACGGCTTGGGCGGTGGTCTCGACGTGCAGTCCGCGGCGGGCATTGCCAGCATCATCTTTGTGACGTGCAAGGCGATTGCGTTTTACAACATCAAGGTGCTGCAGATCGAGCAGCATCGCGCCTGGATGCTGCGCGCTTGGGTCATTGTAAGTAGCAAGCGCCCCTCATGGGGAATTCAGGACTGACGATTCCCCAGGCTGGCTTTATCGTCACGATGCGCATCATTGGCATCATCATGGCCAAGATCATCGGACGACCCGGCGGCGAGTACTACGTGGCCCGCCCCTGCTACCTCGTCGACAACATGTTTCACGGGAACCAGTCCCGCGTCGAGGACCTCTACCCGGCGTGTGCGGCCTTTTACTCGGGCGCCGATCCCAACGTTCACGTCCCCATCCACGCAGACATGACGTCTGGTCGACCCGACCAGATTGCCTCGTCCTTCAACAACAGCTTCGGGCCGGCGGGTTTCCTCGCGCTCATCATCCACGCCATCGGCGCGGAGGTCTACCTGCATCTCACGCCGCGCGAGTCGGAGCGCCTGCGCCGCGTTTCGTACCAGCGGCAGCTCGAGGCCGGCATGAGGAACCCCGGAAATGCGGGGCTCACGGCCCAGAAGGTTGGAGATGCCGAGCCGTGGTTTCCCAATGAGCCGCGCGTTGATGAGATGAACTCGAGCTCCGTCGAGGATAAGCCTGCATCAGCATAGGCTGGCAACTGTCACCTAAAAATCCACAACATGTAAAGCTTGCAGCTGTGTGGACGGAGAAGGAGAGAGGTATGGGGGTGTTACTGCACTGTCAAGGCTCTTGGATTGGTACAGGTTTGGGAGCTTTGACTAGACGAGCATTACAAATGGGCGCATCTTTGGGGGGCACATGGATGTATGGCGTTGGCACGACGTAGATTGGAGTTGGACTTAGCGTTCTCTATTCGTCACTGACACCTGATGTTTCTCTATGTCTAGAAGCCTAGAGGCGCACGATAGACGGGGCAGACCCGGATCAAGCACGGTTAAGCAGCTTGTAACTTATAGTGACGCAGCGAATGAGGCTATACTGATGCCTGGAATCTTCTCAAGACGCACCGCGAATGCCACTGCCCGCCCTTTAGATACCCGACCACCAGTACGTCTCGGGGACGGTAAACGAGCCCCTGACGACGCACGCCCGCGGCGCATCCACGGCGCTCGTGTTCGCCACGAGGACCTCGTACTCGCCCGCCTCGACGCACCAGCGGTCGCGCTCCTCGTCCCAGTACGCGGCCGCGTAGCGCTCCAGCTCCTCGACGCGCACGCGCCGCGACTCCCCCGCCGCGAGGTGCGCCTTGGCGAACCCGCGCAGCTCCTTGACCGGGCGGTTGATCTTGGCGGCCTGGCGCGGGCGCACGTACAGCTGCGCGACCTCCGCGCCGGGGAGGGCGCCCGTGTTGCTGACGGTGAGGGTGGCGGCGATGCGGCGCTCGGGGACGGGCGCGCCGGATGCCGTTGTTGCTCTTGTTGCTCTTATGGCCGTTGAGGAGGAGGAGGAGACTTCGAGGTCGGAAAATGAAAACGTCGTGTACGAGAGGCCGTGCCCAAAGGGAAAGTTTACGGCGCGGTCGGCGAATTCGTAGTAGCGGTAGCCGACGTAGACGTCCTCGCCGTAGAGGGTGCGGCCGGCCTCGGTGCGGAAGTTGAGGAAGGCGGGCACGTCCTGCAGGCGGCGGGGGAAGCTGAGGGACAGCTTGCCCGAGGGGTTGGCGTCGCCGAAGAGCACGTCGGCGATGGCGTTGCCGGCCTCGTTGCCGCCGTACCAGGCCTGGACGACCGCACGCGCATCGCCCAGCCAGGGCATCTCCTCGGGGGTGCCCGTCTGCATCACGACGGCCGTGTTGGGATTCGCGGCCACTACGGCGGCGACGAGCCGGTCGAGCGCGCCGGGCAGGCGCATGCTCTCGCGGTCGGCGCCCTCCGTCTCCCAGTCCGAGTTGAGACCCGCGCAGACGACGACCTGGTCGTGCTCCGCCGCGAGGGCCGCCGCGCGCGCCACCTCATCGTCGGCGTCGAGCACCTTGCAGCCGCCGACGCGCAGCGAGCCGTTCTTGGGCGGGCAGGCGTCGCTGCGGAGCTTGGTCGTGGGTGCAGACCCAAACTCGACGCGGATGTGGTACGTCTGGCCCTTGGTCATGGGGAAACGCCCGCGTTCCTCGATCGTGCCCTGCCCGAAGAAGCTGTCGCCGGCGACCTGCTTCGTCGTGTTGTCCACGACGAGCTTGTCGTTGACGAAGATGCTCGCCGTGCCGCACACGACGCAGCCGACCTCGTACTCGCAGTCCTCGTCGGCGACGATGTCGCCCTCCATGTCGGCGAACCACAGATCCCCGACCCGCGGCACATTGTAGTCGACGAGGTGCATCTCCGTCTTGGAGAAGAACAGCTCGTCGACGGGCTCACCGCGCGGGGCGGAGGCGTCGCGCGGCTCGTTGTAAACCCTCCACCGCACGCCAGATTTACCATTGGGCGCGGTGCACTGCGAGCCCAGCAGCGGGAGGAAACGGTGCGTGTACGCGCCGACAGTGTATGCCGGCTGCTCGCCGAGCTTCTCCGCGATGCCGTCGTATGGCGTAACGGCGTAGTAGGCAGGCAGGGCGGCGGAGCCACCGCCATGGTAGGTCGCGACTTTGGCATTGGGTCCAATGACGAGCGTCTTCTTGTCCTTCTTGAAGGGAAGCACGCCTTCCTCGTTCTTGAGCAGGACGATGCTTTCGGTGCCGATCCGGCGCAGCAGCGCGGCCGTCTCGGGCGTGTTGGCCTCGCGCTCGGGCCCGTTCTCCGCGAGCTTCAGCGGCGCGCACTTCTTGACGAGCTTGAGGACCTTGCGGGCGCGTTCGTCGATGACGTGCGCAAAGGGCTTGTTGTTGGAGGCGTTGAACTTGAGCGCCTCGCCGCGGAAGCGCGGCGGACCCGGCATCTCGAGGTCGAGCCCGGCGACGACGGCCGGCGTCGTGCTGTACGTGCCGAACCAGTCGCTCATGACGAGGCCATCCCAGCCCCACTCCTTGCGCAGCATGCCGTCAATGTACTTTGCGTTCTCACTGCACATGGTGCCGTTGATGCCGTTGTAGGCTGTCATGAAGGCCCCCGGACGGGCGTCGCGGACGGCGAGCTGGAAGGGCAGGGCGTAGATCTCGCGCAGCGCGCGCTCCGTGACAATGGCCTGCACGCCCTGGCGCTTGTCCTCCTGGTCATTGCAGAGGAAGTGCTTGATGGCGGCCTGGACGCCTGTGCTCTGGATTCCGCGGACGAGGGCCGCGGCGCCGAGGCCCGCCAGGAAGGGGTCCTCGCCGATGGACTCGAAGCCGCGGCCGCCCAGGGGCGAGCGCTGCATGTTGATGGTGGGCCCGAGGATGACGTGGGCGCTCTTCGCGATGGCCTCGGCGCCCATGGTCCGGCCGGCCTCCTCGAGCAGGTCCTGGTTGAAGGTGGCGCCCAGCGCGGTGCCGCAGGGGAAGCAGGCGGCCGGCACGCCGTTGAAGAACTTTGTGCCGCGGACGCCGTTGGGGCCGTCGGTCAGGCGGAGAGAGGGGATGCCATGCTCGGGCAGGGACTTGGTGTGCCAAAAGTCGATGCCTGGAGGATGTCAGTCGAGTCGCGCTCGCGTGGCTGGGCGCATCCGTAAGGGTCTGGGGATACCTGATAGCAAGTCGACCTTTTCGGCTAGGCTGAGGTTTTTGAGGACCTCTTCGACGTCAATGTCGGCCATGGCGGGCTCCGGATCGCTGCGGGCTGGGTCGTCGAGGTGTGCAGCTGGATAGCTCTCAGGACAGTGCGTGGATGATGTTCAAGTCGCAACGTCAAGACCAGGGTGCTCGCGATCTCGGCAACGACACAGGTTGTAGTTGATTCACCGCGCGAGAGGTGTATGGGCAATGGGCATGTTTCCAGACACCCGAGGGCGGCGAGAACACTGCCGGTTTAAGTAGCAACACGACGTACGTCTGGAGGCGGCGGCTCAGCACGAACAAACGTGGCATCGGGGATTCCCCTCCCCCCTTCCCGGAGCTCTCGCGTCGCGGGCGGAGAATTACCCAGCTCGTCGCACGACAGACAGCCAGGGCGGGCCGGCGTCTCCCCTCGTCAGCCGCCTCTGCGCGCGGCAGGACCCTGACGACGGCCAGCAGGCGGGCGCATGCGCGCGCGTTGCCGGGATCTGCCAATTAGGGCCACCAAGGCGCGCAATGTCGGGACGGCAAAGCAGACGGGGAAATGGGCAGCGACTCCGAACAAGAGACAACTCTATGTCACCCCACACGAGCGAGGGGCATCCGCAGGGGAATGGGGGTGACTGGGGCGGAGGGGACGATGCAGGAAGCCATCGAGGATGCCAAAAGGACGGGATGCCCCGCTCTGGGCGGGACATGGCCCGGCCGGCTCGACACCAGCCGCCATGCAGCCAATCAGATGCGCAGGATAGCCCGGCATTCGGGACGACATTCCGCTGGCCGCAGGCAGAGACTCACGCACTGCCTGCACTGGTGCTGGCGCTGGCGCTGGCGCTGGCAGCAAGCAGGGCCGCTGATGCTGCTGCCACACGACCGAGACTCCCCGGGCCGTCTCTGGCGACTGCAGTGCACAACTGCATCCTGTCGTCCCGTGCGCCCCGGCTGCCGTCGACGCACCGCGTGACCCATCGACCCAGGCCCCGATTCGTAGCCGTCATCCCGCGACAAAGTCGTCGTCAGTCACCTCGCGCGACGTCAATGTCCCCGAACGACCTGCCGCTGCGCTGCCTTGTCGGTCCTTCAGCGGGACCCGGCCAAGACACCGGACGCGAGTACAGCCTAAAGCCTCGCGGCTCAGCCGGGCCGCCTCGGAGACTTTGAGACCCGTTCGCGGCAACGACGACAAAGCCCTCACTCGCCAGTCGATTGGCGATTGCTCGGGACGCTCGGGACCGTGCTTCCCACCGTTCAGTCCTGCCGTCGTCCGCGGCCCTCCCGCTGCTCGCCCGCGTGCGCGGGGCGCTACTCGCCGTCCCGGCCCCTGTTGTCCATTTCCGGGACCTCTCCCGGCCCGCTTTCGGTGCCGGCCCCGGTCTCCACCCGGGACCCAGGCACCGGGCCACCTCCTGGCAACCCTGACTCAGGGCTGGCCTGTCTTTGCTGCTGGCGCATGGTCCAGGCGTCCGGGGGATAAGGACACCAGGTGGCTGCGATGCGGCCCGCGTGCATTGACACATGAACCCGTGACTCGCTGTGCGGTCCGCTGCGGGAGCCATCGATCATGATCGATGAAATGTCCGTGTGCTGTGGATATCGGACGGATGACATGCCCACTGCTGCTGCGACGGATTGTCTTGCCGGTCTGCTCCAGGCATCGGCTTTTTAGAGTGGGAACGCGTTGCTTTCTTTCTTTGATTATTCGCCTCGACGTAGTCTGTAAACCCGGCGGCTGCATGACTAGGTCAACTGCCTCTTTCCTTCAGCATAGAGTATGCAGTGAGACGGGTCGCTCACCTGTCCGCTCCCCCGGTATCCCTCTCCGCCAGGCGCATAGCGACTCTTCACGGCCTCCCAGGCAAATCCAAACCCCGCACGGGGAGTGCCGTGCTGCCTTTGATTTTGGGATGCAGCTGTTGATCCGTCTGACAGGGTCTCGACGCTGGCGCTCCGTCTCCTCAACGCTCCCCAGGGTCGAGAGATGGCGGAGAGCAAGCCACAGTCTCACACCCAACTGATACGACGCAATACGACCGAAGCCAAGGATGCATAGCGTAGATCATGAGGGCTTGCGGCCAAGGAACTCGACCGGCATTGCCCCTCTTGTCAGGAACGCCCCGTCAAGTGCCGGCTCGCCGGCGAGCAGCCTCAATAGGAGATATGTTGATCCTGTGACAGCCCATAGCAGCCCCTGGGAGCTCCTCCCGTGGCCCGGTTCGTCGTGTGTCGACACGTCGCTGCTCGCAGGTTGGCTGGTGGCACTCCTCCAGCGTACGATCGCCTCTTCTTGACACGCGCCATGCCCATCATCGACAAGCAACGTCGCAAAGTCGGCGCCATCTGCCCTGCATCCTCCAGTAAGCACTCCTCATCCCGACCCGCATGTTGCTCGATCGTATACTTGCAGCATCCGCCTCGTCCTTGCACACGCCCCTTGAGATGTACCCGTCCCTTCCCTGCTCGACCCTACACACACGGACGTCTGGGAGTCAGCCACCGACCTGGGTCAGCCAAAGCACGCTATCATTCACCACGCTATCACTACGTAGCCCGCTGCTAGACGTCCGTGGGTTTGTACCATGCTCGACGTGGCTTGCGAGAGGCCCCCTCCCGCCGCGAGGGGAGAGCCATCGCTCCGCCGGTCCAGAACCGTGCAAAGCCGGCGCGTTGGACGCAGTCGTGCCCGGTAACAGGCCGCCACGAGCAACCATCGCGGGCGTCACGTCCCCGACCTCCCCGACCCACGGATCCACGGATCCACGATGCATGTTGTGACAGACAAGCTCAGCCTCTGTCACTATCCATGGCGCAGCTCCAGCCAAGGATTCCCCGGCCTCATGTGAGGAGCTTCTTCGGCGCGGCCCTGCAGCCTTCTGGGGTACCGCCGCGCGCAGCTCCCACTCGAAAGCCACCCCGGCTCTCGCTCGCTGAAGCCTCGACCAGGCAGCCGGCCGTGTGCCCTGTGGAGTGCTGGCTTGGGGCCAACATGGGCTGTCGACTTGTGAGAGGGGAGAGGCACGCCCACGAGCCCTCTCCTCGTAATGCAGCAAGGGGTGCCGTATACTTTCTTGCACACCTCATCTCGTTGAGCGGCGCAAGCCAGACACTGCTTCTCGCCGCGGCAGGCAACTGAAGATCTGCCCCCGCTCTTTGTCTCCGTCGGCCGATCCAGCCATGCAATAACGTCTTGTGTCGCGAATCCGATCCACCATCGGCGCTGCCAACTGTAAACTGCGGGCGCACGGCCGTTGTCATCTTCCATCGTTGGCAGGCCCCGCCGTCTGTGCCAAAAAGGGGAAATAGGGCTACGAGGCTCCATCTGCCTGCCATCTGGTGTCGAGGCCTAAGCCAAAGATTCGAGTGCCCACAGTCTCGCCGCAGACTTGGCCGCCCCCTCTTCCTCAGCCTCAACCCACTTTCATCAGGAGGCACGGCTAATTCGAGCAGGAGGCCACTGGCCGTGATTACGGGCGTGAGGCAATCAAAGCAGACGAGGCATACCTATGCCTTGGACAGCCTCGTCAGCAACATGCCCAATTTCGTCCTCGGAGCTGAATCCCAAAGTCGCGATAGCCTGAGTTGCCGATGGGTCCCGAGGCTTCAGAGTCGGCATTTGCCGTCTGTCTCAGCAAACCAGCGTCACCCGTCGGGCACGTCGAAACTCCCGCCAGGTCATCCGCAGCCCATCCTGTTGCTCGTTCCATTGCTCCTCGTCATTTGCCGACGACAAGCCAGGGGGGGGACACACCAAGCCAAGTGGGCAGGCATTTGGTGGCAGCAATGGCGCAGACGTGCAGACGCTCGTGGTGGGCCGCCGACCATTGGTGATCGACGACTAGCGAGTGGCACCCCCTTTTGTGGTGTGGCTTGCATGCGTGGCTCTTGTTGCCGATGGGAGATGATTTGTACATGCGGGCAACAACGGACGGCCGGGGCTTGAGCAGGCTGACACTAATAGTCTAGCTGCAAGGTCGGAGAGAGCACGCGTATGCACTCGTAAACGGCCCTCCCTTGTGGGATGAGCGAGTGGGATCCAATGCCGGGGCGAAAGGTTCATGAGGCGACCCAGCGGGCCGGCGGGGCTGCCGTTGACGATGCGGGTGGGCGGCGCATGGCTTGCTGTCTGGCGTAATGGCTGGGTGCCGTGGCTGCCAACGATTTGCTTGGAGTTGCTCCGCTTACAGAAGCTTCGGCACGCAGTGGGCATGCTTTAACGTGCAAAGAGGCACAGCACTTGGGGGAGGCGTTCCGACGGCCGCTTTTGCGTCTGGTCTGTGTGTAAGCCTCGTGCCTGGCGACATATTCACACGCGCTCCGTGGTACTGCCTAGTTTGAAGTAGCCGCCGCAGCAGATAAAATGGGCGTTTGAAAACCTCCGCAGAAAGGGCCGGACACGGACATCCCTAGACCCTCCCTGCGTGAAGTGCATGGTGGCATGCGCGGGTGGTCGAAGCCCCGTGAAACCGCCAGCGCCATGGGGATGGCGCATGAGTACCCAGCCCACGCCTGGGAGCAGTTGGAGACAATTGCTGCCGCCGGGACCGACATGCCGCCGTGGATTCTTCTTCACCCCCTGCCCTGTTCTGCCTGTTCTGTCGACATGGCGAGACGCAGCGCGTCGCCTCCTTTGCCAGCTCGCATTGCCGCCTGCCGACCAGCAAAGGAAGTTCGCAGCCCACTGGACCCTCACACCGCTCGGAGCCTGTGGTTTCAAGCCATAAAGGGCGGGTGCTCCTCGGTGATCGAGGACGGGCGCAGGGTCTCAACCGGAAGGTCAGAACGGGGGCGGGGCAGCGGAGTGCAAGATCAAACTTTGAGCCAGCGCCCTGGCTTTGCAAGGCGTGAACGGTGGGAACGTGGCAGGCGAACCCTTGGTACAGGGTTGGTTCCTGCGTGTCTCTGATGTTGCAGCCGGGAGGGCAACGGATCGCGATGCCAGCACTGGAGCAAAGGCGGACGCCTGCGGCGTCTAGTGCACGTCGGGATGTCACTGAGACAAACCACAAACATTGCGTTCTCGTTGTAGCTTGCCGGGGAGCGCACC